TTTTAATTGTTTGCATACTCCGATGGATTTTTCTTCTCTATCCTGTTTGTGTCCCCTTGTTCGGTTATGACGGCACCTTCTCCACATCACAATCAGCCCTGATTTGGCCTTTTCCATTTATTCTTCCACCCACTCCAGTTACAATCAATCATAACAATCTCCCGCAATCCCTTATAATTTGCGATAGCGTTGGGGCTACTGGACGGAGCTGAGCATTTGCTGGCTGGCTGCCCTTCCTGACACCTATGCGGAGTTCGTAACAGATATTTTTTTTCTTTGGGCCCTGATCGAGAAACATCTGCCGCTCTCTAGGATTGAACTCTCAACCTTCCAAGTGGGAGGCCAATGTTTTCACCACTAGGCCACCGTGCCACTCTAGTTATCGTCAATATTAATTGGTTATTATATCTGTTCAAAGAAGGCATCTACCTCATTTATTATTCTATTTGTTGATTTATTCAGGAGTTGGTGTTCTAAAATTGACAAAAGGCAGGATTCAGCAAGAATGCCGGAATCAGATTTGTTAAATATAATTTTTTTTTTAAAGGCCTTTTAAAATTTAACTGAGTACTTTGAACCACTAGGAGGCATAGCCTTCTGATTATTTTCAATTAGAATTTCAGCAAGCTGTAGAAACAATGGTTGTGTAATTAAAATGTTTCATCTGTACTGTTTATTGTGTAATATTTTAAGTACAGTCAGTCATGGGATTATGGATCCAATCCAGAAAGCAGGTTTCATAAGAGGTAGCATATTTTGTTTATTTTGGGAGGGAAATGACATTATTTCCCGCATGTTTATAAAGGTTCTGTGTTCCCCAGTCCTAAGAGGCTCTTCTAACCATGAACTGCAAACAAAGTAAATAACACACAAGCACAATAGGCAGAACAATTGAACTGCTATTCAAGTGTAAAACAATCCTTCTGAAACGCAACCTACATATTGGATGGGCACAAATACACAGCACTGTTGATAGAAAACCACACAACACTAAATTAAATATAAAACAAGTATTATTATTATTATTATTAATAATAATAATAATAATAAAGTTGGAAGGGACCTTGGAGGTCATCGAGTCCAATCCCCTGCTCAGGCAGGAAACCCTACACCATTTCGGACAAATGGCTGTCCAGTCTCTTCTTAAAAACTTCCAGTGTTGGAGCATTCACCGCTTCTGGAGGCAGGTTGTTCCACTGGTTAATTGTTCTAACTGTTAGGAAGTTTCTCCTTAGTTCTAGGTTGCTTCTCTCCTTGATCAGTTTCCATCCGTTGCTTCCTATCCTGCCTTCAGGCGCTTTGGAGAATAGCTTGACTCCCTCTTCTTTGGGGCAACCCCTGAGATATTGGAATACTGCTATCATGTCACCCCTAGTCCTTCTTTTTATTAAACTAGACATACCCAATTCCAGCAACCGTTCCTTATGTGTTTTAGCCTCCAGTCCCCTAATCATCTTTGTTGCTCTTCTCTGTACCCTTTCTAGAGTCTCGACATCTTTTTTACATCGTGGTGACCAAAACTGAATGCAGTATTCCAAGTGTGGCCTTACCAAGGCATTGTAAAGTGGTAGCAGTTCATCTTGATTCTATCCCTCTGTTAATACAGCCCAGCACTGTGTTGGCTTTTTTGGCAGCCAATGGATCCGGCAGCTGAGTCTGAGGAAAATCGGATGAGGAGGAAGGTCCTAGAGTGACATCAGAGTTAGGAAGGCTCTGAGGAGCTCCAAGACTTACAGTTGGACAAGGAGCCTGGCCCCTCTACTCACACTCAAGCTGAGACACAGCTGTGCTGGGAGCCTGAGTTGGACAGTGATGAAGAACAGCTGGGACAAATTCTGGATGCACGATTGCACAGGCAAGAGAAACGAGTAGGACAGAGGATTGCAATGGGGTGGCTCCAAAGGCAAAGGAGAAGGCATTAGGAAGCCATGCCTTGGCTGAATTATAAAAGGGAAGGTGTGGGAGGTGCTGATTGCCAAAGGCAACCGTTCGTGTTGAGGATTGAGTTTCTGTGGACTGTGTTTGTTTGCCTTGGACATTGACTCAGATCTGTGAGAATAAAAGGGGTTTTTTTTTTCTTGCGGTTCTTGCCTGTTTCTTGGAAGAAGGCTTTCTCTTTGTGAGCATAACAAGGACTCATGTAAGCTGGGACAGAACAGTATTTACCAACTCTAGCTTCCTATCTATTGAATAGAATTCAGAAATCCAGTAGTAAATTTAAGGTAAGCAGTAAAAGCCAAAACTGCCATTTTTGCACATATTCAAAATAGAAGTGCCCACGAAAAAGCTTCACGGCAACGAAGGGTTTGTGTCAGAGAGGGGTGTAGTAAATAACACACCAAATATCAGGACTAGCCATGTCAATCTGCTGGATATGTTCACTCTGTCTAGTCAGTTAAAATAACTTTGCCGCCGCGTTCAAAATAAGCTGGGAGTTTTAAAAGCATCCCGTATAATTATGGCATTACATCAACCCTTGTGGTCAAGAAATGAACATTATGCAGTGAATTGCATCTGACCTCTTAAAACAGGGGTGTCAAACTCAATTTCATTGAGGGCCGCATCAGTATTGCGGTTGCCCTGGGGGGGGGCTGGGTGGGTGTGGCCTACTGGGTGGGTGTGGATGGAATGGGTGTGGCCTACTGGGTGGGCATGACCAGCTTTACATCGTTCGTGTCAAGGGGGCCTGTGGGGGCCTGGGCAGGAGTGGGACAGATCTGAGGGTCTCTGACAGAAGGGGGTGGGACCAGGGCAAGCGCCAAGGCATGGTCCATTTCTTCATTCCTCACAAAGGGGGACACCTCCCCAGCATGCACCCAGGGGGCGGGGCCGACACAGCAGGGGCTGGTTCCTCGCTGTTTCTGGATGGCCTTGTGGAGCTAAGACCGAATGCGTTTCAGCATAGAGGGCCACCACAAAATTGTACATTGGCTCCCGGCCGGCCTGGGCCAGGGCCAAGGCAGCGGGGGCCGTTCCCTCACTGTTTCCAGGATGGCTTCGCGGGCCGCATGAAACCACTTTGCGGGCCGCATCTGGCCCCCGGGCCTTGTGTTTGACCTGTCTGTCTTAAAAGCTCCAAGCCTGCATTTAAATGTTAGTCTGTAATTTCAGGGCTGAAGTGTCCTAAGATTACTAGAGGAGCCACATAAGGTAAGCGTTGTCTGCTTTCCTGAATCCTTTCTTTGTTAAAGGAACCTGAATGCAAGAAGATTGATATCGTTAAACAAGGTCAAATTATGCGAGGAGCAGAATGGGTATCGGTTGAGAGTGGAGTGCAGGAAAATACAGGAGTGGCCAAAGTTGTGGAAACCTTTTGGGAAAAGTGTGTTTTTGAGGTTGGATGGCTAATAACACCACTTCTTTTTTTTTGGAGTAATAGTACCATAAAATGATATATCAGTGGAAAGATAATTTAATCAAGAATGTAAGGCAACAAAGTGTGTTCAATTATCTGTACTGTATTCTGTGAAACGTTATAGCAGTGGTTCTCAGGACCCCATTTGGGGTCGAACGACCATTTCACGGGGGTCGCCAAACAACGCAGTCTGCCATTTCCCCCCCCCCCTTTTCCTTAGCTGTGCTACTCCCTTTTATTCTATTGGTTTTTGAAAGCCAATAGAATAGACTGTCTTGAATAGAGTCTAATTCTATTGGCTTTCAAAAGCCAATAGGAATTGTCCAGGCTGCCTCTGCCCTGCTGAGCCCGCCAAAAGTCCCAGTCTGCAAACGGTGCTGCACCAGTTGAATAGTCCTCGACTTACGACCGGCTGAGTAGTCCTCGACTTATGACCGGTTGGGGGGGGTGTCGCGGCATTAAAAAGGTTGAGAACCACTGCGTTGTAGCCAAATAACCAGAGAAAGGAAGCACAACTTGCTTAGGCTGATGAGCTGGAGTGGGAAGTTGTGTGAATGCAACATGCCACTGGAGCACCCAGCAAGCCAAGACTCACTGTGTGTGTGTGTGGAATTGAGGAACACAAGGAGTTGTATTCACGCACCCGTCGCTCTCTCTCTCTCTCTCTCTCTCTCCCCCCTCCCTCCCTCCCTGTCGTGATTTGGGGAGAAAGCGAGGGGGGGCTCTTTTGCGCCCCGTCATAAACTCCCGGAGGAAAAGCGGGCACTGAACGGGACCAGGGGCGCCGAGCGAATGCAACGCCCGGGCCGGGAGGCTGAAATCCTTTCCGGCAAACTTTCGCTCCCAGAAACTCGGGAGCTTTGAGCTGTCCGACTGAGCCTGCATTTTCTAACGGTCCCAGCTGTTTCTCGGGGGCGGAAACTTTTGTGGCGAAAGGAAAGGAAAGGAAAGGAAAGGGGAGAGGGGAGGAAAGGGAAGGGAAGAGAAGAGAAGAGAAAAGGAAGGAAGGAGAAAGAGAAAGAAAAGGAAAGAGGAAGAGAGAAGGAAGGAAGGAAGGAAAAGAGAGGAAAAGAAAGAGAGAAAGAAATGAAAGAGAGAAAGGAAGAGAAAGAAAGGCAAGAAGGAAGGAAGGAAGGAAGGAAGAAAGAAAGAAAGAAAGAAAGAAAGAAAGAAAGAAAGAAAGAAAGAAAGAAAGAAAGCAGCTGTTTGAAAACGCCGGAACAGCAAATGTTTTAAAGAGCTTAAGAAGAAAGAGCGGGAGGGAGGGAGGGAGGGAGGGAGGAAGGAAGGAATGAAGGAAGGAAGGAGAGAGAAAGGAAGGAAGGGAGGAAAAGAGAGGAAAAGAGAGAGAGAGAAAGAAAGAAATGAAAAAGAGAGAGAAAGGGAGAGAAAGAAAGGCAAGAAGGAAGGAAGGGAGAGGGAAAGAAAGAAAGAGAGAGAGAGAGAAAGGAAGGAAAGGAAAAAAGAAAGAAAGGAAGGAAGGAAAGAAAGAAAGAGAGAGAGAGAAAGAAGGAAGAGAGAGAAAGAAAGAAAGAGAGAGAGAGAGAGAAAGGAAGGAAAGGAAAGAAAAGGAAAAAAGAAAGAAAGGAAGGAAGGAAAGAAAGAAAGAAAGAAAGAAAGAAAGAAAGAAAGAAAGAAAGAAAGAAAGAAAGAAAGAAAGAAAGAAAGAAAGACTGCCTAGATAATCCTCCCTCCCTCGGTCAGCCTTCGCCCCCGGCTCGCTTTCGCTCGGGATAGGGAAGCGGCGCCGTCCAGCGGCCCAGCGGCTTCCCCTCCTTCTTCCTCCTCCTCCTCCTCCTCCTCCTCCCTGCCGGGGAGGGACCGGCGGCGCCATCTAGGGCGTCCTCCTCGGCTCGCCTCCCCCGACCGGGCCGGGGCGCCAGGCGAGCGGGACAGAGGAGCGAGCGGGGCGGCCGAGCGAGCGCGGGAGGAACTTCTCGGCGCTCCGTCGGGCGGGGAGGAGCCGCTTCTCCGCCCGGCCCGCGGCCATGGCCAGCGCCGCGCCGGTCTCGCCGGCCGAGGCGGACGAGGAGCGGCGGGAAGCGGCGCTGCGGAAGCTGCTGGTCCGGCTGCGGAGCCTGCAGGCGGGGAAGCAGCTGGAGAGCCTGGTGCAGACGCTGCAGGACCTGCTGGCCTTCGCCGCCCTGCCCGGCGGTAAAGCGGCGGCTGCTCCCCCCTCCCCCGCACGAGAAGCTCCCGGGGTCGTCCTGAGGGGATGGGGGGGGTCCTGCGGGGCTCCGGGCGGAGGGTCCCTTCACGGCCGTCCCGCTTCTTTCTCTCCCTCTCCGCAGGAGCCAGGCTCTTCGCCGACGGGAGCGCCTACGTGCCTCTGCTGCTGGTGCTGGTCTCCTACCTGAGAGTGGGGCGCGTGCAACAGGTAAGCCGGCTTCCCTCCTCCTCCCTCCTCCTTCTCATACCCCTGCTTCTCCTTCTGTCTCCTTTCTGCTCCTCCTGCTGCTTCTGAAGGTGCTGTCTGCCTTCTCCTTCTCTTCTTTCTCCTTCTTCTGAAGCTACTGTTCCTCCTCCTCCTTCTCTTTCTCCTCCTCTTCTATCTCCTTCTCCTTCTGCCTTCTCCTCCCCCTCCTCCCCCCTCCTCATAGGAATGCTTCTCCTTCTGTCTACTTTCTCCTTCTTCTGCTTCTGAAGATGCTGTCTGCCTTCTCCTTCTCTTCTTTCTCCTTCTTCTGAAGCGACTGTTCGTCCTCCTCCTCCTCCTCTGTCTCCTTCTCCTTCTGACTGCTTTCTCCTCCTTCTCCTCCTCCTTCTCCTTCTGAAGGTACTGTCTCCCCCCTCCTCCTCCTCCTTCTCCTCCTCCTCCTCCTTCTCCTCCTCCTCTGTCTCCTTCTCCTTCTGACTGCCTTCTCCTCCTTCTCCTCCCCCTTCTCCTTCTGAAGGTACTGTCTCCCTCCTCCTCCTCCTCCTCCTCCTCCTCTGTCTCCTTCTCCTTCTGACTGCCTTCTCCTCCTTCTCCCCCTTCTCCTCCTCATAGGTATACTTCTCCTTCTGTCTACTTTCTCCTCCTTCGCCTTCTGAAGGTACTGTCTATCTTCTCCGTCTCTTCTTTCTCCTTCTTCTGAAGCTACTATTCTCCTCCTCCTCCTCCTCCATCTCCTCCTCCATCTCCTGTCTGCCTTCTTTTCCTTCTTCTGAAGGTACTGTCTATCTTCTCCTTCTCTTTCTGTCTACCTTCTCCTCTTCTTTCTCCTTCTTCTGAAACTACTGTCTATCTTCTTTCTCCTCCTCCTCCTCCTCCTCCTCCTTGTAGGTCTCTTTCTCCTTCTGTCTGCCTCCTCCTCCTCCTCTTCCTGAAGGTACTGTCTCCCTCCTCCTCTTCCTCCCTCCTCTTCCTTCTCGTCCTCGTATGTCTCCTTCTCCTTTTGTCTGCCTTCTCCTCCTCCTCCTCCTCCTTCTGAAGGTACTGTCTGCTGCCTCCTCCTCCTCTTCCTCCTCCTCCTCCTCATACATCTCTTTCTCCTTCTGTCTGCCTCCTCCTCCTGTCTGTGTTTGCAAGATCGACATCCCAACATTCCCTCTCAAGCATTGTCAGCTTCCTTCTTCTCCAACAACCACCTTATGAGGTAGGGTGGGCTGTCAGGGGATCGTCCACAGTCACCCACTCATCTCCCACCCACGGGGGACCCTGGACCACAAAAGGTGGTTCTCAAACTTGGCAACCTGAAGACAGATGGACTTGAACTACCAGAATCCCCAAGCCAGTAGGTTTTAGGAAAGATAAAATCTAAGAGAAGATTAGATTTTCTAAGAGAGATATTTGTTTGATTGTTGGTTGGTTTGTTGGTTGGTTTGTATCCTGCCTCTATTGTTTTACCTGCTAAGGAAGGAAGGAAGGGAGAGAGAGAGAGAGAGAGAGAGAGAGAGAGAGAGAGAGAGAAAGAAAGAAAGAAAGAAAGAAAGAAAGAAAGAAAGAAAGAAAGAGGAAGAAAGAGAAAGGAAGGAAGGAAAGAAAAAAAGTCTAGAGAGAGATGGAATTTTTCAGAATTTAATTTCTATTCTGTCCTGAGCAAAAAAAAAAAAAAACCTTCCTATTTTGAAATAGTTTTGACTGTATGACAGAATTTCTGTTTTTATTTTTTATTTTAAAGAAGTCTGTCTCTGTTCTCTCCTTGTGGTTTTGAAAAGATGCATAAAATAAGAATTTAACAGGTGGCTTTGGGGCTGCTGTTTGATAAGCAGCATGTTACTGTAACAGTGGCCTAACTGTGGGGAAATATTATTTTATGGTTTAATTATCATAAAAAAAATATTATGCAAGTAAGACTAGGTGGCAGATGAAGAGCTCCACTATAAATGTCACTTAAATAAAAATAGTGTTTTTTTACTTAATAGGCTATTTATTAAATTGGACAGGATGTTACAGAAAGCAAAGCCATTTACTTGCATAGGTTTAATTTATTTGGTACTGAAAACAATAAATCACCTGTGCCCAAATAAACTTGCTAGAAGGCATCCACATAGTTTGATATTTATCCGTTTCCACTCCGTCAACTGATTTAAATAATTTCGATTTCAAGAATCTCTTTGCATGCTATACTGCATAATGAACAAGATAGAGCACGCTTCGAGTGGTGTTTTTAATTGAGGGATCAGCTGAAACGTAGAAACAAACGCCAAAATAATGTAGTGCGAGACACACATAAAATGAACAGATTTCAAGACAGCATCCATTTTGTTTTGTCCAGACGTCTGTGGGTGTTGTGCCTGTTGCTGTTTGTCCCTGTAAAAATCACTCCATTGTCAACCACAAACCCACAACCTTTCAGTCAGAAATAAAACTCTTGTTCCCTATTTGTAATTACATTGCTAGGGATTTTGAGGCCTTGTGGACAGCGTAATGCACAGCGAGTCCTCGACTCACAACAATTTGTTTAGTGACGGCTCAAAGTTACAACGGCACCGAAAAAAGAGACTTTGTGATCACATTTCACACTTACGACCATTGCAGCATCCCCAAAATTCAGACGTTTGACAACCGACTCGTATTTATGACGGTTGCAACGTCCCAGGGGCCGTGTGATCGCCTTTTGGGATCCTCTGACAAACCAAGTCAGTGAGGAAGCCAACCGTGTGACTAATTTTGACAACTGCAATGATTCACTGTGCCAAGAAAGATCGTAAAATGGGACAAAACCAATTTAAGAAATGTCTCGTTTAGCGACAGAAATGTTGGGCCCAATTGCCGTACTTTATACTCGGGCATCCTTTTTTGGCTCTGTTCCTGCAATACAAGTAGAGACATGGGCTTATTAAAAATGTACCATTTGGCAAATTTTTTAAGCAGGACCTAAAGGAGATTGGTGTGCTGTACTCTTTAAAAACCAAACATATTTTCTGTTTTTTTTAGGTGGGTTGGACACTTCTCTGCAAACTTATTAAAATATGCCCAGAAACTCTGCATCGTTTAGCAGGTCCTCAAGGAGTGGGGAAGGACTGGGAAGTTCTCGGTGTTCATCAGTAAGTATGCTGTGCACAGTGTGTATTACACATACAGTAGTGGCCAAAATTGTGGAAGCCTTTTGGGAAAAGTATATTTTTGAGGTTTGATGGCTAATAACACCACTTAACATCTGCAGTGATTCAATTAACCACTGTGGCACGAAAGCTCGTAAAATGGGGCGAAATTCACTTAACAAATGTTTCACTTAGCAACAAAAACTTTGGGCTCAATTGTAGTCGTAACAGGAGCTCTCGGAGCAATACGCAAAGGGCTGCCTAGATACATGGACGTTTTGAACTCATCAAACTTGAATATCCTGACTTTGCAAAAAAACCCCTCACCCTCCTCGGAACTGCCTATATACTCAGAAGTTACTTAAAACAGCTCTTAGATCCTTGGTTAGGACTTGAACTGTTAAGTTTTTACCAGTCCCAGACAGTGAATTGAATGGAAGATCAAATCTTAAATAATAATTATTATTATTAAACTGTTAAGTTTTTACCAGTCACAGACTGTGAATCGAATTAAAGATTAAATCTTAAATGATAATAATAATAAGACAAAAAAGTCTGGATAGTGGACATGGCAGTGCCTGGAGACAGCAGAATAGACGAGAAAGAACTGGAGAAGATAACAAAATACAAAGACCTACAAATAGAAATAGAAAGACTGTGGCAAAAGCAAGCAAGGGTAGTACCAATAGTAATAGGCGCCTTGAGTGCAATCCCAAAACAACTGGAGCATCACTTGAACACCATTGGCATTGACAAATTTGCCATTAGTCAATTGCAAAAGGCGGCCTTACTAGGAACTGCTTCCATCCTGCGATGATATCTGTAATACCGTCAAACATCCACATCTGCCTATCCCAGGTCCTTGGTAAGGACTCGATAGGTAGACAAAATGCCAAATTCAGTCTGAACATCTGGCTGACTGTGCGATGAGCCATAATAATAATAATAATAATTGAACTGTTAAGTTTTTACCAGTCTTAGACTGTGATTCGAATTAAAGATTAAATCTTAAATAATAATTATTATTATTATTGAACTGTTAAGTTTTTACCAGTCCCAGATTGTGAATCGAATGGCAGATTAAATCTAAGTAATAATAATAATATTCCTCAAGGCTGAAGAGAGCAGTTTTGATGACAAGTAAGTTTCTCAATGCTGGAAAAAATGTCAGTGTTATTTTGGTCACACAGCTTTAAGAAAATAGAGAAGTGAAAACTTTCAACTTTCAGAAGCTGGAGGGAAAGCTGGAGTCAGCGTCCCTTTCTCTGAATGGCTGTTGGTCTTAAGGAATGATGGCAGTTTGTTGAAATCTTTCTCCCTCTCGCCTACCTGAGATAGGGTGGGGTGAGGGAGAAAGGCAATTAAATCAGTTAGCAAGTGAGACTTAGAATAAATCTGTGTCTCTGCAGAAATGGACTACTGAGCTTATTCCATTTTTAAGTGAGGACTATGTGTCACAAAGTGAGGAGCTCACAGGACTGCAACTTGTGATTTCCTGCCGGCTTCCCACAAACAAGATCGCTGGGGAAGCCAGCAGGAAATTGCAGGTCCCCAGCAAACAAAAAAATGGGTGGCTGTAGAGTGTAATAATAATAATAATAATAGTTAATAGACGAGAAAGAACTGGAGAAGATAACAAAATACAAAGACCTACAAATAGAAATAGAAAGGCTGTGGCAAAAGCAAGCAAGGGTAGTACCAATAGTCATAGGCTCCTTGGGTGCAATCCCAAAACAACTGGAGCACCACTTTAACACCATTGGCATTGACAAATTTGCCATTAGTCAATTGCAAAAGGCGGCCTTACTAGGAACTGCTTCCATCCTGCGACGATATCTGTAATACCATCAAACATCCACATCTGCTATCCCAGGTCCTGGGTAAGGACTCGATAGGTAGACAAAACGCCAAATCCAGTCTGAACATCTGGCTGACTGTGCGATGATCCATAATAATAATAATAAAGTTGGAAGGGACTTTGGAGGTCATCTAGTCCAACCCCTGTAGAGCAGGGGTCTCTAAAAAGAAAAGTATTTATTTCAAATAATTCAAATGGGCACATATACTAATAAAGAAAAGTATTCACTTTATTATGTTGTCTAACATGGTAGAATCTGTGCAAAGTTTCAAAGAGCATCAATCGTGTTGGATTTTAGAATGAAATACACCCAAAGGATCTAATTATTACTTTCATCTATACAAGCAGTCCTCAATTTACAACCACAGTTGAGCCCAAAATTCACGTTGTCCAGCAAAACAGTTGTTAAGGATGTGGTGCCCCATTTTATGACGTTCCTTGCCATAGCTGTTAAGTGAATCATCACAGCTGTTAAGTTACTAACACGGTCCCTAAGTGAATCTGGCTTCCCCAGCAAATTTGCTTGTCAGAAGGTCGCAAAAGGAGATCGCTTAACCGTGGGACTCAGCAACGGTCATAAATAGCAGTCAGTTGCCAAGTGTCTGTATTTTGATCATGTGACTATGGGGATGTGGCAATGGTCGTAAGTGTGGAAAACGGTCATAAGTCTTTTTTTTTCAATACCATTGTAACTTCGACCAGTCACTAAATGAACTACCTATATATGATTCTGGGTGGCTACAAGGAATAGCAACAGAGAAAACATTCACAACAAAAGCAATAAACAACATATACAGATAGTCCTCCCTTGATAACGATCATTGGGACCCCATCACTTAGGGATGGCAATCCTACCAGTCCTTGTTCCATTTTTAAGTGAGGATCACGTGTCACAAAGTGAGGAGCTCACAGGACCGCAACTTGTGATTTCCTGCCAGCTTCCCACAAACAAGGTCACTGGGGAAGCCAGCAGGAAATTGCAGGTCCCCAGCAAACAAACCAATGGGTGGGTGAGTAGAGTGTAGAACAGGGGTCTTCAAACTTGGCCCTTTTATGACTTGTGGACTTCAACTCCCAGAATTCCTCAGCCAGGCAGGGGGGAAGCCGGATTCACTTCACAATCGTGTCACTAACTTAACAACTGCGGGGATTCACTTAAGCAACTGTGGCGAGAAAGGTCGTAAAATGGGGCAAAATTTACTTCACCAATGTCTCGCTTAGCAACAGAAATCTTGAGCTCAGTTGTGTGGTAACTCAAGGACTACCTGTATTCTACTGGTTAGGAGTAGGCAATCTTGTCTCTTGTTTATGACTCGTGGACTTCAACTCTTGAAGTCCATGAGTCATAAAAGAGCCGAGGTTGCCTACCCCAATGGAATGCTTTAATTTTTGTCTTCTCTGAATCTTCCAATAATTATAACAAATGCCTTAATGTTTTGACCCACACACATATACACATATACAACATTCTCCCTGCAGTGTTATCCAGATGGTTATAGACCTATTCTCTGTACGTGAGGTTTTTTTGTTTTTTTTTGCTCTAATTTGCATCACTTTGCACAATCAAATAGGTTGGGCGTATGCTTTGTTTTTTAAATTACTCATCGTGTATCAAGATATCCGGGAATTATTCACAAACCAATTTCAGTTTCACTATTATGAATAGTTTAGCATCATCCCACAGGCTCGGCCTACTGACCAGTTTATTCCTAAACCCAAACAATTTGTGAGGAAGCCAAACACAATTCTTTTGGGACTCTTTTGCTCCTTGTTTTTCTCTACGTAGCACAGTCAGATCAGCCACGTGTTCCTATTTTTTGCATTCTGTTTTTTTTAACCAGCTAGCAATTTTTGACTGGTTGATCACTTAAGTTTACTCAAGAGCCCTGCTGGAGAAACATGATCCCACAGGTTTTTTTTTTTTTTTAAATCCAAGCATTCAATACGGACATAACTAATTTTGCCTGTCAATGCTCTCAAACAAATTCTAATTTTGGGAGGCAGGAGTTCCAGAATCTGCACTTATTTTGCTTCAGCTTGTTCTCCTATTTGCATCATTAGTTTTTCTCTAATTACCGTTTCTGCTACTTGGCCTGTACGTGTAGTCCTCAACTTACAACAGTTTATGTAGTGACCGTTGGAAACAGATAAATATTGCTTAAATATGTCTAGGATAATGTTCACACACACACACACACACACACACACACACACACACACCTAAGCCACAAACAACAAATCACATTATAGTTTAGCACAGGGGTAGTCAACCTTGGCTCTTTTATGACTCGTGGACTTCAATTCCCAGAATTCCTCAGCCAGCTTAGCTGGCTCAGGAATTCTGGGAGTTGAAGTCCACGAGTCATAAAAGAGCCAAGGTTGACTACCCCTGGTTTAGCATGATGTGTAAATCCAATCATGGACTATTAAAAAAAAAGGAATAATCACCGATTGTGGAATAAAAATTTCAATTGCTTACTTGTATACAGGAATATTATGTTTATCTGAATCCACAAGTATGCCTCCTTCTCCTCCTCCTCCTCCTCCTCCTCCTCCTCCTCCTCCTCCTCCTCCTCCTCCTCCTCCGCCTCCTCCTCCTCTTCTTCTTCTTCTTCTTCTTCTTCTTCTTCTTCTTCTTCTTCTTCTTCTTCTTCTTCTTCTTCTTCTTCTTCTTCTTCTTCTCCTTCTCCTTCTCCTTCTCCTTCTCCTCCTCCTCCTTCTTGTGGCTAATATATTTTGGACTGCAATTAAATTTTTCCCCCTTCTTTTTACCTTAGGCAAATTCTTAAGATGCTTAAAACCCACAGTGCTGATGTGGATCTTTCAACTGTGGGCTTGAAAACATTAAACCTGCTTCTTTCTTCAGGTAGATATTTTTCTTAAAATGTTATAGGCACATGATATTGTTAGTGGTCTCAGACCTTCATTATTCTCAGCGTATTTATTGTTCTTTGAATTCTTGCATATGAAATGATGGGGGGGGGGGAAGATTTTTCTTTTTAATTTGTACTTGATTGATTAAATGCTACTCCTATTGACTCTTAGAAACCACATAGATAGAATTTTATTGGGTTCTTGGTGCTCTCTGACTTAATGGCTTTCTTGCAGATATTTCATTACTAAGCCAGGTAACATCATCACCCCGGATTATCTCTTTGTCCCCTACGGATTCCAGTAGAGTACAGTAGAGTAGAATGCAGAATGCAGTATAGAATAGAATAGAATGCACAGAAGAGTAGAACAGAACAGAAGAATAGAATAGAATAGAATAGAATAGAATAGAATAGAATAGAATAGAATAGAATAGAATAGAGTAATGAAGAACAGAGTAGAGTAGAGTAGAACAGAACAGAACAGAACAGAATAGAATAGAATAATGAAGAATAGAATAGAGTAGTGTAGAGTAGAATAGAATAGAATAGAATAGAATGATAGAGTGGAGTAGAGTAGAGTAAAGTAGAGTAGAGTAGAATAGAATAGAATAATGAAGAACAGAATAGAATAGTGTAGAGTAGTGTAGAGTAGAATAGAATAGAATAGAATAGAATAGAATAGAATAGAATGATAGAGTGGAGTGGAGTAGAGTAGAGTAGAGTAGAGTAGAGTAGAATAGAATAGAATAGAATAATGAAGAACAGAATAGAGTACTGTAGAATAGAATAGAATAGAATAGAATAGAATAGAATAGAATAGAATAGAATAGAATAGAATAGAATAGAATATTTTATTTGTCCAAGTGTGATTAGATACACAAGGAATTTGTCTCAGGTGCAGAAGCTCTCAGTGTACATGAAAAGCAACAGAGTAATGATAATCATAATCATAATACTAATAAGAGGGAGCAGTAAAGAAGGTAATAATAATAATGACGACAATGATGATAATGATGATATATCCATACAACATGAGTAAATGTACTTTAGGCTGGATGGTTAGAGAGATTCCGACATATAACCTATGTGTGACTCATTAAAGCAGCTGCATCCTTTTCTAGGTTGATCCCTGGTTGCAAAGTTTTTCCCCCCTAGTGAAGAAATGATGGAGAAGCAAAAGGGCGGAGAGAGTTGGAAACATATTTCTCACGTGACCAAAATTCAGACGCTTGTCCACTGACTCGTATTTATGACGGTCGCAATGTCTCGGGGTCACGTGATCCCCTTTTGCGACCTCCTAAAAAGCAAAGTCAGTGGGGAAGCCAGATTCACTTAACAACTGTGTCCCTAACTTAATAACTGCAGTGATTCACTTAACAACGGTGGCAAGAAAGGTCGTAAAATGGGGCAAAACTCACTGAACAAATGTTTCACTTAGCCACAGGAATGTTGGGGCTCAATTCTGGTCCAAGGCCGAGGGCTTACCTGTATACAGACATACCAAAAACATGTAAAATATTAGTTACACCCTTTAGGTTTCCAGTCATTTTGTTATCAACAATGGTGGTTTAATAACGAAAGCTAAAGAGGAATTTGGTTAAGACACAGAGATGTTTTATTTCCCAAAAATCACATGAGCTCACAGATGGGATGTCCACTGTGTGATTCATGCGTTTCCTGATGCTCTTCTCTTCACCTTTTAATCTTCCTGCGTTTTCCCATTTCCCTTCTGTCATTATCACAGGAAATTAGGGAGTGCATAATACAGTATTTGGCTTGGTACAATAGCCGTAGGAATCCTATACATAGAAATATCCTTACAGTAGTGGCTAAAATTATGGAAACGTTTTAGGAAAAGTGTACAGTAGAAATGCCACCTTTGGTTAAGTTTCCTCCCATTTTTCTTCTAATTTCTTTATAACTGTAGCCTTGTTCACTTCATAATACTATTTTACATTGCTTTCTGGGCGACCTGTCAACTCTTTGCACCATTCCTTTAATTTTATTACGTTTTACAAGCTCATTAAATGAAAGAACACAAAAAAACCCCACCAACTTGATAGAGAGGACATCACACCCTGACAAATGTCCTCCTCTCAGCTTCAATACAGGACATCAATAACTGGATCCTACTGTGATCTGATTGGCTCATGGCCAAAACAAGATGACACCTGATTGGCTCTCTAAACACTCGCACTCATTGGCTACAATCAGATGAAAGAAAGCTACCTGAGATCAACCTAAGCAAGTTGTGCTTCCTTTTTCTGGTTATTTGGCTATAACTTTTCACAGAATACAGTAAGATAATTGAACAAACTTTGTTGCATGACATTCTTGATTAAATTATCTTTCCACTGATATATAATTTTATGGTACTACTCCCCAAAAAAAGTGGTGTTATTAGCCATCAACTCTCAAAAATACACTTTTCCCAAAAGGTTTCCACAATTTTGGCCACTACTGTATTGGCTATTAAATGATGCTGAATTCAACAGTGCAGTTGTTGACTTACAACTACAATGGAGCCCAAAATTGCTGCTGGTAAGCGAGACATTTGTTAAGTGAGTTTTGCTCCATTTTACGACCTTCCTTGACACCGATGTTAAGTGAATCATCGCAGTTGTTAAATTAGTAACCTGGTTGTGAAGTGAGTCTAGCTTCCCCCATTGACTTTGCTTGTCAGAAGGTCTCAAAAGGGGATCACGTGACCCCTGGGACACGGCAACCGTCATAAATATGAACCGGTTGCCAAACGTCTGGATTTTGATCCCGTGATGCTGCAACGGTCGTAAGTGTGAAAAACGGCCATAAGTCGCTTTTTTCAGTGATGTTGTAACTTCGGACGATCACTAAATGAATCTTTGTAAGTGGAGTATTTCTAAATAGAACCTATGGGATTAACGTCATTTACCCATCTTACGTATACGGGCAGTCCTCAATTTACGACCTTTCGTTTAGTGACTGTTCGAAGTTACAACGACACTGAAAAAAGGGACATGAGCATTTGTCACATTTATAGCCTTTGAAGCAGGGGTCTTCAAACTTGGTCCTTTTATGACTTATGGACTTCAACTCCCAGAATTCCTCAGCCAGTGTGCCTGGCTGTGGAATCCTGGGAGTTGAAGTCCACAAGTCATAAAAGGGCCAAGTTTGAAGACCTTTGTGATAGATGATATAGATAGATGATAGATAGATAGAAGATGATAGAGATAAATTGACTAGATAGAGATATAGAGAGATAGAATAGATAGATGGATGAGGGAGAAATCTTGGCCCTTTTATGACTTGTGGACTTCAGCTCCCAGAATTCCTCAGCCAGTCTGCCTGGCTGAGGAATTCTGGGAGCGGCCTTCAAACGTGGCCCTTTTATGACTCATGGACTTCAACTCCCAGAATTCCTGAGCCAGCCTGGCTCAGCTTGGAAACCTCTCCTTTTCCCCTCAGCATGGCTGGATGAGGAATTCTGGGAGTTGAAGTCCACAAGTCATAAAAGGGCCAAGTTTGAAGACCTCTGCTTTGAAGCACCCCCAGGGTCACGTGATCAAAAATTCGGCAACTCGCCAACTAACTCATAGTTACGATTTGAGTCATGCGATCACCTCTGGCGAGCTTTTGATAAGCAAAGTCAATGGGGAAGCCCGATTCACTTTACAACCATATTATTAACTGCAGTGGTTCACTTAACAACTGCGGCAAGAGAAGTCGTAAGACGGAGCCGAACTCACTTAGTAACCGTCTCGCTTAGCAATGAAAATTGTGGCCGCAAATCAACGACTACCTGTACATTTCTGCGAGTAACACCTTTTCCTTTGGGGAGATTTATTTTTGAGCAGAAATAGATGGAATTGTTTTGACGGAAGCAAAACGAAAAGAACATTTGTGAGCAAATGATCGGCAGAGTTTTTCTTGCATTTTTTTGTTTTAGATGAAATCACACTTCTTCTCTTAGAAGAAGGGACCGACATATTTTTATTGGTATTTGATGCCATGGATTCCTTTCCCGATAATGAAAAGATCCAGAGATATGGATGTAAAGCTTTGCACATGCTTTTAGAAAAAGGTAAGCAATATCGTGGTCTGCATAAATTTTCGCCGTTTTGCTGGAGCTGGAAGGGACTTTGGAGGTCATCTAGTGCAACCCCCTTGCTCAAGCAGGAGATCCCGTACCCTTTCAGACAAGTGGCTGTTCAGTCTCTTCTTGAAAACACTCCAGTAATGCAGTGCCCACAACTTCTGAAGGTAAGCAGGTAAGGTTCTACATTTAGGCAAGAAAAACCAAATGTACAGGTATAGTATAGGGGGTACCTTGCTCAATAGTAGAAACTGTGAGAGGGATCTCGGAGTCCTAGTGGACAATCATTTAAATATGAGCCAGCAGTGTGCTGCAGCTGCCAAAAAAGCCAACACAGTGCTGGGCTGCATTAACAGAGGGATAGAATCAAGATCACGTGAAGTATTAATACCACTTTACAATGCCTTGGTAAGGCCACACTTGGAATACGGCATCCAGTTTTGGTCACCACGATGTAAAAAAGATGTTGAGACTCTAGAAAGAGTACAGAGAAGAGCAACAAAGATGATTAGAGGACTGGAGGCTAAAACATATAAGGAACGGTTGCTAGAATTGGGTATGTCTAGTTTAACGAAGAGAAGGACAAGGGGGGACATGATAGCAGTCTTCCAATATCTCAGGGGCTGCCACAAAGAAGAGGGAATAAAGCTATTTTCCAAAGCGCCTGAAAGCAGGACAAGAAGCAATGGGTGGAAACTCATCAAGGAGAGAAGCAACCTAGAACTAAGGAGAAACTTCCTGACAGTGAGAACAATTAACCAGTGGAACAACCTGCCTCCAAAAGCGGTGAATGCTCCAACCCTGGAAGTTATTAAGAAGAGACTGGACAGCTATTTGTCTGAAATGGTATAGAGTTTCCTTCCTGAGCAGGGGGTTGGACTAGATGATCTCCAAGGTCCCTTCCAACTTTTTTATAATAATAATAATAATAATAATAATAATAATAATAATAGGAACTGCTTCCATCCTGCGACGATACCTGTAATACCATCAAACATCCACATCTGCCTATCCCAGGTCCTGGGTAAGGACTCGATAGGTAGACAAAATGCCAAATCCAGTCTGAACATCTGGCTGACTGTGCGATGATCCACAATAATAATAATAATAATAATAATAATAATAATAATAATAATAATATAAGCAGTTCCACTGGTTAATCAATCAATCAGAATAGAGCTGGAAGGGATCTTGGAGGTCTTCTAGTCCAGCCGGCTTGCTCAAGCAGGAGATCCTATACCATTTCAGATAGAGGGCTGTCCAGTCTCTTCTTCAAAACCTTCAGTGATGGAGCATCCACAACTTCTGGAGGCAAGCTGTTCCACTGATTAACTGGTCTCACTGTTAGGAAGTTTCTTCTTAATTCCAGGTTGCTTCTTTTCTTGATTAGCTTCCATCCATCGTTTCTTGTTTCACCTTCTGGTGCTTTGGAGAATAAGTTGACCCTCCCCCCCTCTTCTTTGTGGCAGCCCCTCAAATGCTGGAAGACTGCTATCATGTCACCCCTAGTCCTTCCTTTCTCTAGACTGGCCATTCCCGAATCCTGCAACTGTTCTTCATAATGTTTTTGTCTCCAGGCCTTTGATTGTCTTAGTTGCTTTTTTTCTGCGCTTTTTCCAAAGTCTCAACATCTTTTTTGTAACGTGGCGACCCAGACTAGATGCAGTATTCCAGGTGTGGTCTTACTAAGGATTTATAAAGCGGTACTAATACTTCATGTGATTATATTCTTTTTGATTTAAAGAATATAATAGATTAGGATGATTGCTATAAGAAAAGGTACTTCTGTCTTTCAATGAGGAAGGAAAAATGTTAAACTTGCTGGGAATAAACACTGCAATATTTAAGGAGTGTGGTCTATTCAAGACACCTTGCCGGCTTAGAATTTGAATCATTATGGCATAATTGCAGCGTTTCTGCAGTAGTTATTAAGCTCTTTGGTGGTTAACCTCTTCCAAACCTCCCTTTAGTGCAGCTCTGCCCTAGCTGAGTGTTGGTTTTTTAAAAAAAATAAAACAGTGATTGAGAAATAACAAAGTGAAGCAACTTCTCTTCAATCTCACAGTTTCACAGAGGATGTATACTTGTCAACAAGTATTGAATTAGGCTAGGGGTGGGGAACCTTGGCTCTTTTATGACTTGTGGACTTCAACTCCCAGAATTCCTGAGCCAGCATGGGGAACTATGGCCCCCTTTATGACTTGTGGACTTCAACTTCCAGAATGCCTGAGCCAACATGCACGCTGGCTGAGGAATTTTGGGAGTTGAAGTCCACAAGTCATAAAAGGGCCAAGTTTGAAGACCCCTCCCAAAATTCCTCAGCCAGGTACACTGGCTGAGGAATTCTGGGAGTTGAAGTCCATGAGTCATAAAAGGGCCAAGCTTGAAGACCCCTCCCAGAATGCCTGAGCCAATGTGCACGCTGGCTGAGGAATTCCGGGAGTTGAAGTCCACAAGTCATAAAAGGGCCAAGTTTGAAGACCCCTCTGAGAATTCCTCAGCCAGGTACACTGGCTGAGGAATTCTGGGAGTTGAAGTCCACAAGTCATAAAAGGGCCAAGTTTGAAGACCCCTGTCTTAAATCTAACAAACAAAATGGAGGCTGGCTGAGGAATTCTGGGAGTTGAAGTCCACAAGTCATAAAAGGGCCACATTTGAAGACCCCTGATGTAGATGATAGACAGGTGACTCTGACCTTTGCTCCTTTTGCCTTCTGAGAATTGAAATTTGTTAAAGACATTATCAAAGCCAAGTCTTGACTTCCTTTATGCCGTTGTCTTGTAATTCAGTTCCTGAGGAGCAGCTGATTGAATTTGTGGAAGCGAACGATCACATGATTATACTAAGAGTGTTTAAACAATTCCCAGAGAAGGAGAATATCATCTGTTTGGCACTTCAGTCCTTGTATCTGTTGGCTGGACCACGTAAGTAGGATTATCTTATCAGAAGATACTGCTGGGGAAATAAATACGTTGGTCAGTAATCATTTATTTATTTATTTATTTATTTATGAGACTTATATACCGCTTTTAACTGCTGCGCCACCTCGGCTCATCCTTGTGCTGGCATTATAACTTGGCCACCAATGCATTTACTAAAGAGATTCCTTTCCTGTAGTACAAACTACGAAATGTGTTTGCAATTCCAAAATGATTGGCAAGAGTGCCACTAACACAAACAACTATGTGTTTTCGTGTGTGTGGATTTTATTTATTTATGTGTGCACATATGCTCCGTATAGCTTAGATTCCCATTTCATGTGAAACTATGGTCTGATTTACAGTGGTTAGTGAAATAAAAAGCATCTATGTACTAATTCACTTAGAACTCTCCTTTCCAGCAATCGACACCCAGAGAATAGAATAGAATAGAACAGAACAGAACAGAACAGAATATAATAGAAAATATGGAATGAAATAGAATGGAATGGAATGGAGAACAGAATAAGAATAGAATAGAATAATAATAGAATATAGAATAAAATAGAACAAGAATAGAACAAGAATAGAACAGAACAAGAACAGAATAGAATAGAATAGAATAGAATAGAATAGAATAGAATAGAATAGAATAGAATAGAATAGAATAGAATAGAATAGAATAGAATAGAATAGAAATATGGAATGGAATGGAATAGAATAGAATAGAATAGTAGATGGAATAGAATGGAAGAATAGAATGGAATAGAATAGAGAATAGAATAGAATAGAGTAGAATAGAATAGAATAGAATAGAATAGAATAGAATAGAATAGAATAGAATAGAATAGAATAGAATAGAATAGAATAGAATAGAGCAGAGCTGGAAGGGACCTTGGAGGTCTTCTAATCCAGCCCCCTGCTCAAGCAGGACAGCCTATACCATTTCCTACAAGTGACCTTCCAGTCTGTTCTTAAAAACCGCTGTTAGACCACCCATGATTTCTGAAGGCAAGTTGTTCCACTGGTTAAGTGTTCTCACTGTTAGGAAGTTTCTCCTTAATTCCAGGTTGCTTCTCTCCTTGATTAGTTTCCGTCCGTTGTTTTTTGTCCTGCCTTCAGGTGTTTTGGAGAATAGGCTGACCCCCCCCCTCTTCTTTGTGGCAGCCTCTGAAATATTAGAAAACTGCTATCATGTCACCCCCTAAGCCAGACATGTCAAACTTGTGAAGTCGCGCAACTTTCCGATGACGCGTTCGGCCTGTGGGCCACCAGTTTGACATCCCTGCCCTAAGTCCTTCTCTTCATTAAACTAGACACACCCAATTCCTGCAACCGTTCTTCATATATTTTAGCTTCCAGCCCTCTAATCATCTTTGTTGCTCTTTTCTGCACTCTTTCCAGAGTCTCAACATCTTTTTTATAGTGTGGTGACCAAACCTGGTTGCAATTTTCCAAGTTTGGTTTTACCAAGGCATTATAAAGTAGTATTAACACTTTACATCAGAGGTGTCAAACTGCCGGCCCGCGGGCTGGACGCGTCATCCGGAAGCCGCGCCCACCCCATTGCCGGCAATGGCAAAACCGTCCCGATACGTTGCGCGACGTCACGTGACGTCGCGAGTTTGACATGTCTGCTTTACATTATCTTGATTCCATCCCTCTCTTAATGTAGCCTAGAACTGTATTGGCTTTTTTGGCAGCTGCCGCACACTGCTGGCTCATATTTAAGTGATTGTATCATTCGGTTCACGATTTCTAATAGCTTATTTTATTTAATTAATGCTCATTTTATCGGCCTGCGGTGAAAGGCAGCATCATTTGCAAATATTTCAAGAATTATTCATGATAATTTTAAAAAATGTCAGCATGCACAAATGGGATGTTTTTCTTACTCAAGATCGTTTTTATGCTGCTTTTAGTTAGCAATGCGGAAGTTCTCATGTCTGGAAATGTGCGGTGTTACAATATCGTAGTGGAGGTTATGAAAGCGTTCCCTGCATGTGAGCCAATTCAGGAAGTTAGCTGCTGTCTGCTGCACAAACTTACTCTCGGTGAGTCCTAATGAAATAAAATTATCTGTCTGTGGATTGATAGGAACATTATTACAGGAGAGAAATGAATAATGCAAAAGGAATTATGGGGGAACTCTGTACACTTAATAAAGCTTCTTTCTGAAATATTATTGAACTATCTGTCCGTCCATCTCTCTCTCTCTCTCTCTCTCTCTCTCTTTCTCTCTCCATCCATCTTTATCTCTCCATCCATCTACTATCCATGCATCCATCTCTCTCTATATCAGTGGTTCTCAACCTTTTTAATGCCGCGACCCCCAACCGGTCGTAAGTCAAGGACTACTCAACTGGATGTAAGTCAAGGACTACTCAACTAGTGCAGCACCGTTTGCAGAATGGGACTTTTGGCGGGCTCAGCAGGGCAGAGATAGCCTGGACAATTCCTATTGGCTTTTGAAAGCCAATAGAATTAGACTCTATTCAAGAGAGTCTATTCTATTGGCTTTCAAAAGCCAATAGAATAAAAGGGAGTAGCACAGCTAAGGAAAAGGGGGAAAAAATGGCGGACTGCGTTGTTTGGCGACCCCCGTGAAATGGTCGTTCGACCCCAAATGGGGTCCCGACCCACAGGTTGAGAACCACAGCTCTATATATATACATCCATCCCTCTGTCTGTCTGTCTATCTATCTATCTATCTATCTATCTATCTATCTATCTATCTATCTATCTATCTACATATCTCTCTCTCCATCCATCTTTATTTATCTATCCATCTACTATCCATGCATCCATCTCTCTATATATATGTACATCCATCTATCTATCTATCTATCTATCTATCTATCTATCTATCTATCTATCTATCTATCTATCTATCTATATCTGCCTATCTCAGATTTCAATATATTGGCATCCTGAATTGATTTAATGTTCCATGAATGAAGCTGAAATTAGAAAAAAAATCTTCATGAATTTTCAAATCACATACACTATGACAACTTCCTGCGATTCTAGCGCTTCTTCAGATAGATTATTCGTAACAGAAAATATGATAAAGGTGATGAAAACATTATTTTCAGGATTTCAGATTTGATTTGTTTTAAAGCTGCCCACCTATATGCTGTTTCTGGAGAAAGTATACAGTATTTGATTCCGATGTCCTTATTTCTATGAAAAAACAAACCACGGAAGGAAAAAATGGGGCATGAAATTGCATCCACTCAAAACTCCTAAAAAAAAATCCCTTATGTTTGCAAAAAATCATGCTAGGTTTTAGTATGGGGCAAACAACCTCTGTCCACATTCAGTTCTCCAGCATCCAACAGTATTCCAATATCTCAGGGGCTGCCATAAAGAAGAGGGAATCAAGCTATTTTCCAAAGCACTTGAAGGCAGGACAAGAAGCAACGGGTGGAAACTAATCAAGGAGAGAAGCAACCTAGAACTAAGGAGAAACTTCCTGACAGTGAGAACAATTAATCAGTGGAACAGCCTGCCTCCAGAAGCAGTAAATGCTCCAACACTGGAAGTTTTTAAGAAGAGACTGGACAGCCATTTGTCCGAAATGGTGTAGGGTTTCCTGCCTGAGCAGGGGGTTGGACTAGATGACCTCCAAGGTCCCTTCCAACTTTATTATTATTATTATTATTATTATTATTATTATCATTCATCGCACAGTCAGCCAGATGTTCAGCCTGGATTTGGCATTTTGTCTACCTATCGAGTCCTTACCCAGGACCTGGGATAGGCAGATGTGGATGTTTGATGGTATTACAGATATCGTCGCAGGATGGAAGCAGTTCCTAATATTATTATTATTATTATTATTATTATTATTATTATTATTATTATTATTATTATTATTATTATTATTATCATCTCAGGCTTAGCACATAGAGCATTGCAGAATTCCTTAAGGGAGAGAAGGAAATTTTGACGGTTCTGAAGAGGTCTGATTCAAGGTGGTTTGGATTTTTTTTAAAAATGATTCCCTCTTCTGAGGACTGAACATGAGTAAAAAAATTACGGCATGTTCCTCTCTGCAGGAAAGTCACCTTGCTTGGTGTATACTCCTATACTCCTACTTGATTGGGTGCTATTCTTTATTCTTGCAAATCATGTCCCCTCCTTCCTTGCCCAAACACTCTTTGAGAATAGTTTTGAGCTGGGAAAAAACTCCTTGTCATGAGTCTTTCTCAACTCCAGGTCAGGTAATCTTCTGTTTTAAATGTAGATTCAAGTTGCTTTTTTTTTTTTTTTAAATCTCCACAGAAAACTTTTTCAATATCCTCGTATTGAATTGTGTACACGAAGTGATTCTGAAGGCTGTAGAAACGTACCCTGGAAATGAGAAGCTACAGGCAGCTGGCATTAGTTGTCTGGCTCTCCTCAGTAAGTAATTAAATGAAAGAAAATGAAGTTCCCCAGGTGAATTTGCCCTCAGACTGTTTTTTTTTTTTTTTTAATGTGAAACCCACAAATGGATGTAAACATCCTTTGTTAAAAGGGAAACTGTTAAACTTCCTCTTTCTACAAGCCACCAAATATTGGTTTGTAACTTTTTCGGTTCCCGTTAGGCTGGGAAATCTTTGATTTGTATTTTCAACCCATGTAGCTGACATATATATATATATACACCCATTTTACGACCGTTCTCGCCACAGTTGTTAAGTGAATCACTGCAGTTAAGTTAGTAACACGGTTGTTAAGTCCACCTGGTTTCCCCCTTGACCTTGCTGTCAGAAGCAAAAGGGGATCACGTGACCCCGGGCCACTGCAAACCGTCACAAGTACGTGTCATTTGCCAAGCATCCGAATTTTGATCACGTGACCAAGGGCAGGGGTAGGCAACCTTGGCTCTCTTATGACTCGTGGACTTCAACTCCCAGAATTCCTGAGCCAGCCTGGCTCAGCTTGGAAACCTCTCCCTTTCCCCTCAGCGTGGCTGGCTCTGGAATTCTGGGAGTTGAAGTCCACACAATATTTAATATTTGTTTGTTATTTATATGTAGGGGTATGGGTCTATACCAGGGGTAGGCAACCTTGGTTCTTGTCAGAATCCAATTATATTTCATCTTTAATTATCAAACATAGAAACTCCCAATTCTGCCTTCTCTGGATTCTGCCATAAGAGGGAGAAAAGGGGGAGAGCAAAGGGGCTTTATGGCCCTCACTTCCTTCAGCACACTTCAAAGGACTGAATGTGTGTTTATTGTGGCCTCTAAGCGTTAACATATCAAAGAAGAGTAATTGCCTTTCATGTAGTTATCTGAAGTCTCCATCCAGACGGAAGAAGAAAGGGGATGGAATTGTGATACTTGAAACTATCACTGGAAGGGGGTTGATTGGGTGGGACTACTGGGGAACCCCTTAAAACCTTGAATGGGAGAGCTTGAACCCCAAGTCCTGTCTAGCATGCCTGCAACCATTTTCTCTTAATAAAGGATTCCTGTTGGAAGAGCTATTCCAAGAGTTCTGTCTTCTTAAGATGCAAAGTGGGGTGGGTCCTTACATTAGACAGGACTTGCAAAATTAATCCACCTGGAAGGTAGACCCTTGCCGGGGGATTTTGCAAAAAATTTACCATGTCAGACAACGAAGCAAGAGAGGGAGAAAACTCCCTGGAAAGAGAGCCGCTGACCCAGTTGGAACCTTGCCAGATGTTGGGATCCGAGAGGCCAGATTTCTCAGAAGAAGAAGTGGTGGAGACACAGGACCACAAGCCTCGCTGGTCGATGGGCGTTGGAAAGAAAAGCGAGTGGGGAAAGGAATCAAGAAAAGTGACCCTGAGACGGGGGACCAAGCAACCAGAATGGAAGCAGGAGATGGAGAAATCCCTGCACGCAAGTGAAGAGGGAGGAAGCTGTATGCCGTACTCAGACTGGATCCTAGAGAGAGCTATTGACCTGATGAAGAGAACTCTCAGCTCCCTAGGAGAGGAGATTCCTGAGCCCTACGCCCGCCCCAGTTCCTGGAGCCACAAAGGGAGAGACACCGAGGGGGACGTGGAACCTGCAACCCCAGGGACATTTACTGATCCAGGAGCTCCCACCCCCTACCGGACCACAGATGGAAATCTGGACGGAAGACACTACCACCCACAATGGAGGCACCGATCCATTCCAAGACGTCCACCGTTGGAGGTGAAATTCAAAGGGGAGCCAACACGCTTGGGGTTTTTCCTAACCCAAGTCCTCAGCTACATGGAGGAATATGGGCAGGACATCCCCAGCGACAAAGCCCGCATCCGGATCGTGCAATCTGCCCTGGATGGACCAGCTGCAGATTGGGTGGTGAACCTGCATGACTCCAATGCCCCAGAACTCAGTAACTTCAACCGTTTCATGTCCTCGTTGAGAAGACGATTTGAAGACCCCCTGGCTGATCGCAAAGCCCGTGAAAGAATAACAACGATGAGGCAGGGCAAACGCCCAGTGGCTGAGTATACACAAGAATTCCGAGCCATTGCCAGCAAACTGAATTGGCCAGAAGACATCCTCCTTGGCCGTTTCAAAGACGGACTAAACTATGATCTATATGATGCTTGCCTGCCCCGAGGAGACCCACATCGACTTGAGGAATGGTACGTCTTGGCAGAGGAAGCAGAGATCGACATATTGAAGAGGCATCGCCGAGGAAAACAATGGAGCCGCCCCCCGCCTGAGCTGACACACCAACCGGTGAAATCATCGGATACAGCCAAGAAGCAGATGGGGTGTTTCAAGTGCGGAAGAGAAGGGCATCGAGCTGTAGAATGCCGCTCAAAGGCCCCCCAGCACAACCCAGACAGATCCCCAATCAACAAACCCAGAGGGTATTCAGCTAAGCCAAAAGAAACAGCCATGAAAATGATGGAAATTGCAGAAAACCCCACCTCTGCTCACCAAGGGGAAAGAACTCCAGCCTACACCACAGGGACGGTGGATGCCTCAGATGACAGCTCGGAAGGCGAACCCCTGGTAAGTGGACGCATCACACCCATCTTCAAAACAGTGACTATATTAATCCCCCCCATGCCCGAAGCTGTGAAGGTGAAAGCCTTAATAGACTCTGGCTGCACCCGCTGCCTCATTAGCCCAACACTAGTGGGGAATCTGGGCATCCCATCCAGGAGACTGGAACAACCAATCTCATTTGGCCAGCTAGATGGATCCATAGCAGGGGGGGTGCCAGCTACCCTAGCCACTTGCCAATACACCTCTCCCTGGGCAACCATGAAGAGGACTTAACGTTTGTGGTGACCCCAGGTATGGAATGCCCAATGATTCTAGGGATGGAATGGTTGAAAAAATGGAACCCCTGGGTAAATTGGAGGACGACAGAAATCAAATTCCCGAAGGGGGACCCTATGGACTTAAAACCCCAAGAGAGGCTACCAGAATCAAGAATAGAAAAAGCATCCATAGGAGAGGAAAAAAGATTAACAGAAATACCAGAGGAATATAGGGACCTTGCTGAAGTCTTCAGTGAGGAGAGGGCGAATGAGCTTCCCCCCCACCGACCCACAGACTGTACCATTGAATTCAAGCCTGGGGCAAAACTCCCGAAACCCAGATTATACTCCATGAGCCCAAAGGAGAAGGAGGAAATGGAAAGATTTATAAAAAAAAACCTGGAGAGAGGTTTCATTGAACCAGCTAAGCCTAAAGTGGCTGCCCCGGTCCTTTTTAGAGAGAAGAAGGATGGCTCTTTACGTTTATGCGTGGATTATAGGGCCCTGAACACAATCAGTGAAAGCAACCTATACCCGCTGCCCCTCATGAAAGACATGCTGTCACACCTATCGAAAGGGAAAATTTTTTCTAAACTAGACTTAAGGGAAGCTTACTATCGCGTGAGAATCAAGGAAGGGGACGAATGGAAGACTGCATTTAACTGCCCCATGGGGTGCTATCAATTCAAAGTCTTGCCATTTGGATTACAAGGGGGCCCTGCAGTCTTTATGCAATTAATCAATGACGTTCTAAGGGAGCACCTGTTTAAGGGGGTCCTTGTTTACTTGGACGACATTCTTATCTTTACCGAAACAAAAGAAGAACACGTCAAACTTGTCAGAGCGGTTTTAAAGAAGCTGCGAGCCGCTCACCTATATGCCAAACTCTCAAAATGCGAATTCCACCAGGAAAGGATAGACTACCTAGGCTATCGCATATCCCCACAGGGCATTGAAATGGACCCAGAGAAGGTCAGAGCAGTATTAGAATGGGCACCACCCCGCACAAGAAAGCAACTACAAAGTTTCCTGGGCTTTGCAAATTTTTACCGCCAATTCATCCCCTCATTTGCACAGATAGCCTTGCCCCTCACTAACTTACTAAAAACGAAGGGAACATCCTCAGTAAAACCTAGCCAGCCACTAACATGGACAATGGAGTGCCAAGCAGCGTTTGAGAGACTAAAGAGACTTTTTTCTGCCGAACCAGTACTAAGGCACCCAGATATGGACAAGCCCTTCATAATACAGGCAGATGCAAGTGATGTGGCAGTGGGGGCTGTGCTATTACAAGAAAATGATGATGCAGTATTGCAACCCTGTGCATATACATCTAAGAAACTCACGGAAACAGAACAGCGCTGGCCCGTATGGGAGAAGGAGGCTTATGGGATACGTTGGGCATTACTCACGTGGCGACAGTTCCTGGAAGGCAACAAAATCCCCTTCCAGGTGTGGACTGATCACAAAAATTTAGAAGCCCTGAAAACTTCCAGGAAACTCAATCCCAAACAAGCCCGCTGGTCCCAGCATTTTCACCAATTCCAATTTAAGCTCAAACATTTACCAGGAAGAAAGAACTTCCTGGCAGATGCACTATCTCGCATGCCCCAATATAACAGCGCACGAACCACAGACTCTAGACCAATAATGGCAGAATCACAACTGGCAGCGCCAGTAACCACAAGAACCCAAGCCAAAATAAAACCACAACTGGACAGCCAAACTGGGATTGAATTCAGAAAAAGTTTGGAAACAGATGATTGGTTCCAGAAAAACAAACATGTGTGCACAATGAGAGACGGATTGCCTTGGGTAGGGGAAAAGTTATATATACCAACAACTCAAAGACTAACTTTCATGCAACTTTGCCATGACACAAAATCAGCAGGGCATTTTGGATTTGTAAAAACTTTACACTTAATTAAACGGCAATTTTGGTGGCCATCAATAAAAAAGGACATAGAAAGTTATGTTGCCAGCTGCCCAACCTGTGCATCAGCAAAGAGGTTGCAAGGGAAATCGCCAGGGCTGTTACAACCAGTGGCAAGTCCCTCAGCCCCCTGGAGGGAAATAGCCATGGATTTTATAGTGGAATTGCCTGAAAGCAATGGGAATACTGTTATCTGGACAGTCACGGACCTATTTTCCAAACAGGTGCACTTTATCCCTTGCCAAAAAATTCCCACTGCAAAGGCCTTAGCAAAACTTTTCATCCAGCACATTTACAGATTGCACGGGGCACCCCAACGCATCATCTCTGATAGGGGAGTGCAATTTACGTCTGCATTTTGGAAGGAATTTTTATCCCTCTTAGGGACCACTCAGGGATTGACATCTAGCCACCACCCTCAAGGAGATGGACAAGCGGAACGGTGCCAGTCGGTACTTGAGCAATATTTGAGATGTTTTTTAAATTTCCAACAGAGTGATTGGACGGACTTACTTCCTTTTGCAGAAGTTGCCTACAATAATGCAGTCCACTCCAGCACAGGCTACACTCCTTTTCAAATAGCCAACGGCCAAAGTTTCAACCCTATGCCAGAGTTAACCCCAAAAGAACCAACGATCCCTTCACTGAAAGAATGGATGGAAAACCTACAAAACACCTGGCCAATAGTCAGAAAATCACTAGATGAAGCTAGGCGGGCATACAAAGCACAAGCCGATAAAAAAAGGGTTGAGCCTACACCATTCATTATAGGAGAAATGGTGTACTTATCTACAAAATACCTAAAGTCCCTACAGCCCTGTAAAAAACTTGGACCAAAATATATAGGACCTTTTCCAATTAAAAGAATCATAAATCCAGTAACAGTAGAATTAGAATTACCCAAAAACCTCAGGCAAATACACCCAATTTTTCATTGCAGCTTGCTGAAAAGAGAGCATCAGTCACCTCTACGGCCAAAAATCCCCCCCCCACCACCTCCAATCATGGTGGAGGGGGAACAACACTTCGAAATAAAAGAGATCCTTGACTCTAGGAGATATCATGGAACAACTCAGTACCTAGTTGCCTGGAAACACCTCCCTGCCTCACAAAATGAGTGGGTCCATAAACGTCACGTCAGAGCTCCGAAGCTATTGAAGAAGTTTCACACAGAGTATCCTAACAAGCCTAACTAAATTCTTTACTTGTGTTTTCTTTCAGGTGGATCTCTCTTATTGTTAAGAGGGGCCGGATGTCAGAATCCAATTATATTTCATCTTTAATTATCAAACATAGAAACTCCCAATTCTGCCTTCTCTGGATTCTGCCATAAGAGGGAGAAAAGGGGGAGAGCAAAGGGGCTTTATGGCCCTCACATCCTTCAGCACACTTCAAAGGACTGAATGTGTGTTTATTGTGGCCTCTAAGCTTTAACCTATCAAAGAAGAGTAAGTGCCTTTCATGTAGTTATCTGAAGTCTCCATCCAGACGGAAGAAGAAAGGGGATGGAATTGTGATACTTGAAACTATCACTGGAAGGGGGGTTGATTGGTTGGGACTACTGGGGAAAAAACCCCTTTTTTTATTGTTTTTTTTTTTTTTTTTTTTTATATTTCTTTTTTTTTCTTTTTTTTAATTTTTATTCTTTTTTTTTTTTTGGCTTTTTTTTTTTTTTTCCTTTGTTCTTTTTTTTCCTTATTGTCTTTTTTTTTTTTTTTTTTTTTTCCTTTCTTTTTTAGTTCTTTTTTTTTTTTTGTTTTTTGTGTGTTTTTTTTCTTTTTTTTATCTTCTTTTTACATATTTTTTCTTTTTTCTTTTTTCTTATTGTTTTCTTTTTATTATATTAGTCATTTTTTTTATTTCTTTTGTTTCTTTTTTTCTTTTCTTTTTTTTTGTTTTTTGTGTTTTTTTTTAATTTTTTTTTCTCGTTTTTTTTTTCTTTCTTTTTCTTTTTTTTTTACTTTTTTTTTTTCTTTTTTTTGCTCTCCCCTTATTTAAACTTTTCTAAAACCTTGAATGGGAGAGCTTGAAACCCAAGTCCTGTCTAGCATGCCTGCAACCATTTTCTCTTAATAAAGGATTCCTGTTGGAAGAGCTATTCCAAGAGTTCTGTCTTCTTAAGATGCAAAGTGGGGTGGGTCCTTACAGTTCTCTTATGACTCCTGGACTTCAACTCCCAGAATTCCTGAGCCAGCATGGCTCGGCTTGGAAACCTCTCCCTTTCCCCTCAGCGTGGCTGGCTCAGGAATTCTGGGAGTTGAAGTCCACAAGTCGTAAAAGAGCCAAGGTTGCCTACCTCTGGCCTAGGCCTAGGCCGCTTTCTGACTCGTGGACTTCAACTCCCAGAATTCCTGAGCCAGCATGGCTCAGCCTGGAAACCTCTCCCTTTCCCCTCAGCGTGGCTGGCTGAGGAATTCTGGGAGTTGAAGTCCACAAGTCATAAAAGAGCCAAGGTTCCCCACCCTTGCCCTATATCAGGGGTCCTCAACCTTGGCAACTTTAAGACTCGTGGACTTCAACTCCCAGAATTCCTGAGCCAGCCTGGTTCAGCTTGGAAACCTCTCCCTTTCCCTTCAGCGGTGGCTGGCTGAGGAATTCTGGGAGTTGAAGTCCACGAGTCATAAAAGGGCCAAGGTTGTCTACCCCTGACCAAGGGGATGCTGCAACAGTCCTAAATGTGACAAACGGTCGTATGTCACTTTTTTCAGTGCCATTGTAACTGTCACTAAATGAACTGTTTTAAGTTGAGAACTACCAGTATTTGTTTAAGTTCACGATAACTGAGCAGCAAAAACTGGAACCTCTCCTAGTTACATAGCCGGGATGGGGCTGAGTAGGTTTTTCATTCTGACTGATAATAAAACAGAAGGTTGACGGTTGGAATGCAGGCTCTTAAATTAATAGCCTTGTAACCAAGGCATCAGATGCAACTTAGGTGCCGCAGTTTAATTATGCAACGTCCCCGTTACCCTAAGGCTGTGATGGGATTCAGCCCGTTCGCATCAGTTAGCGAACCAGAAGCTAATTTTTTGTTGCGTGAGCCCAGAATGGAGTTCCAGAAGCGGCATCCACACAGATGTTCACATATTTGAATCCCACCACTGCCCTAAGGGAATTTCACGTGAAGAAAAATCAATGTAGAATTTTAAGAGTAACAAGTCAAATTGTTAAAATGCTTTCTGGTCTTTTTTTTTTTTTTTGGCTGATGGTGAGTAATTTGGTTCAAAAACAAATGGAGTCGTTGTTGCTCATCTGTGTGGGTGTGGGTCTATACATATGTCGTACATAGTATGTTTAGGTGTGTGTCATGTATGTGTTTCACTTTGAGAACGGGCAACTAAATTTAATTTTTGATGTTTTGCCGTTGTGCCCACTGTACAAAAAATGACAATAAAGGTTATCTTATCTGTGCTGTGAAAATAGACGTTTACGTTCTCAGACTTCAATGAATGATCCCTTTTCTCCCAAGCGGAAACCATCTTTTTAAACAGAGATTTGGAAGACAAAAAGGAAGAAGAGGAAGATGAAGAAAATAAATTCTGTTGGCTGGAGGCCTGCTATAAAGCATTAAAATGTCACAGAAGAAATAGAGGCGTACAGGTAAAACCCTAAAAGCATGGGACTAAGGCCATTAAATATGACTTAAATTTTGTCTAAGGGAAAAAAAGCTGCCAATGCTTATTTTATTTTATGTCCTTCTTAAATACCGAATATACCTATTTTTAACTGAAAAGGGATATTGATTTCTGTGCAGAAGCTGCCTAGATCCTCACCACAGCAAGGAATTTTTTTTTTTGCTCTTAAGTTTTAAAATTAGGTCCTTGACTTACAACCACAGTTGAGCCCCCCAAAGTCCGTTGCTAAGCGAGACAGTTGATAATTGAGTTTTGCCCCATATTATGACCTTGCTGGCCACAGTTGTTAACCGGCTCGCTGTGGTTGTTAAATGAGTAACAAGGTTGTTAAGTGGCTTCCCCTATCTGACTTTGCTTGTCAGAAGGTCGTAAAAGAAGGGAATCATGTGACCCCCTGGGACGCAGCGACCGTCATAAATGTGAGCCAGTTGCCAAGCATCCAAATTTTGATCAGATGACTAGAGGGATGCTGCAACAGTTGTGTGAAAAACAGTCATCAGTCACATTTTTGGTGCCGTTGTAACTTTGAACAGTCATTAAACAAATAGCAATAGCACTTACACTTATATACCGCTTCATAGTACTTTACAGCCCTCTCTAAGCGGTTTATAGAGTCAGCCTATTGCCCCCAACAATCTGGGTCCTCATTTTACCGACCTCGGAAGGACAGCAGGCTGAGTCAACCTTGAGCCAGTCAGGATCGAACTCCTGGCATGAGCAGAGTTATCCTGCAATACTGTGTCCTAACCACTGCACCACCACAGTTTAGATAGCAATAGCACTTAGATGTATATTCCACTTTACAGTGCTTTACAGCCCTCTCTAAGCAGTTTACAGAGTCAGCCTATGGCCCCCAACAATCTGGGTCCCCATTTTACCGACCTCGGAAGGACGGAAGGCTGAGTCAACCTTGAGCCAGTCAGGATCAAACTGTTGGCAGTGGGCAGAGTTAGCCTGCAGTATTGCATTCTAACCACTGCGCCACCACCATTGTAAGTCAAGGACTATCTGAATTAATGACATATTTCTGAGAGCCCAGAATCTTTTCATCTCTGTATGTGATTAACATTAAAATGGTATCGGGTTGTAGTTGTTGTTTTTTTTTTTAAAAAAAGTATAGGTTTTGAACCTTTTCCACTTAGCATGAGTCATGCCCGCGCTTCTTATTAGTCTGCTCTGAAATTAGAAGTGCTGTGCCAAATAATGACTTATATTCTGTTATTCTGCATTCTTTAGGAAGCTGCTTGCTGGGCATTGAACAATCTGCTTATGTATCAGCCTACTCTTAATGAGAAGATTGGGGACGAAGAAGGAAAGTTAGTGCAATCTTTTGCAATAGCTTTGTCAGCTGCACCTAGTTTTTGTTTACATTTCTCTTTCACCTGTTTCCCTTAAGATGCACAATCTTGCTAGGAGAGAAAAGCATGTTCCCTTTGTGCTTCCTGGGTCACATTTTTGAGATGGGATCCTTCATATGAATACTGGGGAAAGCACAGAAAACCGCTTTTCTGCCTCAGATTGCTTGATCCCTAGATCTTTAAAACAGTACAAGTACAGGCCATTCCCAACTTAGGACGACAACAGAGCCCCAAAATTGACAGTGGTTCAGGGGAATTTGCCCCACTTTACGACCTTTCTCGCCACGGTTGTTAAGTGGATCACTGCAGTTATTCAATTAGAGACACTGTTGTGAAGCGAATCGGGCTTCCCCATTGGCTTTGCTCGTCAGAAGGTCGCCTAAGGAGATCACGTGACCCCAGGACACGGGTAGCGTCATAGGTACCAGTTACCAAGCCTTGAAATTTTGTTCACGTGATCACAGGGATGCTGCAACGGTTGTAAGTCTGAAAAATAGGCGATAGGTCGCTTTTTTTCAGTGCCGTTGTAACTTTGAAGAGTCACTAAACGAACTTTTGTAAATTGAGGACATTCTGTAGAAACGCTTAACATTGAAGGGCATTCTAGATTTTGCAATTTGGGAAAATCATTTTTTTTTCCCCTTAACCCAGTGCCTTTCCATTACCAGATATGAAAGGGAGAAGATTCCTAATCCTTCATTCTTTCCTCCAACCAACGTTAAAATAAATCTCAAATTTGGTAGTAGTCTGTATCTTCTTTATCTTTCAGTCTCATAGTTAATCTGTCCGTCTCTGCACATTCCGATATTTTTCTAATTAGTTCTTCTTCTGATGGCAATCCTTCATTCTTCCAGTATTGTGCGAAGATTATTCTCGCTGCTGTAGTAATGTGTAATATTAAATATAGACTCTGCTTATTAATCTTTTCAGGCATTATACCTAGTAAAAAAAGTTCAGGTTTAAAATCAACATGTTCACCTAATACGTTATCTAACCACCTATGTATCTTTCTCCAATAAGCCTTAGCTTTGCCACATGTCCACCAAATGAGGTAATACGTTCCTATATAATGCTTACATTTCCAGCATCTATCCGACATATTTTTAAACATTTATGCTAATTTTGCTGGTGGCAAGTGCCATCTATAAAACATTTTATACAAGTTTTTTTATATTTGCTTTTATTCCCGATTGAATAACTTAAAAATAAAACACGATGATACGACGTTTCCATTGAAATTGCTCTGTCCTTTTTGCGTTAGGTACCCAGCGCACAGAGAAATGATGCTGGCTATGTTGATGTATTCTTCTTCCAAAGAAGTGTTCCAGGCAGCTGCCAATGCCTTAGCTACTCTCGTGAAGCAAAACGGTAAAGAAATTGGACTATGCTTAAGTGGAGAAGGATGGCATTGCAAAACCAGTCCCTTAATACTGGAGTTTGCCCTAGGCCCAAACGCTCAGGAGGAGAATTAGCCTAGACCAGGGGTAGGCAACCTTGGCTCTTTTATGACTCGTGGACTTCAACTCCCAGAATTCCTGAGCCAGCCATGCTGAGGAGATATGGAGAGGTTTCCATGCTGAACCATGCTGGCTCAGGAATTCTGGGAGTTGAAGTCCACGAGTCATGAAGGGCCCATAATTTCCCCATGCTGGCTCAGGAATTCTGGGAGTTGAAATCCACTAGTCCTGAACGGGGCCATAGTTTCCCCATGCTGGCTCAGGAATTCTGGGAGTTGAAGTCCACGGGTCATGAACGGGGCCATAGTTCCCCCGTGCTGGCTCAGGAATTCTGGGAGTTGAAGTCCACTAGTCATGAAGGGGGCCATAGTTCCCCCGTGCTGGCTCAGGAATTCTGGGAGTTGAAGTCCACTAGTCATGAAGGGGGCCATAGTTATCCCGTGCTGGTTTTCATTTAGTGAGCCTGTAAAATGTAATAAAATTAAAGTCATGGTGCAAAGAGTTAACAGGTTGCCCAGAAAGCGATGTAAAATAGTAGTATTAAGTCAACAAGGCTACAGTTATAAAGAAATTAGAAGAAAAATGGGTGGAAACTTAACCAAAGGTGGCATTTCTACTGTACACTTTTCCCAAAAGGTTTCCATAGTTTTGGCCACTACTGTATAGGAAAGATCCTAGGAAGAACCCAACTTACTCTAACGAATAATCCAATACCCAGAATTCTCAGCATATAGCAATAGCAATATATACTTTCTTTTATTTTTTTGTCTTACTATAGCAAATGCTAGAAGAATTCTCTTGGCGAAAGGTATACACATCAACGTGCTGGAGATCATGAAGAAATATTCCAATTCTCCCGAAATTGCAGAAGGTGCCTGCCGATTGCTAAACCATGCTTTCGAAGGAAGGTAAGTAAATCTAAAGGCTGAACAACTAGTTACTAGTAGATCCCAAATCAGCACTCCTCTGGGTTGATTCTGACTTGACTTTGTGCTTCTTCAGGGATCGTTCCCATGTTCCTAAAATTAAGCCCTCTTTAAGTGCTTGGTTGGGGGTACACCAGAGTTTTAGGTTAGGCACTGGAAAATTGTAAAAAATTGGAAATTTTTTGTACAGTTGTCAAGAAGAACTACACGTGTGCCCGTGAAATTGCCAAGAGTTGGTCCTTCCAACTTAATAATAATAATAATAATAATAAATAAATAAATAAATAATAAACAGACAAGCACCTGCAACATAACACCCCAGATTTAACAATTGTCGATAAGAAAGACAAAAAAGTCTGGATAGTGGACGTGGCAGTGCCTGGAGACAGCAGAATAGACGAGAAAGAACTGGAGAAGATAACGAAATACAAAGACCTACAAATAGAAATAGAAAGACTGTGGCAAAAGCAAGCAAGGGTAGTACCAATAGTAATAGGCTCCTTGGGTGCAATCCCAAAACAACTGGAGCACCACTTGAACACCACTGGCATTGACAAATTCACTATTAGTCAATTGCAAAAGGTGGCCTTACTAGGAACTGCTTCCATCCTGCGACGATATCTGTAATACCATCAAACATCCACGTCTGCCTATCCCAGGTCCTTGGTGAGGACTCGTTAGGTAGACAAAATGCCAAATCCAGTCTGAACATCTGGCTGACTGTGCGATGATCCATAATAATAATAACAACAACAACAACAATAATAATAATAATAATAATAATAATAATAATAATAATAATATAATGTGGTGGTGATGATGATGACGGAAGGGACCTTGGAGGTCATCTAGTTCAACCCCCTGCTCAGGCAGGAAACCATATACCATTTCGGACAAATGGCTGTCCAGTCTCTTCTTAAAAACTTCCAGTGTTGGAGCATTCACCGCTTCTGGAGGCAGGTTGTTCCACTGGTTAATTGTTCTAACGGTCAGGAAATTTCTCCTTCGTTCTAGGTTGCTTCTCTCTTTGGTTAGTTTCCATCCACAGCTGTGCATATACAGTCTCCGTAAGCAAGCCTCCCTTTTTTTGAATGCAGAGAGGTCTATCAAATGTATAATCGAACAAACAAAAAGCATGCTGAGTTTATGTTTGAGGAAGCATGTGTAGGAGTAGAAGGCGTGGACGCCGGGGGTGGAGTCAAGAGAGGAATCAGCCTGAAGTCATTACGTTCCCACGAGTGGTCCAGATCAGCCACCCTTGAATTCTTTGCACTAGAAGACCTCCAAGGTCCCTTCCAGCTATGATTCTATGTTCTAATAAATAAAGAGGTTACCAAGGAGTTGACATATTTTCATATTTCCATGATTTATTTTCTAGTTTCTTACAATTGGATATCATGCTCGCCGCTGCATCTGGAAGTGTGCAGACCATGAAGAAACATAAATCTTTGCCATCCGTCCAGTTGGAAGCACTTAAAGTGATTTTACGTTGCATGGCTCCAGGTGAGAGACTTTAACAGAAGACAGTAGCATCAACTAAGCCAAAAATCTACAAATAAAGACTCTTGTTTATGTCATTGTTCTTTTTTTATTTATTTTATTTTTATTTTAATAAAAATTAAAATCGTCATTCCACAAACCCTACTCCCTTCCAGCACTGATGATGTTACCTAGTTGGGTAATGAAACGTCTGCAAGGAAACAGCCAAGCTCAGAGAGCACCAGGGACCACCAAAATTCTGAGTTTCACTTTACTCTCAGCTACTGCATATGTGTTCAAATGCATGTTTGTATAAAAACTCAGATTGAAAAATCACACCCACCAAGATGTAATTCCTGTGTTGATTTCTTGAAAATAAGCCCCACTGTTTCCTTGGAATCACTTCGAATAATGTTTATAGAACAGAAGCCATAGGACCAGTCGTCTGAACGCATAACAGCGGGACATTTATAATTAAGCACAGTTAAGATCAAAATTCTCATCTGTTTCTATCATTAAAAAGTTGTTTGCAATCACCAAGCAAACAAATATGTAGTTTTCCCAGCATGGAACAAGTTTTGAGAAAACTCAGTGATAAAGTATTGTCTAGCTTTTGAATAATTTATGTTTAAGGTAATGATTAGAACTATTGTTTTGTTTTGTTTTTATATATTGGAGTTAAAGTATTTAAAATTTTGTTGTTGTTTTTTGAATGTATTTATAATTGTTTGATGTTTATTTAAGTTGTAAGGTTTTTGTTTTTTTTAGTTTTTATTAACCCTGTATTCAGCTCTGGGAAGAAGGTGGGAGGATGATGGGTGGGAGGGGTGGGTGGGAGAGGGGGATTATTTTATTGTAAAACTGTAAAAATTTTCAATAAAAAAAAAACTCAGTGATGGTAATTTATTTGCAATAATGATTTCTTTCTACCTCGCATTTTTAGCATGATAGCATCTTAAAATAAATTTATCTATTCCTTCTTTCTGTTTTAGTCGGCACTTACCATAATTGTTCTCATTATTGAATCACTGGATAGTTTTTTTAAAAAAAACATACTTCAGGATTGAAATATGATGGTTCAGTTTGCTGTTTTCAATACTTATTTCATAAATCTATTTATATACACAAAAAGATTGCCTGGCCACTTTCTTTGAGCTGCCTCACCACAAAACATGGGTTAGGAATCTGTTTAATAGCACTTAATAATTAAGAATTCACTCCAAAGAGTTCTTTATGTTCATACTGCATAAGATTTTGAACTATGAAACTGTCTCTGTATGGGGATGTGTATTCACGTATCTTTGATGTATTTGAATTACAATAATCGCTTTTACAAATCCTTTCTGTGTGTTGCAGGTATACTAAACAATCAGCAGCACGTTGGTTCGGAAAACCCTAACCTGCAAACAGAGTTAACATTTATGAAAAATAACTTTTTCTTAGAAGATGGCCATTCTCTTGTCCTTGGTGCTCTGAACACGGTACAGTTCATTTCTTTTACGTCTCTTTTATCGTAGTCGCCATATGTATTAATAGGTTACTCTTTTCAATTCTACAAGCTAGTTATAATATAAGAGCTAAATAAGGACTGAGTTGCAAAGTCTTCACTGAAGTGCTCAGCCTAACTCGACCAAATGCCTAATCCTAATTGTCTCTTCATTTTGCCCAAGTGGAAAAAATTTTGCGCCTGTTTTTAAGGTGTCTAAAATTGGTCTCTTTTGTTTATTTTTCTTTTAAATCAAATTTTGGAAGAAGAAAACCCCCATCTCCCTCACAAAAGGACTCTGGGCAGCATATATAAATAAAATATGAAAACATTTTTTAAAAGTGTGTAAAATTTAAAAAGAGGTGAGGATGATTAAAATTCAACATTAAAAGTTAATTGATCGGTGGGAGGGAGGGTTTTTAAGGGTGCTAAACAGCCCCAGAGTGGGGTCAGAAGGGGGGGGGCACCTCACCCTTGGGATTGAGAATTTTCCACATTGATCTCACCTTGTATCCTAATAATCCAAGGGTAGGCAACTTTGGCTCTTTTATGACTTGTGGACTTCAACTCCCAGAATTCCTGAGCCACCATGGCTCAGCTTGGAAACCTCAACTCCCAGAATTCCTGAGCCAGCATGGCTCAGCTTGGAAACCTCTCCCTTTCCCCTCAGCATGGCTGGCTCAGGAATTCTGGGAGTTGAAGTCCACGAGTCATAAAAGAGCCATGGTTGCCTACCCCTGTGATAATCCTTGACTCACAACCATTTGTTTAGTGCAGTGGTTCTCAACCTTTTTAATGCCGCGACCCCCAACCGGTCGTAAGTCGAGGACTACCCAACTGGTCGTAGGTCGAGGACTTTCCCTACCCGGGAGCGCTGCGCATGCGTGGTGCCTCCCCCTGCGCCGGCCGAGGCGTAGCTGGCAAGGGGCAGCGATGGCGCAGGGCAACCACCGGCTGGGCCACCAGCTGGCCCAGCCCAAGGGAGGTAAGGCACCCGCTGGGCCCCACGCAGGAGTAGCACAGCTAAGGAAAAGAGGGAAAAAATGGCAGACTGCGTTGTTTGGCGACCCCCGTGAAATGGTCGTTCGACCCCAAATGGGGTCCCAACCCACAGGTTGAGAACCACTGTTTTAGTAACTGTTTGAAATCATAACAGCACTGAAAAAAGTGGCTTATGACCAGTTTTCACACTTACGACCGCTGTAGCATTGCCAGGGTCATGTGATCAAAATTTGGACGCTTTGCAACCGGCTCCTATTTATGACGGTCGCAGTGTCCCGGAGTCACCTTCTGACAAGTAAAGTCAAAGGGGAAGCCAGACTCACTTAACAACCATGGTTCTGACTTAACAACCGCAGAAATTCACTTAACGATGGAGAGAAAGGTCGTAAAATGGAGCAAAAATTCACTTAACAAGTATCTCCCGTAGCAACAGAAATTTTGGGGCTGCATTGCTGAGGACTTCCCGTATTTGCATCGAAGCTCAATAAATTGAAGATTTATATCAGGGGTCTTCAAACTCGGCCACTTTAAGACTGGTGGACTTCAACTCCCAGAATTCCTCAGCTGAGGAATTCTGGGAGTTGAAGTCCACCAGTCCTAAAGTGGCCAAGTTTGAAAACCCCTAATTTATATCAACAAATCTAAGCATTTGTTTTCTTTGCTTCTAGTTCATTGGAAATCCAGGCATCCAGAGATATGGACTCCAAATACTTTCCTGTGTCAAAGAATCCTCCACTCTATTACAATTGTTATCAAATCTAGGAATGACAGATACTGTGCTCCACACGCTACAGATGTACCCGGATGATCAAGGCGAGCAGAAAACAAATTTATTTTGAATCTGAAAATGTCCTGTCATCAAATTAACCTTTTGTCCAACTTGGACAATGTGCAGATATGGGAGATAACGCCTGGGATGTTCTGTAAATTGTTATGAGATACGTATGATGGATAGCCGTATTTCAGAAGGTTGATTTAGAAAGTTTGCATGCAATGCTTAGCCATATTTTTAGATTTGTGTGCATGACCCATTGTTAGTTATTTCCAGCCAAATGTAGAAGATAGAACATAGAATAATCGGGACCTCGGAGGTCTTCTAGCCCAACCCCTGCCCATAGCAGGAGATCCTATTGGAAAAAGCCCTTTTCAGCTAACTATAACCTGAATGACTGAGAATCCTCATTGACATTAAGTTGAATAAGGAGTTCAGGCTACGATTCTCGAGAATTTTGATTGAATTGCTTCTAAACAAGTCAGCTCCTTACAAATTCACAACTCAGCGCCGTATAGGATCAAACCCAGAACTTTGGATGAAATATAATTTTCCTAATATTTCTTTTTTTCTGAAGAAAAGCCATAACTTCAACTTCAGCATATTGACCAGTGAACATCTGCCTCCAGAAATTAAGTTATACAATAAATGGAGAAACTTAGAATACTGCCTTATTATATTTCTTTTTGTGCATAGAATATAGGAAATATAGTTTGCTAGAATGAAGATTTGTATTCAAAATGCAGGATCCAATCTGGGTCGATCACCGAGACCAGAAGTTTAATCTTCTGAGTTTTTGGACTCGTGCTTAGACCTAAACCTATTGGTAGCTTCACATTCCAGTGAACAAGGACATACGTTCAATTTCGAAGCTACTAAGATTGTTGGCTGAGCAGGTACAAAAACAGGCAGGGAAGCGATTGAAGCCGGGGGCCCTTGTCATTGAACAGGAGTGCCGATTTACTACCAGCTTATCACGTACTTAGGAGCCAAGGAATGGGCAGCACAAGGAAACAATAGCCAACAACCTAATAGCCAGCCATCAACACCCATGCAACAACTAAAAAGCTACATACAACTAGGCACTACATAAATACTATGCCTAGAACAACCCAAAACATACAGAAGTTTCCTGAGGATGGGTTCCACCATGAGTCCGAAAGCTTGGAAGACCAAACCTCTAGTACCAATGAACAACACAGATTGGATCATGCAACATTATCTGGGACATGTATATTTTCCTTCATTCGTGTATTAACACTATATACACACACATGAACCTATATGTGGATAACAATTAGCTCAGATGGAAGGTTAAGAAGAAAGAGAACTGTGGTGACACAGTGGTGAGAATGTGGTATTGCAGGCTAACTCTGCCCACTCCCAGGAGTTCGATCCTGACCGGCGCAAGGTCGACTCAGCCTTCCATCCTTCCGAGGTTGGTGAAATGAGGACTCAGATCATTGTGGGCAATATGCTGACATTTGTAAACAGCTCAGAGAATACTATAAAGCAGTGGTTCTTAACCTTTTTGAACGAATCGCCCCCTTGAGCCAATGAGGAAGTTGTCATCGCCCCCCCTCCCCCAACATAACCTCTCAATCACAACATAGAAAATAATTCTTCAATTTATGCAAACACTTGTTTTATTTTCTTTAAAATTGTCATCAGGACATATCGATGCAAATAATTTATTTCCAATCTTTTTCCCATATCTCAACTGTGTGAAAAATTTTGGTGCCACCCGTCACTTTATTCCCAAACTTCGGGATACATATATTTCATTATTATCTTATTTATTCAAGACACTTAAATGTAATGACCACTTTGAAAACAAAATTCAATTGCAAGAAAGTGAAATGCCCGAAAAGAAAAACAGTAATATTTAATGATTGAATTACAAGTGAAATTTAAGACGCAAAAAGAAATATAAAAAGGGTAGAGGCTGCTGCGCAACGCGCATGAAGATAAGCAATGCCTATTCACATATGTATGGCGTTCTGTACTGAAGCTAGCTGGAAGAACATTTGAAAACACAATTCAATCCACTAATAGTGAGCAATCTGATGTTTTTGTACGACAGATATGCAGCCATTCACTGTACGAAAAAGTCTCAAAAGTGTCCCCAAAACTTCTCGCTCCATCGCCCCCATATCGCACCCTTTTCGTTCCTTCGCCCCCATGTCACCCCTTTTCATTCCATGGCCCCCCCTGAAAAATGAAATCGCCCCCTGGGGGTACAATATCGCCCTGGTTAAGAACCACTGCTATAAAGCACCTTGAAGTGGTATATAAGTCTAAATGCTATTGCTATTTTCTGCTTGATAAACATTTCCATGGTAATATTCCCAACTTTCTTTTCTTTCTAGAAATACAACACTTAGGTTTAAATCTTCTGGGATCCCTGGTATCAGGAAAGAGATTGTGTACAGTTACTTTCTATGTCCTGGTATCACCCTTGGTTTCGACATTACGACGCTTTAAGGATGTGGTTGAAATTCAGACTCAGGTACACCCAAATGCAACACGCCTACTAAGGCAGGAGGATTATTTGAGGAAGCTTAAATTCAGATATTTGGGCTTTTTTTTCTCTCCTTTGCGTTGAACCAAATGAATGCACAGGTAATCCTCAATTTAAGTCCGTGACAGAATCTGCCCAGAAGGAATGTTTTCGCCTCAAACTCTCCATTTTGCGTGTATTAATGGTACATTTGAAGTGATGCTACATTTTCGTTGAATTATAGGGATATCAAATTATTACAACCATACTCGACTCGTCCCCTTGGTTTGCAAACCTGCTCATCCAGGAATCGTTTGATACCTGTCTCTTCTATCAACTCTCCACATGCTTTAATGAGCAAAGAGATCAGCAGGTAACTCAACGTTTGCGGTGCACAGATAGTCCTCAAGTTACAGCAGTTCGTTTAGCGACCGTTCGACGTTACATCGCTGGGAAAAAAAAAGTGACTTTCCCAGGAACTGTTTTTCACAGTTCCAACCGTTGCTGCAGCATCCCCATGGTCATGGGATCCAAATTTGTCTGCTTGGCTACTGATTCATATTTCACCGTCCCGGGATCATGTGATTCTCCTTTTGATCTTATGACAAGCCACGTCAATGGGGACGCCAGATTCGCTTAACAGTAATACGTTCCTAATTTAACAACTGCAGTGATTCACTTAATAATTGTGGGAAGAAAGGTCGTAAAATGGGGCAAAATTCGCTCAACAACTGTTTCACTTAGCGACAGAAATTTGGGGCTCCATTGTGGTCGTAAAAGGAGGACTAGCTGTACACTCTTTTGCTCCTTCTGTCTCTGTCTCAGCCCTTCAATTCATTTATTTTAACAGTCCTGGGAAGGCAGTCTTTAATTTATGAAGTGTGTGAGTTAAACCAGGGGTCCCCAATCCCCGGTCTGTGGAGCGGCACCGGGCTGCGGCACGCCAGCCACCGGTCCACACAAACAAGCAAACCCCCCCCCCTCCATCTGTGAGATGCAGGCAGCACACAAAACCACGCACCCTCCGGTCCGCGGAAAAACCTCTCTCCACGGAACTGGTCCCTGGTGACCCAAAGGTTGGGGGGACCTCTGAGTTAAACCCTGAGGCAAATTTGACACCTTGGTTTCAATCCTCTTTCATCTCCCTTGTAGCTTCAAAGTCTTTGTTGTAAATGCTTTGCGAAAATAACTCAACACGAGGACTTGAAAAACGTGATGTTGGAGAAGGCCTGTGCCGAAGGCAACAGCGTTATGGCCGAATGTTTGCTGCTGCTGGGTGCCGATGTGAACCAAAGCTCGAAGGAGAAGTCTTTAATTTACGAAGTACGTAAGTCAAAACCGCAGGCCAGTGTGCTCCAAGGTAAAAAATGGCATGGTTTTAGTGCAGAAGTAGTCAACCTTGGCTCTTTTATGACTCATGGACTTCAATTCCCAGAATTCCTGAGCCAGCTTAGCTTTTAAAAGTACTATGTTATTTCCTCTGTTCTGTTATTACTGCTTTCTTCTATTCTCTTTTATTTTTTATTTTATTTTATTTTTCTTCATTTTTTCTCTTTTCCCCTCTTTTTTTACCAATATATTTAAAACTTAAGACACATAAAAATGTGGGATGGCTTATATGGAAAAAATAGAATCAAGTTTGTCAATGTAAATGTAACTAATTGTCACCAGTAAAAATTACTTAGAATTTGGTGGGAGAAATAAACTAAAATAAGGACTGTAACAGGATATATGATAAGGCAATTTAAATGAATGGAAAGAAAAGAATGCATTAATATGATGATTATTTTTTTAGGAATATTGGAAAAAAATATATACCAAATTGTCACTTATTAAAACAATAAGAATTATATTAATGTAATGTTTGCAAAAAAAGGATGTTTCAGGGAAAGAGGAAAGTAAACAAAATTAATATATGAAATACAGACTATAGAAATTAATTATTAAGGATTGTTTTTACAAATGTAACCCAGACATCACACTGTTTACCAACTATTGTGACTTATGTTTGTGCAAGTTTGTCAATGTAAATGTAACTAATTGTCACCAGTAAAAATTACTTAGAATTTGGTGGGAGAAATAAACTAAAATAAGGACTGTAACAGGATTGATGATAAGGCAATTTAAATGAATGGAAAGAAAAGAATGCATTAATATGATGATTATTTTTTTAGGAATATTGGAAAAAAAATATACCAAATTGTCACTTATTAAAACAATAAGAATTATATTAACGTAATGTTTGCAAAAAAAGGATGTTTCAGGGAAAGAGGAAAGTAAACAAAATTAATATATGAAATACAGACTATAGAAATTAATTGTTGAGGATTGTTTTTACAAATGTAACCCAGACATCACACTGTTTACCAACTTTTATGACTTATGTTTGTGCAAAAAAAATTAATAATTAAAAAAAAAGGAATTCTTGGGAGTTGAAGTCCACGAGTCATAAAAGAGCCAAGGTTGACTACCCCTGTTTTATTTCAAACATTTATTTTTGTCCTCCTCCTCCTCCTCCTCCTCCTCTTCCTCCTCCTCCTCTTCCTCTTCCTCCTCCTGTCATAGGTATGTGAGAAAGGAAGCAACCCAAAATTGGTTGAACTACTGCTCAACAGCGGTGCCCGGGAACCCGATGTTCGAAGCGCTCTGACAGTCAGCATCAAGAAAGGAGACAGTGGAATCATTAGCCTGCTTCTTAAAAAACTTTGCCTGGATGTGGCCAACAGCAGCATATGTCTGGGAGGATTCAGCCTTGGGCAAATTGAGCCTTCTTGGCTGGTCCCCTTGTTTCCAAGCAGACCTCTGTCCTTCCGGAAGCAAACCAGTATGTGTTCATAGAAATGGGTATTAATGTGAAGATGTGTGTAGGTGTCAGGCGCAAAAAAAACAATCCCCACATGTGTAGAATTCAAATTAGTACTTTAATGTTGTCTGCCTATAATACAGGAATCTCCCTAGACTGGCAGCTTTTTTCAAGACTCAAAGGCAGTGATGGCGAACCTTTTAGAGACCGAGTGCCCAAACTGCAACCCAAAACCCATTTATGCATTGTTGAGTGCCAGGTGGGCGTGGCCCATTGGGTGGGCATGGCCCACTGGGTGGGCATGGCTGCGGTGGTAACGGCAGACTGGGTGGGACTAAAAAGTTCAATCAATCCCAACTTTGCGAGATCTTTCTTTTCCCTGCAAGAAGTTGAAATTGACTGATTGATTGAACCTTTCTTTTTTTTTTGTACACGGCGGCGGAGGCCTAAAGCGAAAAGGTTTTATAGAACCCAGCTGAAGGCCTAGGACTGGGACGATGGCATGCGTGCCCACAGAGAGGCCTCTGAGTGCCACCTCTGGCACCCGTGCCATAGGTTCGCCACCACTGCTCAACGGCATTCAGGGCTAGTTAGACCTTGCCCTCTTGTGTTTACGAAGTCAGTCCAGGCTAATTCCATGCTTGACTCTCCTCCTGACTGGGATGGCTGCTCCCCAAAAGGGGTAGTCAAGCCACCTGTATGCTATTTCAGAGCTCGCCGCTGAATAGGATAAGAGCCAACGGGTCTTTCACAGGCCACTGACTTGATACTTGTACTGTATATTCTGAAAATTCCGAGTATTGGATTGTTAGGCCGCGTAAGTTGGCTTGTTCCTAGAATCTTTCATACAGATAAACCATAGTCCTATGAACATGGATAATGGTTGTTTGCTGTGCCATCCTTTGATTTAGATTGCTGCCATAGTTATTTTGTTAGTAGGAGGGAGAAGCTGTCTGGAGGCAAAGAGCTTTCCATTGTTTGTTGTGAAATTCTGGAACAAGTCCCATTCATTTAGACTAGAAAGCAGTGGAACCTGAGTTCTAGTCCTGCCTTAGACATAAAGGCCAGTTGGGTGACTTTGGACCAATCACCAAGAGACTGTGACTTTTAGTCCCACCTTCGGCATAAAAGCCAACTAGGTGACCCGGTGCCAGTCTCTCTCTCTCTCTCTCTCTCTCTCTCTCTCTCTCTCTCTCTCTCTCTCTCTCTCTCTCACACACACACACACACACACACACACACACACACACACACACACACACCAACTAGCCTCACAGGGCTGTTGTGGGGAAAGTAGGAGGAAGAAGCTATGTTGGATATGTTCGCCATCTTGAGTTATTTATAAAAAAAAAAATCATAAAGGTGGGTTATACAGGAGTGGCCAGAATTGTGGAAATCTTTTGGGAAAAGTGTATTTTTGAGGTTTGATGGCTAATAACACCACTTTTTTGGGGGGGAGTAGTACCATAAAATTATATATCAGTGGAAAGATATTTTAATCAAGAATGCAATGCAACAAAGTTTGTTCAATTATCTGTACTGTAATCTACGAAATGTTATAGCCAAATAACCAGACAAAGGAAGCACAACTTGCTCAGGTTGATCTCAGGTAGCTTTCCTTCATCTGATTGTAGCCAATGAGCGTGAGTGTTTAGAGAGCCAATTGGGTGTCATCTTGTTTTGGCAATGAGCCAATCAGATCACAGTAGGATTCAGTGATTGATGTCCTGCATTGAAGCTGAGAGGAGGACATTTGTCAGGGTATTATGCGATGGCTATCAATTTGGTTGATTTTTTTGTGTTCTTTCATTTAGTGAGCTTGTAAAACATAATAAAATTAAAGTCATGGTGCAAAGAGTTGACTGGTCGCCCAGAAAGCAATGTAAAATAATATTATTAAGTGAACAAGGCTACAGTTATAAAGAAATTAGAAGAAAAATGGGTGGAAACTTAACCAAAGGTGGCATTTCTACGGTACACTTTTCCCAAAAGGTTTCCACAATTTTGACTACTACTGTCTATTTATTGTTCAACCAGTTGCAGAATGGCCCTCAGATTGAGAAGCAGGGCATCCCAGCTTCAGAATAAGGCATTGTACGAAGAGAAAAACTTACTGCCATAATCTCACTACTCTGCATTATTTTGAAGCAGATCATCCAAGCTTTCCAGTTGTTCTAAAATGGAAATCGAATTATGTAAACCAGAGCACGTATGTTTAAATTACTTATGGCTCTGAACACAGCCACTCTATGCAGCATGTACTCTGTCCGGTATTTGTGAAATAGTATTACATTTCTTTCTCGTATGTAAACTCCAGGTTCCGCGTTGGCCGTAATGGTCCTTCGATATCAGAGGACGAGTAGTTACAAAGATGAGTCAAGATCTGACATAAACAGCCAGACTGATGAAATGCAGAAATTTGATGAATGGACGTTCTTACCTGATCCTTTAGTTGACAATGTCTTCTCTTTGAGTGACGACGTCGAGAGCGAAGGTACATTTGCTTAATGAAATGAACAGATTTATTGCTCCGTTAATATATCAGCACACTTGTATGTAAAAAGAACACAGTCATTGGAGTTGAGGGCATGGGAATGATCTGTCTATAGCATGAGAATCTACAGTTTTCCAGTTTTCAATATTTAAGAAAATATTAAATATGACAATGTTATCTCTGCCTCTATTCCTCCAGCTGTAATGTGCAATAATCCAATCTGTTTTAATCTGCATAATCTATGCATTACGTAAAAGGTGGAACAGATTATTGTTTTAATGAATTTCACTGCAACTCAGAATTTACAAGTCGGACCTGGCAAGTGATTCTGTTCATTTCACAATTGTGGCAAGAAAGATCATAAAATGGGACAAAAGTCACTTCACTCTTTCACTTAGCAATATAAATTTGGGGCTCTATTCTGGTCATACTGTAAATCAGGGGTCCTCAAACCTGGCCACTTTAAGACGTGTGGACGTCAACTCCCAGGATTCCAAAGCCAGCCATGCTTGTGGACTTCAACTCCCAGAATTCTGAGAGTTGAAGTTCACAAGTCTTAAAAATGGCCAAGTTTGAAGACCCCTGCCATAAATCAAGAACTATCTGTAAATTGATTGAGGCTACAATATATTTTGGGGGGTTGCATCATGCCACATTTCTGACATCTGGATTGTTATTAGTGGAAGTTTGGTTGGTTTTCTTTTTTTAGTTTCTTTCATTGCCCTGTTATGAATATATAAGTGTGATTTATTTTAATCGTTTTTTTCCTTTTCACCTCAGGCAGTGAAAGCTCATTTATGGTAAGGCAGAAATCTTACTCCGTGGCGGCCGCAGACCTCCAGAAACCTCTTCAGGCCTACTCTCCTCCCCTCCAAAGACATTCCAGATCTGTGGTGAGACAAAGGGTTTAAATGGGTTCCAACTGTATAGGGAGTCCTCATTTAACGACGGCCAGTTCAGCCCTCCTTCCAAGTTACAATGGCTCTGAATGGGGGGGGGGGAACTTAACGACGGGACCTCGTCATTGCAGGCTTTGCAGCATCCCTGTGCTTACACAATCATGATTCAGGCACTCGGCAATCACAAATACAACATTGCAGCATCCTGTGGTCACCTGCAGGCTGTTGTGAGACCTTGACTAGGGGTTTCTGATGAGCAAAATCAACATTTAAATTTAGGACAGACTTGGAAGGGGCTTTGGAGGTCTTCTAGTCCAGCCCCCTGCTCAAGCAGGAGATCCTATACCAGGGGTAGGCATCCTTGGCTCTTTTATGACTCGTGGACTTCAACTCCCAGAATTCCTGAGCCAGCACGGCTCAGCTTGGAAACTTCTCCCTTTCCCCTCAGCGTGGCTGCCTCAGGGATTCTGGGAGTTGAAGTCCACAAGTCATAAAAGAGCCAAGGTTCCTGACCCCTGTCCTATATCAGGGGTCCTCAACCTTGGCAACTTTAAGACTTGTGGACTTCAATTCCCAGAATTCCTGAGCCAGCCTGGCTCAGCTTGGAAACCTCTCCCTTTCCCCTCAGCGGTGGCTGGCTCAGGAATTCTGGGAGTTGAAGTCCACGAGTCATAAAAGAGCCAAGGTTCCCCACCCCTGCCCTATATCAGGGGTCCTCAACCTTGGCAACTTTAAGACTTGTGGACTTCAATTCCCAGAATTCCTGAGCCAGCACGGCTCAGCTTGGATACCTCTCTCTTTTCCCTCAGCGTGGCTGGCTCAGGAATTCTGGGAGTTGAAGTCCACGATCATAAAAGAGCCAAGGTTGCCTACCCCTGCCCTATACCATCTCAGACAAGTGGCTGTCCAGTCTTCTCTTAAAAGCCTCCAGTGATGGAGCATCCACAACTTCTGGAGGCAAGCCGTTCCACTGATTAATTGTTCTCGCCGTTAGGAAATTTCTCCTTAATTCCAGGTTGCTTCTCTCCTTGATCAGTTTCCATCCATTGTTTCTTGTCTTGCCTTCTGGGGCTTTGGAAATAAATTGACCCCCTCCTCTTTGTGGCAGCCCCTCAAATACTGGAATACTGCTATCATGACCCCCCTCCTAGTCCTTCTTTTCTCTAGACTGGCCATTCCCAAATCCTGCAGCCGTTCTTCATATGTTTTAGCCTCCAGGCCTTTAATTATCTTAGTAGAATATCCTTAAAAAGTGTTCAAAAGTCCCGCTTTTGGTTTTTTTTTTCTTTTCTTCAGGGGCTTGGATCACCTTACGAACCATTAACGAACCAAAGAAGAAAAAATGTGTTTTCTGAAGAATCCCACAGTAAGTAGAAAATGATAATAGATATTAAAGTTCTTATCAAAGTTCTTATCTTATCAAAAGCACGCCTGATCGAAAATAGTTCAAAACAAAACGAAGCTGTTATCATGGTGCGGAATACTAAAATACGAGCAAGACTGTTCATAGTGTTACTATTATTGGGGCTATGCAAGTTTAATGTGGTTTGGTTTGTGCGTAATGGGGTGTGCGAACCCACGTACTATGGTTTGCATACAATAATTTAGCTTGTTTACTCCCTACCGTGTTTCTCCAAAAATAAGACCGGGTCCTATATTAATTTTTGCTCCGAAAGACTCATTAGGGTTTATTTTCCAGTTAGGACTTATATTCAGGGAAATACGGTACTCAATGCATCCATCCAGCTGATGATCTTAACCGGGGCTTATTTTGGGGGGGCGGGGCTTATATTACGAGCATCCTGAAAAATCATCCTGGGGCTTACTTTCCTATTGGCTCTTATTTTCGGGAAACCACAGTAATCCCTTTATTTCTTAGTCCCATGTGCCAATATTTAAATGCGTGAACGTGTTACCTATTCTCGGTACAGGTAGTCCTCAGCTTACAACAGTTCATTTAGTGACCGTTCGAAGTTACGACGATCCTGGGAAAAAAGTGACCTATGACCTTTTTTCACACTTCATGACCGTTGCCGCATCCTCGCGGTCACGTGATCGAAATTCAGACCCCCCTGGCAACCGACTCATATTTATGATGGTTGCTATGTCCAAGAGTCATGTGATCGCGGCAGTATCCCCATGGTCACGTGATCTGCATTCGGATGCTTTTCGAGTCACTCACATTTATGACGGTCCTTTTTGTGACCTTCTGACCAGCGAAGTCAACGTGGAAGCCAGATTCACTTAACAACCATGTCACTAACTTCGTAATGGCAGTGATTCACTTAACAACGTTGGCAAGAAAGGTCGTAAAATGGGGCAGAATTCACTAAACCACCGAAACGTCGGGCTCAATTGTCATAAGTCGAGGACTACGTGTATTTTAAGGCAACTGTTAGACATTGCTAAACTCTTTTAGACATTTAATCTAAAAGTTTTTAAGTGTTTGGTACAGCTTGCCAAAATCCGATGAAACCAGGGCAACAGATGTTGCTAAAGAAATTGAATGTTATTTTTTTTTTTAATTATAAATTAGAAGGCACGTCTGTCTTCCAATCAAACCTGAAGAGCTCGGACAGTTTTTCTTCCCTGGTCTCTGACAGAGAATATATTAAATCCCTCGACCTGTCTTCAAATGAGCTGGAGAACGTAGATCCCATCAGTCAAAGTCTTTGCTTAATTACCCACTTCGAACATCTCGACAAATTGGAACTGCATCACAATCAGCTTTCCTGCATTCCAAAACAACTTTGTGAGGTGAGTCTCCCAAATGTCAGAAGAGAAGGATGAAGGAATCTGAAAATATTTGATTTCAGTCCGAAAAGCAATTAAAACACAAACTGGAACAACTTTAATAATGATAATGAATAATAATAATAATAATAATAGTAATAATAAAAGTTGGGAGGGACCTTGGAGGTCATCTAGTCCAACCCAAATCAATTAAATAAATAAATAAACCCCCTGCTCAGGCAGGAAACCCAACACCATTTCGGACAAATGGCTGTCCAGTCTCTTCTTAAAAACTTCCAGTGTTGGAGCATTCACCGCTTCTGGAGGCAGGTTGTTCCACTGGTTAATTGTCCTAACTGTCAGGCAGTTTCTCCTTAGTTCTAGGTTGCTTCTCTCCTGGATTAGTTTCCATCCGTTGCTTCTTGTCCTGCCTTCCGGTGCTTTGGAGAATAGCTTGACTCCCTCTTCTTTGGGGCAGCCCCTGAGATATTGGAACACTGCTATCCTGTTCCCCCTCGTCCTTCTCTTTGTTAAACTAGTCCCTGGTCCCATTAGCTGTGTGATTAAAAACATTAAGAACATGGTTTCTAGGAATGCTACAATTTTCTAGCTGGACTGTATCCTCTTTGGAAGAATGTTAATCTCCAAACTTGGATAAGCCGTTTGAAAGAATGTGAGATAGGATATGTTTTTGCAAAATTTGCAAAAATTAGAAGGCAACGGGAACGCGATCTAAGAAAAAGTTTGAGATGGTTTCTTCTGTAATGGAATAAGCCATTGCTAAGAGTGAATGTTTTATTAGGTACAATTAAAGTTATAAAATATCTCTGTAGAATAGAAACAGTTCTAGATAATGTGATTTTTATAAAAACATAGGAAACTGAACAGAAAAAAAAAACTAGTGGTCCATCAGACCTGTCCTGTTGTTTTTGTTTTCTTTTTTATTTATATATGTTTTTTAATTATTTTATTTTTTACCGTTTTACTGTTTTATTTAGTTTATTTTTTTTTGCCGACGACGGACGTGTGTTTATCCCAAGCACACGTTCATCACCTGACCAAAAATTTAAAACATGAAAAATAATTTTAAAAAACAATAAAGAAATACATTTACATATTACTAACTACATTTCTTCAACAAAGAAAGTCTGTGTCCCCCTTAAAGGGCCAGGCTGATTTGTGCAGTGTAGTTTTAAATTATTGTAAGGGCCCGCTCCACATTCAAATGGTGGCAAATCAGGTTTTTTTGCTTTTCTCTGATTTATTAGTTACATTTTATTATATAAATTACAAGGGCTTCTTTCTCTCCTTGACAGTATATAATCAAAATGATATGAAATTAAATAAAAAGTAAGGTGCATTTAATTCCAAATGGTTTGTTTTAGCCAACATAATGGGTAATTTGTAGAACCTGGACTGAGAAGAGATATAATTGGGGGGGGGCATCAATGAAAAATCTGAAATTTCATGAAGGATTCAATGCGTTGAAGAGTTTTGTTGTTGTTGTTAGTTGCGAAGTTGTGTCTGACCCACCGTGACCCCATGGACAATGTTCCTCCAGGCCTTCCTGTCCTCTACCATCTTCTGGAGTCCATTGAAGCTCACGCCTACTGCTTCGGGGACTCCATCCAGCCACCTCATTCTCTGTCGTCCCATTCTTCTCTTGCCCTCCATCTTTCCCAGCATCAGGCTCTTCTCCAGGGAGTCCTTCCTTCTCATTAGGTGGCCAAAGGACTTGAGTTTCAACTTTAGGATCTGGCCTTCTAAAGAGCAGTCAGGGTTGATCTCCTCTAGGACTGATCGCTTTGATCGCCTTGCAGTGTTGAAGAGTTTGGAGGCCTCTAAATGCTCCATCATTGGAGGTTTTCAAAACTAGCCTGGACAAGCATTTGACTGTGATATAAGGTCTCATGCCTTGAGTAGGGGTTGGACTAGAAGATCTCTGAGGTCCCTTCCAGATTTTATGTTCTGTCTTCTATCCTCTCTGACTAGATTAAAGTAAAACGGCGTTACGATAAAACTGGGGAATCCATTTACGTTCATTAGAGGAGTATCCTTGAGAGAAACGTGTAACCATTTTGGCTTTTTTCCAGATAGATACTTCTCTCTCAAGTCATCCCTTAAATAAGCTATTTTTGTACCGTGTCATAATTTATTAAATAGGCTCATTTGTCGTAATTTTTCTTCTTTTAGACCTTGAAATGTTTGACTTATCTCGACCTGCACAGCAACCGCTTGAAGTCTTTCCCACAGTGTCTCTTGGAAATGCCTCAGATCGCTCACCTCGACGTTTCGCGCAATGAAATTGGGCCTACCTTATGTTTCAATCCAAAAGTCACCTGTCCGACCTTAAAATTACTCAATTTGTCATACAACCAACTGTCACACATTCCTAGAGATCTTGGCGATGTTCTGATCAAGCTGGAGCATCTCATATTGGAAGGGTGAGAACGTAGGCCAAGGTGTTTATATATTTTTCTCCAGAGTTAGCATGAGTAGGGAGCGGTAAGATGAGGAAAGTGCAGGTAAGTCCTCAACTTAGAACAACAATTGAGCCCAGAACATATGTTGCTAAGTGAGAAATTTGTTAAGTGAGCTTTGTCCCATTTTACCACTTTTCTGGCCACGTTTGTTAAGCAAATCCCTGCAGTTGTTAAATTAATAACGCAGTTGTTAAGGGAATCTGGATTCCCCATTGACTTTGCTTGTCAAAAGGTCGCAAAAGAGGACCATATGAACCTCGGACCCCGCGACCGTCATAAATATGAACCAGTTGCCAAGCATCCAGATGTAAATCGCCTGACTACGGGGATGCTGCAATGCTCATAAGTGTGAAAAATAGTCATAAATCGCTTTTCCCAGCGTTGTTGTAACTTTGAATAGTCAGTAAATGAACTGTTGTAAATCAAGGATGACCTGTATGGGATTAAGTGTGTCAGGCCCAACTTTCACAACCATCCTGCAAGAAGGCTGTGATTGACCATGTCTGTAACACAGCCAAGAAAACCACACGGTTGCTTTATGTCAGGGATCTTCAAACTTGGCCCTTTTATGACTTGTGGACTTCAACTCCCAGAATTCCTCAGCCAGGCACGCTGGCTGAGGAATTCTTGGAGTTGAAGTTCACAAATCATAAAAGGGCCAAGTTTGAAGACCCCTCCCAGAATTCCTCAGCCAGGCACGCTGGCTGAGGAATTCTGGGAGTTGAAGTCCAGAAGTCATAAAAGGGCCAAGTTTGAAGACCCCTGCTTTATGTAGTCATCAGAAGCTGAGGCTAACTTGAATATGAGTATTCTTTGATTTATGACCACAATTGAACCCAAAATTGTTAGCGGAGAGCTAAATGAGTTTTGCCCCATTTTACAACCTTTCTTGCCTCAGTCGTTAACTTGAATCATTGCAGTGGGATAAGTTAGTAACCCGGTTGTTAAGTGAATCTGGCTTCCCCATTGACATTGCTTGTCAGAAGGTCGCAAAAGGGGATCGCGTGACCCCGGGACATTGCAACCGTCATAAGTACATGCCAGTTGCCAAGTGCCTGAATTTTGATCATGTGACCATGGGGAGGCTGCAAAGGTCGTAACGGTGAAAAAAATGGTCCTAAGTCACTTTTTTTCAGTGCTGTTGTAACTTTGAACAGTCGCTAAATGAACTGTTTTAAGTTGAGGACTACTTATATAGGAGAAAAAATCTGTGGGATGGCGTTTGTATTTTGGTGGGATTTTATGGGGTGGTTTTTTAAAATGTCATAAGCCCCACTGGAGCCGTGAGTTGGGCAGCCATATAAAATGCTTTAATAAATAAAATAAAATAAACAAATTGAGCAGTCAACCTCGGGCCTGTATCAAGATAGCTGTTTGGTGCGACCTCTGAGGTAATGTTGGGCAGCCATATAAAATGCTTTAATAAATAAAATAAAATAAACAAATTGAGCAGTCAACCTCGGGCCTGTATCAAGATAGCTGTTTGGTGCGACCTCTGAGGTAATGTTCTTCCTTTCTTTTCTCCTAGGAACAGACTTTCAGCGTTAGTTGGGCGCCTAGGTTTAAAAGAACTGAAAAGTTTAAACATTAGCAAGAATGATATATCGTACCTGGATACAGAACTTCTGCAGGAGTGTTTGAAATTGGAAATACTCAATGCAGCTGTAAATAGAATTGGTGAGTATGTAGCATTAGATGGTGTGGTGTTAGGAATGGGAGCAAATAAAATAAAAATTAAAAAACACGCAGACCACAACATATTGCTGAAATTATATTATTAACAGAATAACGGAAGAGACCTTAGAGGTCTTGTAGTCCAACCCACTGCTCAGGCAGGAGGCCCTACACCATTTCAGACAAGTGGTGGTCCAATCTCTTCTTGAAAACCTCCAGTGTTGGAGCACCCACAACTTCTGGAGGCAAGCTGTTCCACTAGTTAATTGTCCTCACTCTTAGGAAGTTTCTCCTTAACTCCAGGTTGCTTCTCTCCTTGATTAGTTTCCATCCATTGTTTCTTCTCCTGCCTTCTGGTGCTTTGGAAAATAGGTTGATCCCCTGCTCTTTGTGGTAGCTCCTAACACTATTGAATAGTGTTCCAATATCTCAGGAGCTGCCACAAAGAAGAGGGAGTCAAGCTATTTTCCAAAGTGCCTGAAGGCAGGACAAGAAGCAATGGATGGAAACTAACCAAAGGGAGAAGCAACCTAGAACTAAGGAGAAACTTCCTGGCAGTTAGAACAATTAACCAGTGGAACATCCTGCCTCCAGAAGTGGTGAATGCTCCAACACTGGAAGTTTTTAAGAAGAAACTGGACAGCCATTTGTCCGAAATGGTATAGGGTTACCTGCCTGAGCAGGGGGTTGGACTTGATGACCTCCAAGGTCCCTTCCAACTTTATTATTATTGTTGTTGTTGTTGTTGTTGTTATTATTATTAAATATTGGAACACTGCTATCATGTCACCCCTAGTCCTTGTTTTCACTAGACTAGACAAACCCAATTCCTGCAATGGTTCTTCATATGTTTTAGCCTCCAGCCCCCTAATTATCTTTGTTGCTCTTCTCCGCACTCTTTCCTAAATATCAACATCTTTTTTATGATATGGCGACTAAAACTGGATGTAGTATTTTAAGTGTGGTCTTACAAAGGTTTTGTAAAGCTGTACTAATACTTCACGGGATCTTAATTCTACCCTTCTGTTAATACAGCCCAGGATTGCATTGGCTTTTTTGGCTGCTGCTGCACACTGCTGGCTCATATATAAATGATTCTCCACTAGGAACGATCACTAGACAAATTGTTGAGGACTACCTGTATAGGATATCTCTTTGGTAACTGCTTTTTTAAGTGGTCTTATGAGACAATAATTTTCCAAACCAATTAATAACATGTTTATTTCTATATGTTTTAGATGCCATATACACCTTGCCTTCTAACATAACCACATTGAAACTAGCTAAGAATGCTTTTATCACTGTTCCACCGGCAATTCTTCTTTTACCACAGTAAGTGTCAACGCTGCTAACATCGGATGTTTTTGCATTGACAACTGATGGAAATGTAGCCATCTTTTACCTTTTAGAGTTAGATGATGCTGGGAGGGGGGATGTGAACGAGAGTCCAGCTAGACATAACAAAGACTAAACCTAGTGTGAGAAACAAGGTTATTGTAACCAGAGCTGATAAGGAATTGGCGGGCTGGAGAACTGGAGAGGAAGCCCGAGCTTCAAGCTAATTGGGGAATGTGATTTATGACTGTTAATTGGAGGAGGGAATTGTGCTTTGATACTATATGCTCAGGGGAGGGGAATTCAGTTTTTGGCTTCGATTATGCAGTGCCAATATTATGCTACTCAAAATAAAGATTCTTTAAGGTAATCAATGCCTCGAAGTTCTTTTGAAGAGTTTCATCTGTCAGAACCGTGACAGTAAGTTACTAGGATATATACATTAAAATTTGCATTCTCCTGTTCTTGTACCAATTGATGGGCTAGTAAATCCCAATATCTATTTCAGAAGTCTCCAAACTTTGTGGATTTGCAGACTGATGGCCGTGGAGGGAGGGAAGAGAATGCTTCCGTACAAGCAACGGTCAAGCAGATGTGCGCATGCAGTTCCATTTGTGCAAGCGGCAGACACGCATACCCTCCGCTCACACAAATCGAGCTGCCCACGCTTGCCTGCCCGCTGTGGGCGCAAGTTGAGCTGTGCACACATTCACATGTCGCTTCCACAGCCTGGTTCTGAACAGGCTGTGGCCCGGGACTTGGGGAATCCCTGATCTCTTGCATTTATTGCTTGGAGAAAAAACACATGCCTGTCAGGTTTCTTATTTGTGACGAAAGATTTCTAACCGGTATTTTTTTTGGTTTGGAAGCTTTTTTTTTTCCAATCCATAAAAATGCCCCAAATGCATAAAGTTGGTTCTGAACGATTGATTGTTAATGGTGACAAATGACTGTAAAACCGTAATATTTTGTTTTGGGGAACAGCTGGCAAAGTTGACTATTGGATCTGCCCTGCCTTTTCTTGTCCATCTATAACAGTGGTTCTCAACCTGTGGGTCGGGACCCCATTTGGGGTCGAACGACCATTTCAAGGGGGTCGCCAAACAACGCAGTCCACCATTTTCCCCCCCTTTTCCTTAGCTGTGCTACTCCCTTTTATTCTATTGGCTTTTGAAAGCCAATAGAATAGACTCTCTTGAATAGAGTCTAATTCTATTGGCTTTCAAAAGCCAATAGAATAAAAGTGGCTTTTTAGATGTTGATTGGGGTATGTGGATGGCTGGCTTTGAAGTCATTAGCTGTTGTTTGCTTGTGCTGCCCAGCCCTCCTCTCCTAAGTATTTGATAGGCTGGGTGTAAATCAGCATCTTATTGATTGTTTCCCAGGCTTCAATCACTTTCCTGGCTGTTTTTGTACCTGCTCGCCCAACACATTTAGTTTTGCAGCTATTAAGATTGTCGGATAAGCAGGCACAAAAACAGCCAGGGAAGTGATTGAAGCTGGGAAACAGTCAATAAGATGTTGATTTACCCCCAGCCTATCAAGTACTTAAGAGGCGAGAACTTGGCAGCACAAAGGAACGACAGCTAATGACTTCAAAGCCAGCCAGCCACACCCTCCAATCAACATCTAAAAAGCCACGTACAACAGGCACTTAAATACCACACACAGAACAATACACACTTTGTTAGAGCAGAGGTCCTCAACCTTTGGGGCACCAGGGACCGGTTATGTGGAGAGAGATTTTTCCGTGGACCGGAGGGTGTGTGTGGCGCAAGTTACAAAGTCCGACTTTTAACTTCATAGCACTTGTATTCCTGTCTCTCTTTGCCAGTTTGCGATCGGTGGATTTAAGCAGCAATAGCATTGGAATTTTACCTGATCCTGCATCTTGGAAATCTTCAAATTTAAGAGAATTGATATTTAACCGCAATCAAATAAGCATTCTAGACTTGAACGACAAAGCTGCTTGCTGGGCTGGGCTTGAAAAACTACACCTGTCTAACAACAAATTAAGAGAGGTAACGCAGAACAAGATAGTAATTGTTTCGACTTTATCCACTGTGCCTGCTTTTCTTCATTGGGTCAAAATACTTTTCAGGAATGTTTGAAGCAATTGCTCTTTCCCGAAAATCACATTTCTTCAGGCCTGATTGCATTGGACTTAAAATACACTTGAGGCGATCAGCTCTGATTTATTTTAAGGCGGAGAAGCAGAACAGAATTCTGGGAGTTGAAGTCCATGAGTCATAAAAGGGCCAAGGTTCCCCACCCCCGCCCAATATCAGGGGTCCTCAACCTTGTCAGCTTTAAGACTCATGGACTTCAACTCCCAGAATTCCTGAGCCAGCATGGTTCAGCTTGGAAACCTCTCCCTTTCCCCTCAGCATGGCTGGATGAGGAATTCTGGGAGTTGAAGTCCACGAGTCATAAAAGAGCCAAAGTTGCCTACCCCTGCCCAAATGCCTGAATTTTGATCATGTGACTGTGAGGAAAAATATTTAAATATTTAAACTAGGGGTCTTCAAACTTGGCTCTTTTACGACTCGTGGACTTCAACTCCCAGAATTCCTGATCCAGCATGGCTCAGCTTGGAAACCTCTCCCTTTTCCCTCAGCGTGGCTGGCTCAGGAATTCTGGGAGTTGAAGTCCACAAGTCGTAAAAGAGCCACGGTTGCCTACCCCTGGCCTAGAATTAACTAGCTACATTTGATTAACTGGGCATGTAACTGACATTTATAACCGATAAGATTAACTATATATATATATATATATATATATATATATATATATATATACTTTTTCTTTTGTCTAGATTCCTCCAGAAATCGGGTTCCTTGAAAACTTGACATCTTTTGACGTTAGTTACAATCCAGCAATACGGTGTTTTCCAGATGAAATGGGGAAATTGTCGAACATCTGGGACCTTCCTTTGGAAGGGTTACACCTTAACTTAGATTTCAAACACGTGGGAGGCAAAGCAAGGGATATTATCAGGTGAGTTTATCCTACCATAGTTCAGATTTATTTCTTATTTGTCTGATCTAACCCAAAGCTTTTGTTAGCTGCTCCAGGAAAAAAAAAAGAGAGAGAAGGGAAGCGTATCTTCCCAACGCTCACTTGAGTTTATTATTGTAAGAAAGAAATGACTACAACTCATCTAAATTTAGTTTTATTTTGGTCAGGCCTTTGTCTTGGCTGACAATGTTATTAACACAAATGTGCCTTTTTTTTTTTAAAAAAAAAAAACTGATTGTAACACAAGTAGTTGTCGACTTTCAACAGTTTGTTTAGTGTCTATTTAAAATTACAGAGGCACTGAAAAAAGTGAATATTTTTTACACTTATGACCTTTCCAGCATCCCCATGAGCATGGGATCAAAATTCAGAGGCTTGGCAGCTGACTCAAACTTACGACCGTTGTTGGGTCCCAAGGTTATGTGATCCACTTTTGTGACCTACTCACAAGCCAAGTCAATGGGGAAGCCACATTCACTTAACAACCGGGTTACTAACTAATCAACTGCAGTGATTCACTGCAAGAATCATCATAAAATGGGGCAAAATTCATTTAACAAACATCTCACTTAACAACAGAAATTGAGGCCGTAAGTCAAGGACGACCTGTAGAAGGGGAACTTCTCTTCCTAAGACTCACTTGAGTCTTAATTTTGTAGGAAAGGAATTACTACAGCTCATCACAACATCTAAACTCAGCTTTGTTTTGGTCAAGTTTTTTGTCTTGGCTGAAGGTATTCCTAACACAAATTGGACTTTTTTTTAAAAAAAAAAAATTGAATCGGTGGTTATAATATTGAGACTGAAAGAAAAAGAAGAAACAGAATACTATCAAATTTGGGACTTATTTTATCGATGGCTAGAGGAAAGAATAAAGGATTAGGAATTAAATATATATTAGCGAATGTAAACTCAGACAGCACGTTGGTTGAAAAATTATTACTTGTATGTATGGGAAAAAAATAAAAACTTTTTAATGTGTTTTTTAAATGTGTTTTTAAATGTGTTTTTTCCCCCGCGAAAGATTATTTTTTCAAATAATTCTATAATTAAAAAAACTTTCCATCTCTTTTTTGCCAGATTCCTTCAACTGCGCTTGAAGAAGGCCGTTCCCTACCACCGAATGAAGCTCATGATTGTTGGAAACGCCGGCAGCGGTAAAACAACCTTGTTACGACAACTGATGAAATGGAAGAGGCCAGATTTGGCCCCTCAGACTCCAACCATCGGCATTGATGTGCATGACTGGAAGATTCCCCGAAGGGGCAAAATCAAGAAAGACACAATTTTAAACGTCTGGGATTTTGCAGGTATTTTCTCTCACGCGTGGGGGGGTCAATCAAAAACGGTGTTCAGAATTTAGGACTGAGTTACTCGGCTATAAATTCACAGATTTTCTGGAGGGAAATTTAAACTAAACAGCGGGGACAGGGAGTTAATTGATACGGAACAACCCTGTCCCCGGCAATTTAAAAACTATAGGGCTATCAGTGCATGTAGCACAGATGTGTGTGTGGACAAGAATACCAACCTTGCTACCAATCAAAATGAAGCCTCTAATAGCGAGTGCCATATAAAGTGCACTAACCAAATAGGTGGTAAGACAATAGGGGAACTCAGGCACCACACAGGTTATGTAGAAAGGAAACACAGGGCCACCCACAAAGGACTCAAATGTTTATACACCAATGCACAAAGTATGAACAGCAAACAGGGTGAACTAGAAATTCAGGTTAATGAGGGCAGATACGATATTGTTGCCATTACGGAAACATGGTGGGATGAAACTCACACATGGAACACACAGCTAGAGGGATTTAAATTATTTAAAAGAAACAGACCAAATAAAAGAGGAGGTGGAGTTGCTCTCTATATAAGAAATAACTACATCTTCACAGAAATAGAGTACAACAATGATAAAAACTGTCTTGAATGCATTTGGGTCAATATAAAAGGGGGGGGGAATGACATTGCCATAGGTGTATACTACAGACCACCCAACCAAACAGAGGAAATAGATGAACTTTTTGCTAGTCAGCTAACTAAGGTATGTAGGAAGCACATCACAATAGTAATGGGGGACTTTAACTACCCTGACATCAACTGGGAGACAAACTCCGCACCAAGTGGAAGATCAAACAGGTTCCTGGCAAACCTAGCAGACAACTTTGTCTCCCAAAAAGTAGAGAATGGAACTAGGGGATTAGCCATTTTGGATCTAATTCTCACTAACAGAGATGAAATGATAGACGGTGTTGGAGCCATAGGAACCCTGGGAGGAAGTGATCATGCAATATTAGAATTCAACATTATAGAAGCACAACCAATAGAACACAGTCAAACTAGAGTCTTGGACTTCAAGAGAGCTAATTTCAATAAACTTAGAGAGGGCTTGGGAAGGATTCCATGGATGAGAATCCTCAAGGGGAAAACAACTCAAGAAGCTTGGGAAATTTTGAAAAATGAGATAATAAAAGCACAGTCTAGCACAATACCAACAAAGAGGAAAAATAACAGCTCTCAAAAGAAACCAGCATGGCTGCATAAAGAACTCTCTGACAAATTGAAAGATAAAAAGGACAAGTATAGAAAGTGGAAAGAGGGGAACATAACTAAGTCAGAATATCAGCAAATAGCCCGAGCCTGCAAAGATGAAGTGAAGAAAGCCAAGGCTCAAAATGAACTGAGGCTTGCGACCAAAGTCAAAAATAACAAAAAAAGCTTCTTTCAACATGTAAAAAACAAGAAAAAAGTGAAGGAAATGATTGGTCCATTAGTGGGTGGAAGTGGCAAGAAGGTGACAAGCAACAGGGAGAAAGCAGAACTATTTAACTCATTTTTTGCATCTGTCTTTACACAAAGGGAAAAAACAGACCAACCTATCAAAAATAGTGCCACAAAAAACAAAACAGAAACACAAGTTAAGATAGGCAAGAAAATCGTTAGTGAGCACCTGTCCAGCCTAGATGAGTTCAAATCGCCAGGACCAGACGGATTACACCCCAGAGTTCTCAAGGAACTGGCAGATGTGATATCGGAGCCACTGAACTATATTTTTCAAAGATCCTGGAACACAGGGGAACTACCAGAGGACTGGAAAAGAGCTGATGTAGTTCCCATCCTCAAAAAAGGAAAAAAAATGGATCCAGGAAATTACAGACCTATCAGCCTGACCTCAATACCTGGGAAGATCCTGGAAAAGATAATCAAACAACGAATCAACGAACACCTAGAGGCAAACAAAGTCATTACTAAAAGCCAACATGGGTTTGTCAAAAATAGATCATGCCAGACAAATCTTATTGCATTCTTTGACCAAGTGACAAAATTAGTGGATCAGAGGAATGCTGTGGACATAATTTACTTGGACTTCAGTAAGGCATTTGATAAAGTAGATCACAACCTACTACTTGACAAGATAGAAAAATGTGGGGTAGACAGAACCACCACCAGATGGATCCGTAGCTGGCTGACCGGCCGTACTCAGCGAGTGGTCCTCAATGGAACTGCATCTATATGGAGGGAAGTGTGTAGTGGGGTGCCCCAGGGCTCTGTTCTGGGCCCAGTACTCTTCAACATCTTCATCAACGATTTGGATGAAGGGATAGATGGGGAACTCATCAAATTTGCAGACGACACCAAGCTGGCAGGAATAGCCAACACTCCAGAAGACAGGCTTCAGATACAGAAGGATCTGGACAGACTTGAACACTGGGCACTAACTAACAAAATGAAATTCAATGGTGAAAAAAGCAAGGTTCTACATTTAGGCAAGAAAAACCAAATGCACAAGTACAGCATAGGTGGCACCATGCTCAATAGTAGTAACTGTGAGAGGGACCTCGGAGTCCTAGTAGACAATCACTTAAATATGAGCCAGCAGTGTGCTGCAGCTGCCAAAAAGGCCAACACAGTGCTAGGCTGCATTAACAGAGGGATAGAATCAAGATCACGTGAAGTATTAATACCACTCTTCAATGCCTTGGTAAGGCCACACTTGGAATACTGCATCCAGTTTTGGTCACCACGATGTAAAAAAGATGTTGAGACTCTAGAAAGAGTACAGAGAAGAGCAACAAAGATGATTAGGGGACTGGAGGCTAAAACATATAAGGAACGGTTGCTAGAATTGGGTATGTCTAGTTTAACGAAGAGAAGGACAAGGGGGGACATGATAGCAGTATTCCAATATCTCAGGGGCTGCCATAAAGAAGAGGGAATTAAGCTATTTTCCAAAGCACCTGAAGGCAGGACAAGAAGCAACGGGTGGAAACTAATCAAGGAGAGAAGCAACCTAGAACTAAGGAGAAACTTCCTGACAGTGAGAACAATTAATCAGTGGAACAGCTTGCCTCCAGAAGCAGTAAATGCTCCAACACTGGAAGTTTTTAAGAAGAGACTGGACAGCCATTTGTCCGAAATGGTGTAGGGTTTCCTGCCCGAGCAGGGGGTTGGACTAGATGACCTCCAAGGTCCCTTCCAACTTTACTACTATTACTATTACTATTACTAGGAGAATAGCGCTAGGACTAGGACCAGCAATTAGACTTATATACCGCTTCACAGTGCTTCACGGCCCCCTCTCTAAGCGGTTTACCAAGTCAGCATATTTGCCCCCCAAAATCTGGGTCCTCATTTTACTGACCTTGGAAGGATGGAAGTCTGAGTCAATCTTGAGCTGGTCAGGATCTAACTCCTGGCTGTGGGCAGAGTCTGCCTGCAATACTGCATTCTAACCACTGCGCCACCATGACAGGAAGGAAGGAAGGAAGGAAGGAAGGAAGGAAGGAAGGAAGGAAGGAAGGAAGGAAGGAAGGAAGGAAGGAAGGAAGGAAGGAAGGATGGATGTTGGATATTCTGGATATTTGGGAACTATTTTCTTCTCTTTTTCTCTTCTGCTGGTTAACGACCACAATAAAGTTATTTGAATTTGATTTACGATGTTTGGTTTTGTTTTTTGTTTTTTGCTGGAAATTGGCATTTACTTTTGGTCTCTGGCAAAAACCACTCAGTGCGGACACTGGATTGGTAGATTCCCTATGGCCATAGTGATTTGCTCAAAGACCGCTGCAAAAAGAGTCATAAAATTGTGTCAGTCACGTGACAGCTTGCTTAATGACCAATTACAGTTGTAAGCTGAGGACTATCTGTACTTTGCCGTGGTAAAAATTAATATAGTCGTGTGAATTATTACAGAGGAAGGAAACCTGGAGCCTGACTTTAGATCTAGCATATAGTGCCATGAGAATAGGGGAACTATCAGGGTCTAAGAATCAGGGCCAGATGTTAATTTGCTATTAAACTGATTTATTGCTTATCTCAGAGGTCCCCAACCTTTTGGGCACCAGGGACCGGTTCCGTGGAGAGAGGTTTTTCCGTGGACCGGAGAGTGCGTGGTTTTCTGTGCTGCCTGCATCCTGCGGATGGGGCTTTGCTTGTTTGTGCAGACCAGTTGCTGGAATGCCGTGGTCCAATACTGGTCCACGGACCGGGAGTTGGGAATCCCTAACTTATCTAGTCAACTAACAGAGAACCTAGTCAACTAACGGTCAGCACTAAATTGGTGCTAATTGAGAGTCAACGGAATTCAAGAGGGGATGGACTTAAGACTGTGAGAACACAAGAATGCCAGGCTGATTCCTCTCTTGACTCCCTCCCCAGACGTTGCCTGTTCTTCTCTTACAGCAGATATGTCAAACACAAGGCCCAGGGGCCGGATGCGGCCCGCGAAGTGGTTTCATGTGGCCCACGAAGCCATCCTGGAAACAGTGAGGGAACGCCCCCCGCTGCCTTGGCCCTGGCCCAGGCCAACTGGGAGCCAATGTACAATTTTGTGGTGGCCATCTTGGCACTTGCCCCGGTGGACCATGCCTTGGCACTTGCCCCAGTCCCACCCCCTTCTGCCAGAGACCCTCAGATCTGTCCCACTCCTGCCCAGGCCCCCACAGGCACCCTTGACACGAACAATGTAGAACTGGCCACGCCCACCCAATAGGCTGCACCCACTCTGGCCACACACCCCCAGCCCCCCCAAGGGTAACCGCAATGCTGATGCGGCCCTCAGTGAAATTGAGTTTGACACCCCTGTCCTACAGGAATACGGTTCTTGTTTTTTCTAAACCTTTTTAGAAAAGGTTTAGAAAAAAACTTTTTGTAAACCTTTCCGCTTTGGCCATTTTCCTACTATATCTCTGCATTGTGTGAGGGAGGAAATTTGAAAACCAGCTGTTTCCTCACGACCTGTAACATGTTGTTCTTGTTTTTGACTGCAGCCTGAAATGATTTAAACTCTGTTTCAATTTTCTTCTCCCTTTGCTGATGACTGGAAGTCACACAGAGCGTATGTGGGCATGCATAGCAACTGCCAATTTACTGCTGTACTTGCTATTTTGCAGGTCAAGAAGAATTCTATAGCGCTCATCTCCATTTTATGACTCAGCGAGCTCTCTACCTCGTGGTTTATGACCTTAGCAAAGGGGAATCAGAAGTGGATGCCATGAAACCGTGGCTGTTTAATATCAAGGTAACATACTTTCTTTGAAAAAAAAAACACACACTGATATGATAGAGAATTTGTCAGGCACAAATAACCAGGAGCATTCGTCAAGTTCAAAGCAGAGAAGAGTTTATTATTGCTACCCATACAGAAATATCTAGTCAACTAACAGTCAAAGCTAAATTGGCGCTGGATAAAGGTCAACAGAATTCACTGAGATTGGATGTGGGTCTCTTGTGGCTGCACAATGATTCCAAACTAATGACATCTTTAACGCCGCCTTCCAGCTCAGCCTGCTGTTCTCCTACAGAATTTGTGAGCCTGATTATGTCAGGAGAAGTGATTCTGTGGCTCTCCTAAGCTTGCACAAACACAACTTCGGACAGCCCCGGCCATATGGTGGAAGTCCTCAGGACTGTGGACTCCAACCCACAACTTACTAGCCTTATTCAATGTTTGGGACCTGGGGGATAACTTCTGTCAGCACTTTTTTGGTGGGAGTAGGTGAAATTTTGGCTTTAACCAATGTCTATAGAAATGTGTGAAAACCCAAAGGGAAGATTGTTAATTTAAAAAGGTAGGAGTGTTCAGTTTGGATGAAATACAATTGAGAGATCTCTTCCATTGTCTAAACCAGAGGTAGGCAACCTTGGCTCTTTTATGACTCTAGGCTTATTCCTCTCTTGACTCCCTCTCCAGTGGAAACTTACAACTTCCAATCTATAGGGTTTTTTTTTGTTGTTGTTAGTTGCGAAATCGTGTCCGACCATCACAACCCCATGAACAACGTTCCTCCAGGCCTTCCTGTCCTCTACCATCTTCTGGAGTCAATTGAAGCTCACGCCTCCTGCTTCAGTGACTCCATCCAGCCACCTCACTCTCTGTCGTCCCCTTCTTCTATTGCCCTCAATCTTTCCCAGCATCAGGCTCTTCTCCAGTGAGTCCTTCCTTCTCATTAGGTGGCCAAAGTATTTGAGTTTCAACTTCAGGATCTGTCCTCCTAAAGAGCAGTCAGGGTTGATCTCCTCTAGGACTGACCGGTTGGATCGCCTTGCAGTCCAGGGGACTCGCAGGAATCTTTTCCAGCACCAGAGTTCAAAGGCCTCAATTCTTTTGCACTCAGCCTTTCTTACGGTCCAGCTTTCACAGCCATCCATTGCAACTGGGAAAACCATGGCCTTGACTATACGCACTTTTGTTGGCAGCATGATGGGGTGATGTCTCTGCTTCATTGCAATTATTACATTAGATTGATTAATTTCCCCAACCCCTTACAAAGCTTACTTACAAATAAAGTAGGGCAAACGGTCCCAAATTCACTTACAATTTCTCATCTTTCCTCGCTGCGAACTTCTTAAGAGAAATAGATCCTTGTTACGTTTGGCTGACAGCATTCCAGTGATCATAAAAACCTCCTGGATGATTTGCAATTGTAAAAGGTTCTTTTGTTAAGGATTCTTTGTGAAGTGTGAGAAGCAGGCCTTGAGAACAGGAACAGAATGTTTTTCCTTATTTAATCAATCAGAAAGAAATTATCTATTTCCCTTTGAGCTCTGTTACACAGATGTGTACTATTCTGGTCAATGGGAATAAGGAATTTGAGGATCTTTCTTTTTTTTTTTAAGTAATTAAGATTTTATTCCCCGGGCTGTTTAATGATGGCACAGTGGTGAATGAGAATTCTAAACGGCTTGTCAAATCTGAGGTGACAGCTGGTTGCAAGGTGGCTAGGATGGAGGCTAAAGTGGAATAAAACCAACTGCAGATAAAAGGGTAACTATGGGAGAAAAGCCTTCAACTAGAACTTTGCAACTCCTGTTTTCTAGACCCGAGCGTCATTCTCCCCTGTGATTCTCATCGGGACTCATTTAGACATCTCTGCCGAGAAGCAGCGTAGAGTTTGCATCGATAAAATCACCAAGGAGTTGATGAATCAGAAGGGATTTCCCAAAATCCACGACTATCACTTTGTGAAAGCCACCGAAGAGTCTGAATCGATGACTAAGCTTCGACAAATCATCATCAAAGAATGCCTGGAGTTTAAAGTAAGCCGTTTCGCTTTAATATAAAGAGTAATAGCACTTATATATCGCTTTATAGCCCTCTCTAAGCAGTTTACAGCAGTGGTTCTCAACCTTTTTAATGCCGCGACCCCCCAACTGGTTGTAAATCGAGGACTACTCAACTGGTGCAGCAGCGTTTGCAGAATGGGACTTTTGGCAGGCTCAGCAGGGCAGAGACAGCCTGGACAATTTCTACTGGCTTTTGAAAGCCAATAGAATTAGACTCTATTCAAGAGAGTCTATTCTATTGGCTTTCAAAAGCCAATAGAATAAAAGGGAGTAGCACAGCTAAGGAAAAGGGGGAAAAAATGATGGACTGCGTTGTTTGGCGACCCCCGTGAAATGGTCGTTCGACCCCAAATGGGGTCCTGACCCACAGGTTGAGAACCACTGGTTTACAGAGTCAGCATGATGTCCCCCACAGTCTGGGTCCTCATTTTACCGACCTCAGAAGGATGGAAGGCTGAGTCAAACCTTGAGCCGGTCCGGATCGAACTCCTAGCAGTGAGCAGAGTTTGCCTGCAATACTTCATTCTAATCACTGCACCAGCCATAATTAAATGGTTGATAAGTTCATGTTCGCAGGCATATTTGCATCAAATCTTGCTCAGTTGGCCACCAGGGAAGCTACTGCTTAATGTTCAGTGCAATTCTTTAATGTCATAAATACAGATTTGGTTTCCCCGGATAGTTTAAAGAAGACATCTACCCCGTTCTGGGTTCCTTCACCTTGGAACTAAAGAGCCATTTCCTGACAGTGAGAACTATTCATCAGTGGAACAGCCTGCCTCCAGAAGTTGTGGGTGCTCCAACACTGGAGGTTTTTAAGAAGAGATTGGATAGCCACTTGTCTGAAATGGCATAGGGTTTTCTGCTTGAGCAGGGGGTTGGACTAGAACAGGGCTTTTCAACCTTTTCACCCATGGTACCACTTTTAGGATATGGCAACATCTGAGTACCACCAGTCGCCTAGCAAGGTGTCTGTAAGGACCCACCCCACTTTGCATCTTAAGAAGACAGAACTCTTGGAATAATTCTTCCAACAGGCATCCTTTATTAAGAGAAAATGGTTGCAGGCGTTCTAGACAGGACTTGGGGTCCAAGCTCTCCCATTCAAGGTTTTAAGGGGTTTCCCAGTAGCCCCACCCAATCACCCCTACTTCCAGCGACAGTCTCAGGCATTACACTCCCACCCCCTTTTCCTTACTGCCGGCTGGATGGAGACTTCAGAGAAAACTACATGAAAGGTAATAGCCCCCTTTGTTATGGTTAGTCCTTTTGGTGATACACACATCCAGTTCCTTTCTTCAGAGAAAACTACATGAAAGGTAATAGCCCCCTTTGTTATGGTTAGTCCTTTTGGTGATACACACACCCAGTTCCTTTGAAGTGTACCAAAGGAAGTGAGGGCCATAAAGCCCCTTTGTTCACCCCCTTCCCTTCATTGTATGACAGAATCCAGAGAAGGCAGAAATGGGGTTTTCTATAATTGATAACTAGAGATGAAATATAATTGGATTCTGACAGTGTCAAAAACTTGATGACCAAAAAAAAAAAGGAAAAAAGTGATGAAGTACAGGTAGCCCTCGCCTTACAGCAGTTCGCTTAGCGACTGTTTGAAGTTACAATGGCACTGAAAAAGTTCCCCAAGGCACAGCCGAGCAAGACACCTGCCTGCCCGCCCGGCGGCGCTCTTCCTCCTGTCTGAGGTTTTCATTGTTGTGAGCGTTTCTGTTGAGGATTGGCAGCGGGGATGGGGTAAGGGGGTATTTGGCTTTTATTCCCCCCATCTGCTGGGTGGTTGCAGCAGGTTTTGGTCGCTTCACATGACCCTGGGACACTGTGACCGTCATAAATATGAATCAGTTGCCAAGCATCTGAATGTAAATCACAAGACCCTGGAGAGGCTGCAACATTCCAGCTGATTGGCGCTTCTTCTGGGCTCAGCAGAAGCGCCAGGATGTGCTGCTTTCCAGCGGATTGGTGCTTCTTCAGGGCTCAGCAGAAGCACCAGGATCAGCGCCGAGCTCCAGCTGGAGCCTGGCACTGATCCTGGCGCTTCTGCTGAGCCCTGACAGCCCTGCAGCTCCAGCCATCTCTTGCAGTGCTGCCCTCGGTTCAGCTCATTCCCCTTCCCCGCTACCACGTTTCTAGGATGGTCGCGTACCACCTGCCAGGTGCCAATGTACCACAGGTGGTACCCGTACCACTGGTTGAAAAGCCTTGGACTACAAGACCTCCAAGATCCCTTCCAACTCTGTGATTCTGTTATCACTGCAGAAGATATGACTTAACTACCGTAGCAATTGCTTATTGACTAGACCAGATTCACACCACCTTGTAAAGCCACGAATCATAGTTTTCAAGACACAGTAGCTGGATTTGCATGGCACCCTAAACTAAAATGAAACAAGCCACCTTCTGGCTTATTTCGAATGCCTGATCCTTCTCAATGGCTCAATCTCTTCCATCTTCAGGAAGGCAGAATTTTTTCAAGAAGAGTTTGGACAATCATTTTTCCAAGATAGCTTCCCTTTCAACCCAGTTATTCCACGTTTTACTGTCTATTCTAGACCGGCCCAAACTACAATCCATATTTCGAGGAGAAATGATCGACTAGGAAAGTACAATTCATCCCTAAGGCATTCATCGAAATATCGGAACAACATTTTGTTTGTTTGTTTGTTTATTCCCTGCAGATCAGAGATCAGCCGGTGATTGGCCAGTTAATTCCAGACAGCTACTTGGAACTCGAGAAGAGTATTCTGGAAATACGCAAAACGTTACCGGCTGAGTTCCCTGTGATCTGCCAGAGTCAGCTTTACGAATTGGTGCAAGAAAACCAGCTACAATTGGACGAAAATGAGCTTTCGCACGCGGTGCATTTTCTGAACGAATCGGGTAAAACAAAACAAAAAAGTGTGGCGGTTGAACTGCGACAGTCCGTGGCTCCACAATCACTTTTTTTGTTGTTTAAACAAAAACGTTATGCTAAGTTGGGCAGTTTCGTTTTGTGTGACCTTTATTTATTTATTTATTTATGAGACTTATATACTGCTTTAAGTGCGAGCACTCTCTAAGCGGTGTACACCAGTAAGCAATGTATGTATATATATATATATATATATATATATATATATATATATATATATATATATATATATTTACATTGCCCCCAACCATCTGGGTCCTCATTTTACCTACCTCGGAAGGATGGAAGGCTGAGTCAACCTTGAGCCGGTGAGATTTGAACCGCTGACCTGCTGAACACAGTCAGCTAAAGTGGCCTGCAGTACTGCACTCTAACTGCTGCGCCACCTCGGCTCTTTATTACTTATATAAACCTTTATTACTTATATAAACCCAATAGTCCAGGGGTCCCAGGGGTCCCAGTCCATGGACAGGCACGGGGCTGCGACATGCCAGAAACCGGTTCACGCAAACAAGCGAAGCTCCATCCCCAGGATGCCGGTGGCACGCGAAACCACACCACCTCCGGTCCACGGAAAAACCTCTCTCCGTGGAACCGGTCCCTGGTGCCCCAAAGGTTGAGGGCCGCTGTTATAGTCCTTCCTCCTCTTATTTTCCCCATAACAACCCTGTGAGGTGGGCTGGGCTAAGGGAGGGATGGGGGATCCCCCACTGAACAAAGGGTAGTGAGCGATAAAGTAATAAACAGTGCTGTTTTTAAATGTTCCATATTCACTGATACTTATATACTAAGCAGACTTTTTTTTTTTTTTAAATTTAGGTGTCCTCCTCCACTTTCAGGATCCCGCCCTTCAGCTCCGAAATTTGTATTTTGTCGATCCCAAGTGGCTGTGTAAAATCATCGGCCAGGTGGGTCTTGAATGGAGTTCCAAGCCAGGTTTTCTGGATTGCCCCCTTTTTGATTTTATAGTAATAATAATAATAATAATAATAATAATAATAACTGCTTCCATCCTGCAACGATATCTCTAATACCATCAAACATCCACATCTGCCTATCCCAGGTCCTGGGTAAGGACTCGATAGGTAGACAAAATGCCAAATTCAGTCTGAACATCTGGCTGACTGTGCGATGATCAATAATAAAGTTGGAAGGGATCTTGGAGGTCATCTAGTCCAACCCTCTGCTCAGACAGGAAACCTTATACCATTTCAGACAAATGGCTGTCCAATCTCTTCTTAAAAACTTCCAGGGTTGGAGCATTCACCACTTCTGGAGGCAGGTTGTTCCACCGGTTAATTGTCCTGGCTGTCAGGAAATTCCTCCTTAGATCCAGGTTGCTTCTCTCCTTGGTTAGTTTCCACCTGTTGCTTCTTGTCCTGCCTTCAGGCTCTTTGGAGAATAGCTTGACTCCCTCTTCTTTGGGGCAGCCCCTGAGATACTGGAACATTGGCTATCCTGTCCCCCCTCGTCCTTCTCTTTGTTAAACTAGACATCCCCAATTCCAGCAACCGTTCCTTATGTGTTTTAGCCTCCAGTCCCCTAATCATCTTTGTTGCTCTTCTCTGTACTAAGCGAATCGTAGTGAGGTTTGTGAGACTGCTTTCTGTTCCATAGATCTTGACCGTGAAGGTTGATGGCTTTACGAAGTACCCCAAAGGGATCATAAAGCGTTCTGATGTGGAAAAATCCCTGCTAAAGAATAGTAAATTTCCTGAGATCTGCAAGGGCCAATACTTCAAGCTGCTAGAGAAGTTTCAGATTGCTTTGCCACTCGGAGAAGATCAACTGCTTATTCCGAGCAGGTAAACAAAAAAAATTAGAACCCGTTGTTCCCTGAGCATTGGCAGGGGGAGGGAGAGTGTGGGGGACAAGTAACCTCTCATATGTTATGACTTCATTATAGACGATGTGAATTATTTAATTTGTGGGGTCCTTGGTGCTCTCTGAGCTTGGTTGTTTTCTTCCAGATGTTTTGTGACCCAACTAGGTAATATCATCAGTGCTAGAAGGGAGTAGGGTTTGTGGAATGATGGAGGAGGAGGAGGAGGAGGAGGAGGAGAACTGTGGGGTCCTTGGTGCTCTCTGAGCTTGCTTGTTTTCTTGCAAACATTTCATTACCCAACTAGGTAACCTCATCAGTGCTAGAAGGGAGTGGGATTTGCAGGGAAAAGGAGGAGGAGGAGGAGGAGGAGGAGGAGGAGGAGGAGGAGGAGGAGGAGGAAGACTGTGGGGTCCATGGTGCTCTCTGAGCTTGCTTGTTTTCTTGCAAACATTTCATTACCCAACTAGGTAACCTCATCAGTACTAGAAGGGGGAAGGAGGAGGAGGAGAACTGTGGAGTCCTTGGTGGGCTCTGAGCTTGGTTGTTTTCTTCCAGATGTTTCAGGACCCAACTAGGTCACAACATCAGTGCTAGAAGGGAGTGGGATTCGCTCTCATTTTATATACCAGTGGCAAGCCCTGTCAGTGTTGGTAGGAGCAATATGGGTGATTCTTTACTGGGTTATTTTACTGTTAGTTTATTTGTCTGAGCTGGGAGTTGCTTGCCTCCTTTGCTTCTTGATTGTTGGAAAGGAAACAAAATCCCAAAATACCTGCTCACCAGCAATCAACAGACAGAGGAACAAAGATTAAACCTAAGATTAACATGAGGCCGACAATCAAGAAGCAAGCAATATAAATCTCACTTCTTACTAGCACTGATCATGTTACCTAGTTGGGTCCTGAAACGTCTGCAAGAAAACCACCAAGCTCAGACAGCACCAAGGACCCCCACAGCTCCACCTGAGCTATAAATATTCTTCTTTATCGGTGTGTTGGTAACCGTTTCCTTTCTTTAAAGGGTGATACATGAAATGGCTATTAGCAGTAGGTCAAAACTATAGATTGGAAATTGTAAGTTTCACTGGAGGGGGAGTCAAGAGAGGAATAAGCCTAGAGTTATTATGTTGCTGCAAGTTCAATTCAACTCTGAGCTATAAATATTCTCTTTTATTATTTAATTTGCATCAGGGGTTACCGAAGCAAATTTGTGTGTTGGCTACCCTTTGTGCAATAATTCCAAAGTGCCCAATAGAACACAGGGACTTCTTATGGACGCTTGCTCAATGTTATATAGTGTCAGCCATTAATTATAACTCAGTGAAAATCTGCACCTTTTGACTGTCACCCCATTGCCAACCTGGGGAATGAAAAAAATGAAAAAGGGGGGGGGAAATAGCTCCCTTTTTAAATTACTTGATGAATTTGTTGTTTTTTTTCTCTTGAAGCTTGTCAGATCAACGGCCTGTGATAGAATTACCTCACTGTGAAAACTCTGAGCTTATTATCAGATTGTATGAGATGCCCTATTTTCCTATGGGATTCTGGTCCCGGCTAATTAATCGACTGCTTGAAGTGTCTTCATACATGCTTTCGGGAAGAGGTACAAGAGTGGAAGGAAATCAATTCAATCTTGTTATGAACAAATTAGCCGAGTGACCACAGATGTTTGTCTTTTAGTTGCTTAATTCACCTTACAGTGTGGGGGGGTCAAACTCAATTTCATTGAGGGCCGCATCAGCGTTACGGGTGCCCTCGGCGGGGCTGGGTGGGTGTGGCCAGGGTGGGTGCAGCCAATGGGTGGGCAGGGATGGAGTGGGTGTGGCCTACTGGGTGGGCGTGGCCAGCTCTACATCGTTCTCTGGGGGGCCTGTGGGGGCCTGGGCAGGAGTGGGACAGATCTGAGGGTCTCTGGCAGAAGGGGGTGGGACTGGGGCAAGCGCCAAGGCATGGTCCACTGGAGGAGCCTCACTGTTGCTCTCAGGCCATGCGTGGGGGGCTGGATAGTGGCACGGGCTGCCCGGAGCCCTGGGCAGCAGAGGTCAAACGCCTAGCCTGGCCCTAGTCTGTTTCCAGACAGACTTGTGCAGCTAAGACTGAATACGTTTCAGTAGAGATGGCCACCACAAAATTGTACATTGGCTCCCGGCCGGCCAGCTGGCCGGCCTGGGCCAAAGCCAAGGCAGCGGGGGCTGTTCCCTCACTGTTTCCAGGATGGCTTCACGGGCCACATGAAACCACTTTGCGGACCGCATCCGGACCCTGGGCCTTGTGTTTGACATGTCTGCCTTACAGTGTTAGCATGAACTCTTGAGAAGCTGTAGGCCGAACCAAATTTGATACAGAAAATATTGCTTGGATTTGTCCAATTTCATGGGAACCGCTTTCAAGTAGAAACAGATAAAGGTCAGGTTGTTATATGACGTTTTGGGATTGCTATCCTGCTTTGTCCCAAAGAGACACTTCTATGGATTGGAGGTGTTGGACAGGAAGGAGGTAGATAGATTATGAATATTTATAAATGCAAACCCATTTAAAGGGTTTCATTTAGGGATCTAGAACATGTGTGTTATTTACCTAAGACCCCTTATGCTTGGAATCCTACATACCCCCTATGAAGGATCTCAAGACTTCCTATGTCTCAGTACTTTTACAATAGTAGGATTCCAAATGATGTTAATTTATGGCAGTAGAAATAATTTGAGCCAAGGTAGATATTTAGATCAGTATGATGATCAAAAGCTAATGTTTAAGCCTTAAGGGACGAAGTGCATTTTACTTCTCATATTTGAATTGATCTCATGATGGTTAACTATTGAGAAAGCTTCCTGACCTGGGATTTGAACCTGGGGTTTGTTCCATCTTTCCCTATTCTTGGGCCCAAATTAGCCATGGTAATTGAGATTACAAAAATCTATAATCTAGTATAGGCCGGGAAAGATGGTTGTATTTCTTGTTTTTGCATACCTGGTGTTTCTAACTCTCCTCTTCCTAAAGAACATTTTTTTTCCCAATCCATGGTGACAAATATATAAAAAAGGCTATCCGATTTGGATAGATTGAGAATATAAATTTATCCAATGCATAAAATCGTGTCAGAGAAAGGGATCGTATGTGAATTTAGAAAGAGGACTTCACTTCTCGTTCTTACGTACTTTGGGCTTCTAACTTCCTTCTTCTCAAAGAATATTTTTATCCCAATCCGTGGTGAAAAATATATATATTTTTAAAAAAGTATCCTATTTGGATAGATCGAGAATATAAATTTACCCTATGCAGAAAATCGTGTCAGAGAAAGGGATTGTAAGTGAATTTAGAAAGAGGATTGCACTTCTCGTTCTTGCGTACTTTGTGCTTCTAACTTTCTTCCTCTCAAAGAATATTTTTATCCCAATCCATGGTGAAAAATATATATATTTTTAAAAGTATCCTATTTGGATAGATCGAGAATATAAATTTACTCTACGCAGAAAATCATGTCAGAGAAAGGGATCGTAAGTGAATTTAGAAAGAGGACTTCACTTCTCGTTCTTACGTACTTTGGGCTTCTAACTTTCTTCCTCTCAAAGAATATTTTTATCCCAATCCGTGGTGAAAAATATATATATTGTTAAAAGTATCCTATTTGGATAGATTGAGAGTAAGTGAATTTAGAAAGACGACTGCACTTCTCGTTTTTGCATATGGGATTGTATGTGAATTTACAATGGGAAAAAAAACCCCACAATACATACTTAACACCCCTCCTTTTCTCCTTAGAACGAGCTCTTCGTCCTAACAAGATGTATTGGAGGCAAGGCATATATCTGAGTTGGTCTCCGGAAGCTTACACCTTGGTGGAATCTGCAGTTCTGGAAAACAATCTCAACAGCTTTTTAAAAATCACGGTCCCTTCTTGCAGAAAAGGTTAAATTACACCTCCCAACCTTCTGGAGGGTGGGGGAAAAATTAAGACGTTGTTGGTTTTGCTCAGCGGAAAACCTCTGAGTGTATTTCTAATTATAGATGCAGCAAACCACAAATTTTTAATCACATTTTTTTTCCCCGTGCTTTCCGAAGGTTGCATTATTTTGGGGCAAGTTGTAGATCACATCGATTCTCTCATGGAGGAGTGGTTCCCGGGTCTATTAGAAGTAGATATTTGTGGCGAAGGAGAAACACTGTTGAAAAAATGGGCTTTGTACAGTTTTGAAGATGGAGAAGAACATCGGAAAATATTGCTTGACGACCTACTTAAAAAGGCAGAGGAAGGTAATCTGTACTATGGTATTTCGACCAGTCCATTCCAAAATACTTTTGGGGGGATACAGTAATAAATAGACAGTAGTAGCCAAAATGGTGGAAATCTTTTGGGAAAAGTATACAGTTGAAATGCCACCTTGGGTTAAGTTTCCACTCATTTTTCTTCTAATTTCTTTATAACTATAGCCTTGTTCACTGAATAATTCTATTTTACATCGCTGTCTGGCCAACCAGTCAACTCTTTGCACCATGACTTTAATTTTATTACATTTTACAAGCTCACTAAATGAAAGAATACAAAAAAACCCCAGCCAACTTGATAGCCATCACATAACACACTGACAAATGTCTTCCTCTCAGCTTCAATACATGACATCAATAATTGAATCCGATTGTGATCTGATTGGCTCATGGCCAAAACAAGATGACACCTGATTGGCTCTCTAAACACTCACACTCATTGGCTACCATCAGATGAAGGAAAGCTACCTGAGATCAACTTAAGCAAGTTGTGCTTCCTTTTTCTGGTTATTTGGCTATAGCTTTTCGTAGAATAAAGTACAGATAATTGAACCAACTTTGTTGCATTACATTCTTGATTAAATTATCTTTCCATTGATATATAAATTTATGGTACTATTCCCCCCCAAAAAAGTGGTGTTATTAGCCATCAAACCTCAAAAATACAATTTTTCCAAAAGGTTTCCACAATTTTGGCCACTCCTGTATACCTCATTGTCAATGTCACAATATTTTTTACATCAAAATGACAATCTCTGGCACGGAGCAAGAGTTAATAATAATAGCGTGCAGATTCTGCACAGGTTTATTGAGTAGACAAACTTCCAAAGCTGCTATAGGTAGTCCTTGACTTACAACGGTTTGTTTAGGGACCGTTCAGAGTTACAACGGCACTTTAAAAAAATGAGTTATGACCTGTTTTCACACTAAACAACTGTTGCAGCATCCCCACGGTCACGTGATCAGAATTCCTCGCAGTGTCCCGGGCTCATGTGATCATATTTTGAGACCTTCTGACCATGATGATATGGTCAAAATTCAGTTGCTTGGCAACGGGTTCACATTTATGACGGTCGCCGTGTCCTGGGGTCACGTGATCCCCTTTTGCGACCGTCTGACAAGCAAAGTCGATGGAGGAAGCCAGATTCACTTAACAACCGTGTTAGCAACTTAACAACTGCACTGATTCCCTTAGCAACTGTGGCAAGAAAAGTCATAAAATGGGGAACAACTCACTTAACAACTGTCTCAGTTGTGGTTATAACTTGAGGACTACCTGGATAAGATCTCTCTCTCTTCCAAATAACTCCTAGACAAGGTTCGGCTTTGATTATACCTTTGTTCTAGAACACGGGTAGGCAACCCTGGCTCTTTTATGACTCGTGGACTTCAATTCCCAGAATTCCTGAGCCAGCCATGCTGAGGGGAAAGGGAGAGGTTTCCATGTTGAGCCATGCTGGCTCAGGAATTCTGGGAGTTGAAGTCCACAAGTCATGAAGGGGCCGTAGTTCCCCCATGCTGGCTCAGGAATTCTGGGAGTTACAGGCTTAAGCCAGGGGTGGGGAACCTTGGCTCTTTTATGACTCGTGGACTTCAACTCCCAGAATTCCTGAGCCAGCCACACTGAGGGGAAAGGGAGAGGTTTCCAAGCTGGGCCATGCTGGCTCAGGAATTCTGGGAGTTGAAATCCATGAGTCTTAAAGTTGCCAAGGTTGAGGACCCCTGATATAGGGCAGGGGTGGGGAACTTTGGTTCTTTTATGACTCGTGGACTTCAACTCCCAAAATTCCTGAGCCAGCCACGCTGAGGGGAAAGGGAAAGGTGTCCAAGCTGAGCCATGCTGGCTCAGGAATTCTGGGAGTTGAAGTCCACGAGTCATAACAAGCCAAGGTTGCCTACCCCTGTTCTAGAAAAACATTTGTTCGAGAACATCAAAAAGCTTTACAGGGCCAATGTGAGTTGGATATGATGTCTTCTTATTCTTAATTCTATTAATCATGTTAATGTTAGTTGCCTGCTTCCATATCTTGACAGGAAAAATGTTAAAGAATTTTGTTTGGTGCACACAGGGAAAAAAGAAGAATGACAGCTAATACAGAAGTGGTAACTTGATTTTGTAATTTCATGGTTCTCCTAACCTGCCAATCAGTTAGAAAACACAGGCTTTTTTTGCTTAAGAATATTCGATTTTGTCCATTTGTGTGGCATGAAACTGTTTATATGTTGTAGTGACTGCACCAAACAAAATTCTTTAACATTTCTACTGCCAAGGTACGGAAGTAGACAAGTAACATTAACACAATGATGAATAGAATTAAGAATAAGAAGACATCGTATCTAATTCACATTGGCCCTATAAAGCTTTTTGATGTTCTCGAATAAATGTTTTTCTACAACAAAGGTGTGCATGTATGTAGATCCTGATTCTTGACCCATTTCCCAGTATAATCTGGAACTGTTAGAGTTAAATATTTGTCTTACTTTACTGAAATGAGTATACGATGATTTTTTTTTAAAAAACTGAGGGGAGATAACCAATATTCCCAAATGGATCATGGTAGCTATGCATCCTTATGATTGTGTGGATCACATCATTTGTCGTTACATACATGACATAAACTACAGTGGGATTTGGTCTGTTGTGATTCAGAAAGTACAGCGAAGGTTCTACAGTACTAGTTTATCTTTTCGTTTAATCGGTTACCCTTCCATGTCTATTATTCTTTATCCATCAAGGTGACCTCTTAATAAATCCAGATCAACCCAGGTCTACTGTTCCAATTGCTCAAATTGCTCCTGATTTGATTTTGGCGGATTTACCCAGAAACATCATGTTGAACAACGATGAGCTGGAATTCCACCAAGCTCCAGAGAACCTTCTTGGTAAAGACAGTTGTAGCGTTGCTTCCTGCAGCTAAGAAAGACGAACACTTGTAGGAAAGATGAATGAATGAATTGCAACACAAACACCTGAGGCCAAAAGCTACATATAAATTAAATTAGGCATGTTAACATAATCGTTGTTTATTAATAAAGTGGGGGAAGAATTTCTGAATGCTGCATCAGACCCTGGTAATGATATTCCTTAATTTGTAATCAAATCTTAAAAATAGCAATATTTTGCTCTTTTTGACCTTCCATCCTTCCGAGGTCAGTAAAATGAGGAGCCAGATTGCCAGGGGCAATAGGTTGACTCTCTAAACCGCTTAGAGAGGGTAGTAAAGCACCGTGAAGCGGTATACAAGTCTATTAGAGGACTAAGTCTAAGTGAAGTGGTATACAAGTCTATTAGGGGACTGGCGGCTAAAGCATATAAGGAACGGTTGCTGGAATTGGGTATGTTTAGTTTAATGAAGAGAAGGACGAGGGGGGACATGATAGCAGTGTTCCAAAATCTCAGGGGCTGCCACAAAGAAGAGAGAGTCAAGCTATATTCCAAGGCGCCTGAAGGCAGGACAAGAAGCAACGGGTAGAAACTAAGCCAGGAGAGAAGCAACCTAGAACTAAGGAGAAACTTCCTGACAATGAGAACAATTAACCAGTGGAACAACCTGCCTCCAGAAGAGGTGAATGCTCCAACACTGGAAGTTTTTAAGAAGAGACTGGACAGCGATTTGTCCGAAATGGTATAGGGTTTCCTGCCTGAGCAGGGGGTTGGACTAGATGACCTCCAAGGTCCCTTCCAACTTTACTATTATTACTTATTACTAAGTCCTATTGCTATTGTTGTTTAAGCTGTGATAGCGCAGTGGTGAGAATGGAGTATTGCAGGCAAACTCTGCCCACTGCCTGGAGTTCGATTCTGACCAGCTCACGGTTGGCTCAGCCTTCCGTCCTTCCAAGGACGGTAAAAGGAGGACCCAGATTGTTGGGGGCAAGATGCCGACTCTGTAAACCTCTTAGAGAGGGCTGTAAAGACTTACGAAGCTGTAGATAAGTCTGTGTGCTAGTGCTGTGGCCAATATTTTAATCTAACTGGTATTGTTAGAAATATTGTATGAAGTTAGGCATTTCATTCAGTAGGTAACGTCGAATTATTTTGGGATGCCCTCAATATGGATACGAAAGTTTTGTGTAATTTCATCATACTATTTCTTCCAGTTTCTCTTCACGTATGGATGAATAAGATACCTAGCATGCATTTTTGCCTTAATGTGCAGATGGATTAGTGCTGACAATTGCAACCTGTGTTTAGAACTGAGAATTCAGAAAATTCTGTGGGCTATATTTATTTGTTCCTTTGTTTTTATTTTTTTCATTTTGAAAAATTTTAGTTGATTCAAAGAAGATTAAAATACAAAACCGCCAAAATATTTAAAAAAACAACAAAAGAAAAAAAAAAGACATTGACCAAAAAAGTGTCTTAAAAAAACCCCTAACACACATACACATAACATCCTCCCTAAATTGAATGCTGATTAGTATAACACAACAATGTTGGAAGGAATGTTATAATCTTCTACCTGAGTAGGGGGGGGGGTGGACTAGAAGACCTCCACGGTCCCTTCCAATTCCCTCCTGTTATCCAGTATGTTTAACAAATCCATCCTTGCTGGTTTGAAGGGAATTCTATCAAATTAAAAATTAATTCTTTCAGCTATGGTATGATTTCTTAACTTAGAATACGCCAGGGGTCTTCAAACTTGGCCCTTTTATGACTAGTGGACTTCAACTCCCAGAATTCCTCAGCCAGGCACGCGTGCCTGGCTGAGGAATTCTGGGAGTTGAAGTCCACTAGTCATAAAAGGGCCAAGTCTGAAGACCCCCTGGAATATGCCAAAACAGTGTTTCATTATATATGTAATTATCCTCCTATAAATTCAAGGAACATTACCGACTCTTTTAATATTGTCTCATATTTTCTATCGAAAAGGCGACGGCGGATTTGGATCTGTGTACCGCGCAGTTTACGTCGGCGAAGAAGTAGCTGTAAAGATTTTTAATAAGCATACATCCCTTAGGCTCCTGAGACAGGTGAGTCAATGCACAGCCTGCTCATAAATCACAAAGCCGTGAATTTCTGTTTGGAATTCACAAGGGCCAGGATTCGGCAACCTAATCCATGGCTGCTGACCTCCTGGCCGAGAACAGTCATTGATTATTTGTTGCAAATGTCCACCTGCTCGGGTCTCGGTCCAAAGCATTTTTCAAGTGGCCTATCGTTGCGTGATTCCGGAAGAAAAACTACGGTTTGCTTCTCGGGTTTTTCCCTTTGGCTGATTTTGGGGAATCGCTTGAACGACTTATTTATTTTCAACTTTCCCATTTTTTTTTTTAATCTCTGATTTTTCTTGGTCGACTGTCGATTGCAAAAGCCTTAGCAGCTTCTCTGAAACGATTTGTGACGCTTGGGATCTGTGAGGCAGAGATTTGAAAAAAATCTCTTTCGTTAGCCTATGCTACAAGCATAGCATGATCTCCATGGAGATTCTCAGTCATCCAGGCCATAGTTGTCTCAAAGAACCTCCTCCTCCTCCTCCTCCTCCTCCTCCTCCTCCTCCTCCTCCTCCTCCTCCTCCTCTTCTTCTTCTTCTTCTTCTTCTTCTTCTTCTTCTTCTTCTTCTTCTTCTTCTTCTTCTTCTTCTCCTCTTCTTCTTCTTCTTTCTCTCCTCTTCTCCTCTTCTTCTTCTTCTTCTTCTTCTTCTTCTTCTTCTTCTTCTTCTTCTTCTTCTTCCTCTTCTTCTGCTTCTTCTCCTTCTTCTCCTCCTCCTCCTCCTCCTTGTTGTTCTTTTTCTCCTCCTCCTCCTCCTCCTCCTCTTCTCCTCTTCCTCCTCCTCCTCTCCTCTTCTTCTTCTCCTCCTCCTCCTCTTCTTCTTCTTCTTCTTCTACATCTTCTGCTTCTTCTTCTTCTTCTTCTTCTTCTTCCTCTTCTTCTTCTTCTTCCTCTTCTTCTGCTTCTTCTCCTTCTTCTCCTCCTCCTCCTCCTCCTTGTTGTTCTTTTTCTCCTCCTCCTCCTCCTCCTCTTCTCCTCTTCTTCTTCTCCTCCTCCTCCTCCTCTTCTTCTTCTTCTTCTTCTTCTTCTTCTTCTTCTTCTTCTTCTTCTTCTTCTTCTTCTTCCTCTTCTTCTTCTTCTTCTTCTTCCTCTTCTTCTTCTTCTTCTTCCTCTTCTTCTGCTTCTTCTCCTTCTTCTCCTCCTCCTCCTCCTCCTTGTTGTTCTTTTTCTCCTCCTCCTCCTCCTCCTCTTCTCCTCTTCCTCCTCCTCCTCTCCTCTTCTTCTCCTCCTCCTCCTCCTCTTCTTCTTCTTCTTCTACATCTTCTGCTTCTTCTTCTCCTCCTCCTCCTCCTTGTTGTTCTTTTTCTCCTCCTCCTCTTCTTCTCCTTCTCCTCCTCCTCCTCCTTGTTCTTTTTCTCTTCCTCCTCCTCCTCTTCTTCTCCTTCTCCTCCTCCTCCTCTTTCTCCTCCTCCTCCTTGTTCTTTTTTTCTTCCTTCTTCTTCTCCTCCTCTTCTTCCTCCTCCTCCTCCTCTTCTTCTTCTTCTTCTCCTCCTCCTCTTCCTCCTCCTCCTTCTCCTTCTTCTTCTCCTCGTTCTCCTTGTTTTTCTCCTCCTCCTGCTCCCCCTCCCCCCTCCTCCTGAAAAAACAGCCCAGTTGCCTTTTGAAAAAAAAAGCACCTTTGAGACAACTATGGCCTGGATGACTGAGAATCTCCAAAAACAGCCATACACTTTGGGGTGAACACCCCTCAAAACCTATCATCCCCCCCCCCCCGCAACCAATGAAACTTCTTGGATGAGAAGCGAAATGTCGTCTTCTTGTTCCTCAAGGGGAAAAAAAACCAGTCCAGTTGCCTTTTGAAAGGGGAAAAAAAAGCCCCTTTGAGAAAACATAGCCCGAGTGTCGCTGTCATTTCACTTTGATTTTGCTGTGTCCAGGAACTTGCTGTGCTTTGTCATCTCCATCATCCTAGCTTGGTATTCTTGATGGCTGCAGCTGTGCGACCCCGGATGCTTGTCATGGAATTAGCCCCAAAGGGGTCTTTAGATCGGTTACTGCAGCAAGAAAATGCATGTCTAACCAGAACCTTGCAGCACAGGATAGCTCTGCATGTTGCAGATGGCCTGAGGTAAAAAATAATAATAATAATAGAAACCCCTTCCTTTTTCAGTATGTATGAATGAATGTCTCTCTCTCTCTCTCTGTGTCTCTATATACAATAATCTATATCTATATAGGGTGTCCAGTCATGGTAACTTCAACACCTGTGGACATCAACTCCCAGAATTCATGACTGGCTGGGGAATTCTGGGAGTTGAAGTCCACAAGTCTTCAATTTGCCAAAGCTGGACACCACTGCTTTAAATCTTTGGGATATAAGCACCCATTAGGTAGGTAGGTAGGTAGGTAGGTAGGTAGGTAGGTAGGTAGATAGATAGATAGATAGATAGATAGATAGATAGATAGATAGATAGATAGATAGATAGATGAGAGAGAGAGAGAGAGAGAGAGATATGTTGGTAGATAGATAGATAGATAGATAGATAGATAGATAGATATAAATATAGATAGATTTAAATACAGATAGATATAAATATAGATAGAGATAGAGAGATAGAGAGATAGAGAGAGATAGAGATAGAGATAGAGAGATAGATATTGGTAGATATAGAGATATATAGAGATAGATATATAGAGATAGATAGATAGATAGATAGATATAATTAGATAGATAGATAGATAGATAGATAGATAGATATAAATATAGATAGATATAAATATAGATAGATATAAAGATAGATAGATATAGATAGATAGATAGATAGATAGATAGATATAAATATAGATAGATATAAAGATAGATAGATAGATAGATAGATATAAAGATAGATAGATAGATAGATAGATAGATAGATAGATAGATAGATAGATAGATAGATAGATAGATAGATAGATAGATAGATAGATAGATAGATAATGTTATTTCTAGTCGTTTCAGTGCATCTCTTTCTTCCTTTTTCAGGTACCTACATTCTTCAATGATCATTTATCGTGACTTAAAGCCCCACAACGTCTTGCTCTTCACGCTTTATCCCAATTCAGCAGTCATTGCCAAGATTGCCGATTATGGCATTTCCCAATATTGTTGCCGGATGGGAATAAAAACCTCCGAAGGCACACCAGGTATCAACGACTTAGTAGCTCCTACCTCCGGGTAACGAGGGCTTTCCAAGGCACTGGGGTGAAATTGGAAGTTGCTTAGCTAGTCGAATAAACACGAGCAGATTCAATGAAGAGAAAGCCAATGAGCGGTTGACTTTCCTGGCTCAGCCCTTTAATGAATTATTTAGCCAATTACTTTCTTCATATTCTGATAGACCTGTATGTTAGGGCTGTATAGCAATCAAGATCTAGATTCAGAAAGAAATGGCTATTTGTAATGGGGTGTAAGTACTTGTTATTTTTGTTCCCTTCTTTTGGCTTGTTGATTGTCTCTGTTGCACCGTATGTAGACGTTGTTTACGTCTACGTGTCTATTGATGCTACCAACATACAAGGTTTCTAAATCACCTGGCTCTATTATGGAGAAAGCAGATCCTTGCCATTATTAACTGATCCAACAGTTTTCTTTTCTTAATTACCTTCTGGAGAATTTATGTATCTTTTACGCCACAAATGATATTCCGATTTTCTTGTTTAGGTGATCCGAAGGCATTTAACAGCATTTAAAATTCTGAAATGAAAACAAGAACAGCATCTGCCTAGTAAAGACCGTAATAATTAATGATTCGTGGATTGTTTTTCTTTATTTTTCTTTTTTTTAAAAGGATTTAGAGCACCAGAAGTCGCAAGAGGAAACGTTATTTACAATCAGCAAGCTGATGTTTATTCGTTTGGCTTGCTGCTATATGACATTTTAACAGCTGGTGGGAGAATATTAGAGGGCATAAAATTTCCTCATGAATTTGATGAATTAGCTATCCATGGGAAACTGCCAGGTATGCTCCCTTTTCTTGGTGTCTGGTTATTGTACGCACAATACATTTGTACCCTTTGGAATAATCTACCTTATATTAGTCTGTCCAGCAAATGTAAAAACAAAACACAGAAACATGTAAATTGTCAATCCTAATTTGGATGTATTTGAATTTCATTTGTTTTTTTTTTTTAAATAAAGGCAAAAATTTATAATGCAAAAAAAATCTGGATTACAAGGAAAACTAGTATCTTAAGCCCCCTTTTTTTTTAAAAAAAAAATTCAATCATATCCAATAATATTTGTAGCTCAGGGTTGAACTGTGGAGTCCTTGATACTCTCTGAGCTTGGTGGTTTTCTTGCAAACGTTTCATTACCCAATCAGTAAGCATCACGAGGACCCCAGCACTGATGATGTTACCTAGCTTGGTAATGAAATGTCTGCAAGGAAACCTGTTGGAATTCATTGTTGGAATGTATTTCTATGCAACAACTACAGTAGTATTCAACAAGTAGAATGACAGTGTTTACAAGTTTGGATCTATAGTATATACTCTTGTGTTCTTTTGTTCTAAGTAGCCTTTCCACTTTCCTGTTACAGTTAAACAGTTGAGCAGTAAAGCACATGGTGACGGTACTATTTGTTTGGCCTGTGGGGCTATATATAAACAGAATTTCCAACAAAACCACCAAACTCAGAGAGCACCAAGGACCCCTTAAACAGTTTGTGCTTCTGTAAGACAAATGTTAGTCCCTGTAATGCGATTCTCCAAATTAAGCTCAGAAATATCTATTTTAGATCCCGTCAAAGAGTACGGCTGTGCCCCTTGGCCAAGATTTGAAGATTTAATTAAGAAATGTTTGAAAGAAAATCCTCAAGAAAGACCTACGTCTGACCAGGTAGGCCTAGTCAATGTCAATAAATGAGACACAGATGTTCCAATGCTACATATTTTAGCTGTCATGGTTCTACCAGATGAAAATCTTCAAAGAACTTCGAGGCATTGTTTACCTTAAAGAATCTTTATTAGAGGAGCATAGCATCGGCACGTACATAGGCAAAGCCAAAATCTGAATTCCCCTCCCCTGAGCACATAGTATCAAAGCACAAACCCCTCCTCTAACTAACAGTCATAAATCATATTCTCCAATTAGTTTGAAATGCAGGCTTTCCCTCCCGTTCTTCAACCTGCCATTTCTTATCATCTCTTATTTCAAAAAAACCTTTGTTCTCACACTAGTTACAATATTGTTATGTCTAGCTGAACTCTCATGCACATTCCTCCCCCCACCCAGCATCATCTAACTCTAGCTCTAACTCCAAGAGTAAAACATAAGAAGAAAATGGTTGCATCTCCAATTGTTCTCAAAGCAAAAACATCCAATGTTAGCAGCGTTGACATTAAGCACTAGGAACTTGTGCACGGAAAAACATTTAGCAGAAGACAGACGCTGATTAATACGGTGTCTCCACAGGTTTATGAAACGTTGAACTCTGCCGAGCTCGTTTGTTTCATGAGACACATTTCGGTGCCCTCTCCTTTGGCGTCGGAATGCATGGTGGCCACAAACCAAAGTAACAAGAAGACCGGGATCTGGATCGGGAGTGGCGGCAGGGGAGAGGCCCAGCTCTCGTTTGTCGACGTAAACACAGACGAACGCGCCTGCGAAGTAGGTTTCAACGTTGACATTCAAAATTGATGCTCCGTTATATGTTGTGCCGCTTCGGTGATAAAAGTGAATACAGGCAATCCTCGACTTAACAACCACAGCTGAGCCCCAAATTTCCGTTGCTAAACAAGACCGTGGTTAAGTGAGTTGTGCCCCATTTTACGACCTTACTTGCCACCGTCGTCAAGTCAGTCCCTGCAGTTGTTAAAGTTAGTAACACGGTGCTGAAGTGGATCTGGCTTCCCCCGTTGACTTTGCTTGTCGGGAAGTCGCAAAAAGGGGATCACACAACTCCAGGATGCTGTGACCGTCATAAATATGAACCAGTTGGCAAGTTGCCAAATTGGGATGCTGTGTGAACAACGGTCACGAGTCGCTTTTTTCAGTGCTGTCATAACTTCCAACAGTCACTAAACGAATCGTCATAAGTCAGAGACTACCTGTACTTTAATTCTTAGCCCTGAGACAAGTCCTTTCCATTTTCCTCTCCCCAATCCATTCCTTGTTGGGGATTTTTTTTTAATTTAGTTTTATTCATTTATAACTTTAAGACAGTTGGATTTCAACTCCCAGAATTCCCCCTATCTGACTGGAGAATTCTGGGAGTTGAACTCCATTTGCTTTAAAGCTGTCGAGATTGAGGGACGCTTCCTTGCACGCTTTAATTCAGGGGTCCCCAACACCCGGGCCACAGCCCATTTGGAACCACACCCACAGCTCCATTTCTGCAAGGGGCTGGCATGCATGGGAATATGTGAAGCTGCATTTGTGCAAGCAGCAAGCACGCACATCCTCTGCTTGTGCAAATGCCACTGTGCGTGCAAGCACGCTTGCCCACCGCTTGCGTGGCACCATTCCCTCTCCCTTCCTCTGCCACCACGCCACCGGTCCACAAAGCCAAAAAGGTTGGGGACCTTTGCTTTAACGAATGAAGCCACAGTAGGTCAAAGCCATGAAGTGCCTTTTAGGATTCCTATTTCTGTTTTTATTTTTTTTTATGGTTACGGACAGAGGTTCCCTCTTTTTTCTCTCTTTCCTCTCTTCCTACAGAACGTTGAAGACAGTAGAATCTTAAGTTTGGCCTTGGTTACCGTTTCCGCAGCGAAGGAGAACTGGGTGATTGCAGGAACCCAGTCAGGATCCCTCTGGTCCTTTCACACCCAAGATGGAGAACGCAGGCATCAGTTTCACACCATGTCAGATTCGGTCACCTGCCTTTACTGCAGTCCCTTGTCAAAGCATAAGTATGTGTCAAGCACAAAAGATCAGACCTATACCTGAAAGTCCAAGTAAACTGATTTATTGCTAAAAACCCATGCCCAGGAATCTTCTCAACGAACAGTTAGCACCTGGTTAGAGTTAGATGAAGGGTCAACTGAATTCAAGGTGGGCTGGGTTGAGTTTGCTTGTGGCTACGTAGGGATTCTAGGCCGGTGCCTCTTCTGACTCCGCCCCCAGATTCTACTGCTCCTTTTCCTACAATATGGCTGAATTGAGATTCCACTCCATACCGTACATTGCTTCAAAAATACAGAAATATTGATTTTTTTAAAAAAATGATTTACTTACTTTCACCCGTATTTTGACATTATTGTATGATCTGAGCACCGCGTGACCAGAATTGTTGCTGACTTTCGGCACAGGGCTAATTTGGGGGGGGGGGGGTTGAGGTTGACTTATCTAGCTTGTTCTTTTAACACATGGGCTGGCAATTTCAGCTTTTCTTATCTCCAGGGTTACACTTTTAATTGCATGGCTTAAGTGCTACAAGTCTTCTTTTGTTGACAAGTTTGTGCATTTTCTCCTTCAATTTCAGCAAGTACCGGAATATCTTTTTGGTGGGCACAGCCAATGGACAGCTGGCCATTTTTGAGGACAGAGCAGTCAAGGTATATATATTCACTACAGCCTTTCAAGAAATATGTAATTATGACAGATGTATCTTGTAATAAACACTGCCTTTGCGTTAATATAGGACAGGGGTGTCAAACTGCCGGCCCGCGGGTCAGACGCGTCACCAGGAAATCATGCTCACCCCATTGCCGGCAATGGAGAAAAAACTCTGATACGTCACGCGATGTTACGTGACGTCACAAATTTGACACCTTTGATATAGAAAGTTTATGCTTTCTTAAATCTTGACAGATGCTGTTCATAGCAGGAATAGAGGAAGTTATAATACGATATGGAATTGCATAGATTGTCCTCAAATTAGCAGTTGCTGGATCCACTGACTGGCGAGGAATCATAACAACTGTGTATCTCACAACGAAATTTAAGTGCTGTCCACAGTGCACACTACACACAAGCAAAAACCTCAAGTAAAAACACACATTATTTAGACATTCCATTCTTCACATTCCATTCACCCTTGTGCTGCCCTAATATCGCCCTTCAATGTCACACTGTGCAGTAGTATTTAATATGGTTACAGCTCTGAGATTAAAAACTATTTTTCAGTCTATTTCTCTTTGATTTTATTATGCTGTGGCTGAGGAATTCTGGGAAATGAAGTCCTTATTATGCTGTGGCTGAGGAATTCTGGGAAATGAAGTCCACACCCTTTAAAGTGGCTAAGGATGAGAGAAACACTGGTCCCATGAGATTTTTCTCCATAGACATACACTATATTCGGCTGATCTTCTACATTCTGAGCATCAGTTGTCCAAACCTGTCCCTTAGATTTTGAAGCCACGATGTTCTTCTTCTGCCTGGACCTCGTTTGCCTTCAATCTTTCCCTGGAGGATTAAACGGAGTATGCCGTATTTTTCTGGGTGTCGCATCACATGTCTGAAATATTCTAATTTTCATTTTTTTAATTGTTTTGATGATTTCCCTCGGCTTTCCCAGGCGGCTTATCACCTCCTCATTTCTGATCTTGTCAACCCAGCTTCTACGTAACAGCCGCCTGTAAATCCACATTTCAAATGCTTCTAGTCTCTTCAGGTGGCCTTCTGTCAGAGACCAACTCTCTATTCCGTAGAGCAGGATACAAAAAATATAGCATCTGACAAGCCTGATTTTCAGTCTTAGGCTTCTGTCGTGACTGCAGAAGACCCTTTTCATTTTGAAGAATGCTGTTCGAGCTTTCTCTATCCTTGTCTTTACTTCAGTGGTCATGTCCCAGCTTTCATGTAGATTAGAACCGAGGTGCGTGATCCTTTCCACTTTTTCTAGTGGTATTCCTTCTGAATTTATTGGTGGTAAATTAACGGATTGTTTGCTGATGACCATGATCTGTGTTTTTGAGGTGTTAAGCTTCAAGCCGTATTTTTCAGATATTTTTAAGGACACATGCAGCCCTATTAGTCCATGTTCTATGTTTATTTTCTTTATTTTCTCTCTGCAGGGCAAATGTGCTGGACCCTTAAGGACTTTTCTCATTGGAAGTAGCAGCACGCCACTGATGTGTTTAAGTGAATCAAGTTATTCATCCGACAAAAGTACACTCTGGGGTGGCTGTGGAACAAAGATACTATCGTTGTCCAGCGATTTGTCTACCCACAAACTCATTGAGACCAACACGAGTCAGCTGTACGTTTGTGTCGCTTACGTTTTACCAGGTTTTCTCTCTTCTATCTGCAGCCCTAAAAACACCACTTAATTTTTAATAGCTTCGCTTTTCCCACCGTCTGAAAATCTGCGGCGCCAATTAGCCTGCCTGCGTATTTCCCATAGATTTTTGAGGGTCCTTAAATTTATTCCGTTGCCTTCACATTCAAAAAAGAAAGAAAATAATGCCCCGACAAACAAAAATAAAGAAGCGGCGAGCAAGACCGTTCTATTTAATCCTTTATTTTGTGAAAAGAATTCCTCGCTCAATGATGGTAATTGGGACTGACAACTCTGTCACGAAACGGTGTGATTGTAAAACACAAACCTCGTGTGAATCCCTTAGGTGAATCCCACACCGTCACGTCTTCCTACCATGGCCAGCTTCCCCATTGACTTTGCTTGTCAACAGGGCAATCATCTTAATTGTGAGGTAGTTTCCAGGCACCTGAATTGTGATTATGTGATCGTGGAGATGCTACAATAGCCACAGCTATGAGGGATGGTTATATAGTGGACAGTCATTAAATATGAGCCAGCCGTGTGCTGCAGCTGCCAAAAAAGCCAATACAGTGCTAGGCTGCATTAACAGAGGGATAGAATCAAGATCACCTGAAATATTAGTACCACTTCATAGTGCCTTGGTAAGAGAGAGAGAGAGGGAGAGAGATTAAGAGAGAAATTAGAGAAATTGAGAGAGATGGAGAGAGATGGAGAGAAAGAGTAAGAGAGAAATTGAGAGATTGAGACAGATGGAGAGAAAAAGAGAAATTGAGAGAGATAGTGAGAAATTAGAAATTGAGAGAGAGAGAGAGAGAGAGAGAGAGAGAGAGAGAGAGAGAGAGAGAGAGATTATACTGTCACGGGATGTTGGTTTGCTTATCACTTTAATCACTTTATGCAATGGAGCCTGTGTTATAAATGCCATAACACCATTTTCCAAATTGCCTTTTTTGTGTTCCAGATTATGTCACAAGAACTACTGTGATGCCAATATTATTTCTATAGCAGTGGACAAATTTATCTACTTGGCCAAGAAGGAAAGCTATCTTGTTGAGATTTGGGACAAAAAAACGGAGCAGCTTTGTGAACTAATTGACTGCGTGCATCTACTAAAGTGAGTATCAAATATCCCACAGATTCAGCAATATCGCGGGTGGCTGAGATAATTAGGACAAATAAATGCATCTGATTTCCTCTCTGTGTGGGTTTTTTTTAAACATACTATCAGGTAAGTTAAATCTCTAATAAACTTATAAAAAGCCCTAATTAAGAAGAAAAGAAAGAGAGAGAGAGAGAGAAGAAGAAGAAGAAGGAAGGAAGGAAGGAAGGAAGGAAGGAAGGAAGGAAGGAAGGAAGGAAGGAAGGAAGGAAGGAAGGAAGGAAGGAAGGAAGGACAAATATTCGAGTCTTGCCAGCTCAGGTGATGTCATCAAATTAACTTTTCTCCCCATCCCTACCCTCTGCTAACTCATGGCCAGTTTTTTAAAATGAATTTATTTCCCAAGCATTCACAAAAAGGTTTTGCTTCTTTGTTTTATAGTATAATAAGGATGGGTTGGTGGAGGAGATAAAAAATCATGGTTGCGGTAACAGTTAATTTACTAAGCTTGCGTAGGCAGTGGAGATGTACCCTCTTCAAAAATAATTCAGGATACAGACTTTGAAAACTAGGAGTGCATCATCTCTGTCCTACTCATTAAGGCAGCCACATCTTTATCGACTTTTGTATGCTAGCATTCCAAAAGAGGTAGCTGCTTTAAGAGACACATTAGTAAATTTGAGGGAACTAGATATGATTCAGAGAACTAGATATGTCTAGTCAAGGGGTAGGCAACCTTGGCTCTCTTATGACTCATGGACTTCAACTCCCAGAATTCCTGAGCCAGCCACGCTGAGGGGAAAGGGAGAGGTTTCCAAGCTGAGCCATGCTGGCTCAGGAATTCTGGGAGTTGAAGTTCACGAGTCAGAAAGCGGCCTAGGCCTAGACCAGGGGTAGGCCACCTTGGCTCTTTTATGACTTGTGGACTTCAACTCCCAGAATTCCTGAGCCAGCATGGCTCAGCTTGGAAACCTTTCCCTTTCCCCTCAGCATGGCTGGCTCAGGAATTCTGGGAGTTGAAGTCCATGAGTCATAAAAGAGCCAAGGTTGCCTAATTCTGGCCTAGTCTATCGAAGAGAAGAATTAAGGATGATACGATAGTAGTCTTCCAATATTTGAGGGGCTGCCACAGAGAACAGGGGGGGTCAACCTACTCTCCGAAGCACCTGAGGGCAGGGCAAGAAGTAATGGGTGGAAGTTCATCAAAGAAAAACCCAATTTAGAAATAAAGAGAAATTTCCTGACGGTTAGAACAATCAATCAGCAGAACGGTTTGAATTCAAAAACTGTAGGTGCACTGGAGGTTTTAAAGAAGAGATTGGACAGCCCTTTGTCTGAAATGGTACAGGGTCTCCTGCCTGAGCAAGGGGGGTGGACTAGAAGACCTCCAAGGCCCCTTCCGACCCCCTTATTATGTTATGCTCTAAATCAGTGGTTCTCAACCTTTTTATACCGGCGACCCTGGTCATAAGGATGCGCCACGCATGCGCGGCACGCTGCACATGCACGACGGCGTCCTTATGCGCGGTGTGCATGCGCAACGACGCCCCATGCGCGACGCTCATGTGCAGCAGCGTTCGCATGCACAGTGCGCATGTGCAGTGCTGCCCCATGTGCTGCCCCATGCGCCGCCCCACACGTGGCGCACATGCGCGACGCGGCGCACATGCGCGGTGCCGCCAGCTGAGGAAAAAAATGGCAGATCGCGTTGTTTGGCGACCCCCGTGAAATGGTCGTTCGACCCCAAATGGGGTCGTGACCCACAGGTTGAGAACTGCTGCTCTAAATGAAACTAGCGACATCATTTTTCAAAGTTCAAAGCACTACTGCCCCTTCCTGAAACACATTTGTTTGTTTGTTTTAATCGGACCTCCCACTTGCAGATCAACGGCACGAGCGGACGCAACAAGCTGCTCCCAACCAAAGGGAAGGATATTATTTGACACAATTTGGACATAACCCGCTCTCTTATTTTTCCAGAGCGGAGGTCCCAAAGCTGAACAGGGAATCGAAACAAAAACTGGCGTATCCCGGAAGAGTGAAGAGTATTTGTCTTCAGAAAAATACGGCCTTGTGGATCGGTACAGGGGGAGGACACATCATACTACTGGACCTGTCCACGCGCCTCCCCATTCGGATAATTCACGATTTCTGTCGTTCAGTGAGAATGATGAGGACCACACAGCTAGGTAAGCGATGAAGCATATACCTGCAGTCCTCGACTTACGGCATTTAGCGACCAAAGTCACTGACAAAAAGGGACTTAACGACCATTTTTCACACTTACAACCGTTGCAGCCTCCCCGGGGTCACGTGATCAAAATTCAGAGGCTGGGCAACTGGCTCATATTTACGACGGTCGCAGCGTCCCAGGGGTGTCACGTGATCCCCTTTTGCGACCTTCTGACAAGCAGGAAGCCAGATTCACTTAACAACCGTGTCACTAACTTAACAATTGCAATGATTCGCTTAACAACAGTGGCAAGAAAGGTCGTAAAAACGGGGCGAAACTCACTGAACAAATGTCCCGCTTAGCAACTTAAATTTGGGGCTCAGTTGTGGTCGTAAGTCGAGGACTCCCCTGTGTAGGGAAAAACACTCTTGGTTGTAGGAACAAGGATTTTTTTACTTTTATGTTTGTCTGGTCTGCCTTTTGCCTTTGCTTTAAGTAACAGGAAGAAATATTGGACATTTTGGAAACGTAAGGCGTGAACAACCACAGACATACATGCAGAGTTTGATCTAAGTAACTACTTGACAACCGTTCATTTAGTGACTGTTTGAAGTTACCCTCATCACCCTGAAAAAAAGGGACTTAGGACCAGTTATGACACTTATGGCCTTCCTATCTCTCTCTCTCTCTCTCTCTCTCTCTCTCTCTCTCTGTCTATCTATCTATCTATCTATCTATCTATCTATCTATCTATCTATCTATCTATCTATCTATCTATCTATCCATTCATCTACAGTATCTATCTATCTATCTATCTATCTATCTATCTATCTATCTATCTATCTATCTATCCATCCATCCACCCACCCACCCACCCACCCACCCACCCACCTATCTATCCACCCACCCACCCACCTATCTATCTATCTATCTATCTATCTATCTATCTATCTATCCATCCATCCACCCACCCACCCACCCACCCGTCCGTCCGTCCGTCCGTCCGTCCGTCCATCCATCCATCCATCCATCCATCTATCTATCTATCTATCTATCTATCTATCTATCTATCTATCTATCTATCCATCCATCCATCCACCCACCCACCCACCCACCCGTCTGTCTATCTATCTATCTATCTATCTATCTATCTATCTATCTATCCATCCATCCATCCATCCATCCATCCATCCATCCATCTACAGTATCTATCTATCTATCTATCTATCTATCTATCTATCTATCTATCTATCTATCTATCTATCTATCTATCTATCTATCTATCCATTCATCTACAGTATCTATCTATCTATCTATCTATCTATCTATCTATCTATCTATCTATCTATCTATCTATCTATCTATCCATCCATCCACCCACCCACCCACCCATCCACCCACCTATCTATCCACCCACCCACCCACCCACCCACCTATCTATCTATCTATCTATCTATCTATCTATCTATCTATCCATCCATCCGCCCGCCCGCCCGCCCGCCCGCCCGTCCGTCTGTCTGTCTATCTATCTATCTATCTATCTATTTATCTATCTATCTATCCATCCATCCATCCACCCACCCACCCACCCACCCGTCTGTCTGTCTGTCTGTCTATCTATCTATCTATCTATCTATCTATCTATCTATCTATCTATCCGCCCGCCCGCCCGCCGCCCGCCCGTCCGTCCGTCCGTTCCATCCATCCATCCATCCATCCATCCATCCATCCATCCATCCATCTATCTATCTATCTATCTATCTATCTATCTATCTATCTATCTATCTATCCATCCATCCATCCATCCATCCATTCATCTATCTATCTATCTATCTATCTATCTATCTATCTATCTATCTATCTATCTATCTATCTATCCCTCATTGAACTGTTCACTTGTGGATCTGGTTGTTCACACCTGACAAGTGGTGGCCAAATATTTCTCTCATCCTCCCTAGCTATTTCTCCAAAACCAAAATCTTAAGTCACACATTGCTGAAAGGTATAAACAGGCATACATTAACCCTGATGACTTTGAGGCCTTATTTAAAAGGGATGCATTTAGCAAAAAAAACTGAGTAAACAGCCAATTATTTCTTTGGCTTTAAAATGTAACCTGTCTCATTTCCAGTGGGGAGACATTTCAAATTAAAATGGCTTCCTGGGCCACCACATGTTTCTCCCAAGCTTTAAATGCAGAGAATCAGCTGATGATATGCTGAGGCTGGGAGAGGCAAGATTTTCCTGATTTTCTCCAAAAGGGGGAAAAGAAGACCTGCAAAACCTCAGATTCCCCCTTCCTGATGCATGCAGAGGAGCATTTCTGCTTCGACGGAACATTTCCCATGAAGAATAACACGTGGTATTTTAATTTGCTTTTTTTTTCAATCAAAGGCACCCTCAAGAATGTTGTTCTGGTCTTGGGTTATAACCACGCGAAGGATAGTGAAGACGAACACATTAAAGGTAAAGCTCAGTCCGTTCTTCATCTGTTCTTCATTTTGCAGGTCTATCAATAGCACTTGCAAGGTGATCTGTAGGATGTGGTAAAAAAAAGGCAAAGCTTCAATCATAGCCATGGCTGCCATTTTGGATTTTTTTACCACATTCTGCAGACACTTCTCAAGTATAAGTTTATAGTTAAGTGAAGTTTGTTGCTGGTCCTCCTCCATTTCTGATTTAGTTATAGATAGTCCTTTAGTGAAGGCTATTTAGTAAACAAAAGTCAGTAGGTATTCACCTCCACAGTCCTAAAGAGCAATTTCACCACCCAGCTGTTATCTCAGCTTGTAATCTCTTTTAGATAATACCAAGGACAGATCTGGGTGCTGAGCAGGTCTTTTTGTCAGGAATATTCACTTGCTGTACCACGTTTCACCACAAGATGTCCTCGATAGCATTTAAAATCTTTCAAGTCCCTGGCTGGATTTTTATCCAGTTTAGGTTTTTTCCTCTTTTTTAAGGAGTAAATAGAGTAGCAAATCCCCGTAAAAGTAGGAACTTTTTGGTCCCAGAATATCAGAAAGAAGCAAATCCAATTATTTAGTAGATCTTTTCAAGGTTTTATGTCCCCTAGGTAGTCAAAAGCCGCCATTTTTAGAGGGTGGGAGAAAGACGTTCCCTTCCCTCTCTCCTCACAGGGGGAAGAAATTTCCAGAGGTTTTTTACAGGGAATATACTTGGGGTAAAAGGAAGGTAGGATCTCACCCAATTCCTCCGCGGTGCTTTCAAAGTGCTTTTTAGTGATTTTGGCCTCGGCTGGTAGTGGCTTGGTGATGAGCCATAGATGGCCGATTTTTTTCCCGTCAGTTCAAAGAGTTGCCCCGGGATCAAACGGGAGGGCTGCCGCCCTTCCACAATCACTCGGGAGTCCTCTTCACGCTCATCACCCCTCCAGGGCGACTTTCGACCCTTTTCAGGGTCCTCTGGTGGGAGAAAACGAGACGGCGGAGGGAGCGATCGCCCCAAACGTCTGCCAGTGCTGCGATCGCAAACCAGAAGCCACTCTGCAGACACTTCTGAAGACGTGTCTTACCTCAGGGCCCCTTCACTGCATTTTTGTACGATGATTGCGTTTGGCATGACATCCTCACCCGCAATCAACACTCAGATGAGCAGAAGTTAATAGCAAAATTAACAGCAGACCAACACTCAAAAAATAAACAATACCCTAATCAAGGAGCTACCAACTCAGACAAACAAGCTAAGAGTAAGCAACAGCCCAATCAAGGAATCGCCAAGAACATTCCCACCGATACTGACTGCGCAAGCCACTTGTATATAAAAATAAGAGCAATGCCCATTCCTTAATAACAACTGATGATGTTACCTAGTTGTGTAATGCAACATCTGAAAGAAAACAACCAAGCTCAGAGAGCACCGAGAAGCCTACAACAAGTTCTTACTCATTGTGAGTTCTGGGCCATCAGAACCAGTTACTAGCTTTTTACCTGTTGATTCTTCACCAGAACAAACTTATTTTTTTTCCTGCTACAAATAAAGTCTTGAATCCTCCTTTGAGTTCAGCTTAACTATTGGTTATTTCCACACGACGATAATGGGGATTGTGGCTTGCCATTGTTTTGTTTTGTTTTGTTTTCTCTCTGAAGGCGTTTTCTGTTCGTTTCCCATTCAAATATTTTCCAATTCCGATAGAGGAGAATATTCGTAGCTCAGATTTGAAATAAGGGGTCCTTGGTGCTCTCTGAGATTTTTTATTTTCTTGCAGACGTTTTGTTATCCAACAAGGTAACATCATCAGTGCAATGAAAAAAATCTAAGCAGGATTAGAACTAGTAAATGAAGCGTCCTTGGTGCCCTCTGAGCTTGGTTATTTCCTTGCAGACATTTCATTACCAAACTAGGGAACATCATCAGTGCTGGAAGGGAGTAGGATTTGTGGAATGATGATGGAGGAGGAGGAGGAGGAGGAGGAGGAGGAGGAGGAGGAGGAAGACAATCACTGTGGGGTCCTTGGTGCTCTCTGAGCTTGGTTGTTTCCTTGCAGACATTTCATTACCAAACTAACCAACATCATTAGTGCTCTCATCCTGCTTAGATTTTTAGAGAACAGTCAAGGCAATGGAGAAACAGCCATTTTTCACTTTAGGTTGAAAGATGAGCAGCATATACTGTAAATTTCATAAATAAACAAATAGCCATTTCTGGCCTGCATCAGAAAAAGAAAAATGCAAGAGCATGTGAATGAGAATAGATACAGGGGAGGAGGAAATAATATATTTTACAAGTCCTGGTCTGGAATAAACCTATTTTGGCTCCTGTTTGGAAAGACAGCGAATGCAAGAACTGAACAAATATGTCCAGCATTTTTGTGCGTGTGATAGCTTCGCTCATGATTTTTAAATGATTTTCTTCACAGGAATGCAATCTTCTGTGTCAATCTGGGACGTTAACCTGTCACACGAAGTGCAAAACCTGAAAAAACATATCGCAATGAGGCAAGAACTAGCTGAGAAGATGAAGAGTTTTTCGTTGGATTAGCTGGATTAATTCACGAGATTTACATGAGACTGCTGAAGTTAAGTTTCATTGGAGGACGGGCGACATCCTTGCTAAATGCAACATTACCACCGGCTTCCTTTCAAACGAAACAAAAATATTAATTGTACAGCAGTGTGCAATATTCCAGATTAAAGGGATAAGGTGCGGCAGCACAAAAAATATATTGCTTCTGGGTTTCAGATGCCATTAGGTTTAAATTAATTCTCTTTTGCTGCTTTCCCTGTTCTATTTATATCTTTCTGTAGGTATAATTCAATACGATTTAATTGTTTGAAGCACATTAGTTAAAATATAGAAGCTATTTAAACCCCAGGAAATGAAAGGCATTCTAAGTGTAATTTTTGATAGCACCCACTCACCCTTCGGGCACATTTGAAAATAATTTGGATGAAATACTTCATGTAAGCCCAATTCTTTTCTCTGGCTTTTTTTCAGCTCACGTTTCCTCCCCCCCCCCTCAAGCTTCTACCCAAGGTGCTACGGCTGCTTTAAGGATTTCACTTATTAAATTTAATGTGACCTTTAATAAAAGGTTACATCAATGCCAGCTTTGGGTGGAAGCCAGAAAAAAAGGAAGACTCTTTGAATGAATTGCAGGGAAGTGCTGGGCTCGCAGGAGATCGGAAACGTTTAAGATCGCATGAAGTGTTAGTACCACTTGATTCTGCGATGGTAAGATCACCCTGGGAATCCTGCATCCAGTTCTCGTTGCCATGAGACAAAAAAGTTGCTGAGACTGTAGAAAAGCATTCAGGGAAGAGTAGGGTATGACGGCCAAATTTTGCGATGAACAATTGGGGGATCTTGTCTAATAAAGAGGAGGACTAGGGGTGACCTGGTAGCAGTCTTCCAATATCTCAGGGGCTGCCCCAAACAAGAGGGAGTCAAGCACCTGAGGGCAGGACAAGAAACAACGGATGGAAACTAATCAAGGAGAGAAGCAACCTGGAATTAAGGAGAAACTTCCTGACAGGGAGGACAATCAATTCGTGGAACGAGTTGCCTACAGAGGTTGTGGGTGCTCCATCACTGGAGGTTTTTAAGAAGAGACGGGACAGCCACTTGTCTGGAATGGTATAGGGCAGTGGTTCTCAACCTTTTTAATGCCGCGACCCCCAACCGGTCGTAAGTCGAGGACTACTCAACCGGTCGTAAGTTGAGGACTACTCAACTGGTGCAGCACCGTTTGCAGAAGGGGGCTTTTGGCGGGCTGAGCAGGGCAGAGACAGTCTGGACAATTCCTATTGGCTTTTGAAAGCCAATAGAATGAGACTCTATTCAAGAGAATCTATTCTATTGGCTTTCAAAAGCCAATAGAATAAAAGGGGGTAGCACAGCTAAGGAAAAGGGGGAAAAAATGGTGGACTGCGTTGTTTGGCGACCCCCGTGAAATGGTCGTTCGACCCCAAATGGGGTCCCGACCCAGAGGTTGAGAACCACTGGTATAGGGTCTCCTGCTTGAGCAGGGGCTGGACTAGAAGACCTCCAGGGTCCCTCCCCACTCTGTTATTCTGTATTCCTTCCAAATGGTTTTCTCAGTGGGGAGGACAAATAGGTTCACAGTTACTGTTACGAATTTGCACATCTGAATGCTGCATCCTGCACCTGGCTATAGTGAGAAAGGTCTCTATCAATATATTGACTTTGGTATTATCCAGTTGTTTATGATCAATATGCAAAACCTGGCTGCGTTATAGACCTTTCCATGTTTTGCGAAAGCAATTATGATTTGGGTTAGTAGGGATCTGAATCTGGGTTGCAGTGTTACAACTAGTAACGATATATTTTGTCTGAAATGGTATAGGCTTTCCTGCCTGAGCAGGGGGTTGGACTAGAAGACCTCCAAGGTCCCTTCCAACTCATTATTATTTTTATTAACTATGTGGCTCTCCTTTTTTGTTTTTCACTGCTGGCCAGCTCTCTTGAACCCTGACACTTCAGGAATCAGGGACTGCTTTTTCCCTGAAAAAAAAAAAAAAGGGAATTATCAAGACGAGGGGGGAAAAAAAGTGCCAACTTCTTTGATTTTAGTGACACAGTCTGAAGAATAAGATGAGCCCCCAAGGCATTCTGGACGTTTAAATCCCCATCTGGAAGTATGAAAGAGGGGCTATTGTTTATAATGACTGTGTGGTTGCAGATCAATCACTTGGACCCTCTCGAGACAGCTTTATTTTTCCGCAACTGTTTTGTTTATATGGAAAAGTGCAATTTAAAAACCTGTGTGAACCGTATATATATTAAAATGTAACAAGCATTTCTGTACCTTAAACAAAGCAATTCGTTCTGTAAATTATTTGGGCCCTAATCTGTGCACTTAACGGAGTTTTATTCATGGTTATTTCCAATAAAATAAAATATTTTGATACCGATTCAAGCTTGTCAGTAACTCAGTTCACTGAGATAACGTACACCTGGATATCTCAACTCTGCCAATAATAGCAGTTGGCAGATTCAATATAAAAGGTTAAAAGATTAGTACTTTGGGTAAGTCCCCCCATTCTAAAATAAGCTGTCACTGTTTAATAGAAAAGCAGACTATTTGACATGGTTTCAGAAAGAGAGGGAATATTAAAACTAATCTGGGTGGAGGCAAATCGTCAGCGAGAAACTGAAATTGTGTAAAAAACCGCTTTGCCTTAGAGCAACTCCTTATTTCATAACGAAATATTGCCTGAAGGCTTATGATTAGAATTGGGGCATCAGCTTTCTAAACTGAATTGCAGAGGTCTTGCTTTTCCACTTCTGTTGCAGCCTAAAAAAAAACACAGACACACAAATAAAAGAAGATGGGATGCAGTACGCAATACTTTTTTTTTTTAGCTGTTATAGACTGAGCTTGTCCCTGATTGCTTTGTGTGTATGTATGTGTTAATAGCTGCCCGATGCACTGCAAAATTGAATCTTCCCAACCCAAATAACCTACTTCTATCTTTTTTCAAGCCAACCAGTTCCCTTGAAGATTGGTGGATAAATTAAATTTCTCCCTAGCTCTGTTTGTAACCTCTTGCTTAAATTTCACTAGCATTTGCAAAAATGTAAAAAAGGGATATATTTCTGCCTGGAAAGATATGAAATAAGGAGCTTTCATCACCACCTTTGCTGGCATCTCTTGCAACAATGCCAGGGACTGTCACTTTATAGCAAACCAGGTTATTAAATTTGCTGCTTACCTAAGCCATTTTTTCCCCTTCCCGCAGTACACATATTCCACCTGGAATTTCTGTCTGCATTTCACTGCTAAATTTGATCCCCAAACTCTGGCAGTGGGATGCAGATGGCTCTCCTATGTTGGATGAAAAGAAAGAAGATAATTTGTCAGGCCACAGTTATTAAATATTAGTTGGTTGAATCAATGTAATTGTTTAATTAATTGGATTTAATCCAGAGGAGAATCCATCTGATTTTTTCCCCAAAAAAATTAAATAAAATCAGAATGGTGTCCTTTATTCAGTGATATGTCGTGTGTAGGTTTCATTGTGACTCTAAGCAATGCTAGTGAGCGATCTTTTGTCAGCCTTGTCTCAGTTTTTACAATGTGCAAAATATCAGATTGGACAGCTTAGAGACCTATCATCAGTAATAAGATTAAAAGAAAACAGAATATCCAGTATAATGATCTCTTTCGCATCTCTAATTATCTATCTATCTATCTATCTATCTATCTATCTATCTATCTATCTATCTATCTATCTATCTATCTATCTATCTATCTATCGATTATCTATCCATCTATCCATCCATCCATCCTATATTTCTCTATCTTATCTCTCTTATCTCTTTATCTCATCTATCATCACCTACAATATCTAAGCTATATCTATATCACATGTCTGTTTATCTATGTCTGTGTCTGTCTATCCATTCTATATTTCTCTCATCTCTCTTGTTTCTCTATATTATCTATCTATAATCTATCTACAGTATCTAAGCTATATCTATCTTATCTATCTTTATATTATCTAAGTATTATATTATCTATCTACCCATCCTATATTTCTTTCATCAGTCTTATCTATTATCTGTTTATCTCATCTCTCATCCTTCCATCCATGTCTGTCTGCCTGCCTGCCTATCTATCTATCTATCTATCTATCTATCTATCTATCTATCTATCTATCTATCTATCTATCTAATCTTTGTATCATCTCTATATCATTTAGCTATATCATCTATAATGCTGGGAAAGATTGAGGGCAATAGAAGAAGGGGACAACAGAGAATGAGGTAGCTGGATGGTGTCACTGAAGCAGTAGGCGTGAGCTTAAATGGACTCCAGAAGATGGTAGAGGACAGGAAGGCCTTGAGGAATGTTGTTCATGGGTCGTGATGGGTTGGAACAACTTTGCAATTATGACAACAAATATCATCTATCTCTATATCTCTTAATTATTTAATCTATATTTTATTTCTAGGATTTATGATCAGGAAAGGTTTTTTTTAAAAAAAAAAATAAAAAGCTTAATGAGAATGAATTACGTGAGAACTTGATGCTCCTCAAGCAATCAGAACTGGAAAATACTCATTTCAATAAATGGGATTTATGTTTTGCTGATTTTATGGGTCAGCTCTCAAGGGTTATTAAATACAGCTACAAATTGTACCCCAGTGCTGCATGTGAAAAAATGTTATTTTACTTGCCGTCGGGATATGACTGCATGAGAACTTTTAATACGTTCCAAATAATTTCATATGCCGAAATCCAGTACAATATTGCAGTTTTTCCATTATCAATTGATATTGTATATATCACCCATTGATTGAAAATCTGTAAGTCATTTTTTGATCCAAAGGTGCCCGTAAAATATTATTTTAAATAATTCGTACTCAAAATGCACACACCCCAAAATGTGACTGTGGAACGGTGATGGCACCTAGTGACTAGTAAGGCAAATGACAACAGGTAACAATGTTTAGACCACACTTACATTTCCAAAGATCATTGTGAAATGTGGCTTTCAGAGCAAAGAATATGCAAAGTTTCCCTACATTCTTAAGGCACTGCCAGATATTTAAAATTTATGAATTATAGTTTCAACTTGAGACATCATGGCTTTTACGCAAGAATATTTGAGCCGTTGCTTCTCTGTTGTTTCCTGCTTGAACAGACAGAATAGGAATAGCAGAAATTTACCTAATTGAGATGCCTCGTGACTCATTACCATTTTTCCTTATGGGGAAAAAAAGTATGGTATTCATGGTTTATGTTACTGATTGCGCCTCCTGGAACGATGAGTACCAAGGTGCCATTGTATGCCCGTTTGAATACATGGAAGGGAGAGCAGGACGGTCGAATATAGTGAGAATAGATATTTAAGCCTCTGGTTTCGTGCAGAAAAGTTTGAGAAGGAAGGGTTGTGGAAGAAAAGGGTGTGTCACCAATATGAAAGAACATTTAGGACTTAGGTCAGGGGTAGGCAACCTTGGCTCTTTTATGACTCGTGGACTTCAACTCCCAGAATTCCTGAGCCAGCCATGCTGAGGGGAAAGGGAGAGGTTTCCAAGCTGAGCCATGCTGGCTCAGGAATTCTGGGAGTTGAAGTCCACGAGTCACAAAGCAGCTTAGGGCCTAGGCCAGAGGTAGGCACTCTGAACTCCCAGAAGTCCTGAGACGGCATGGCTCAGCTTGGAAATCTTTCCCTTTCCCCTCAGCGTGGCTGGCTCAGGGATTCTGGGAGCTGAAGTCCACGAGTCATAAAAGAGCCAAGGTTGCCTACCCATGCCCAAATACCTGAATTTTGATCACGTGACCATGAGGAAAAAAATATTTAAATATTTAAACCAGGGGTCTTCAAACTTGGCCCTTTTATGACTGGTGGACTTCAACTCCCAGAATTTCTGAGCCAGCATGGAGGAACTATGGCCCCCTCATGGCTTGTAGACTTCAACTCCCAGAATTCCTGAGCCAGCATGGCTCAGCTTGGAAACCTCTCCCTTTCCCCTCAGCGTTGCTGGCTCAGGAATTCTGGGAGTTGAAGTCCACGAGCCATAAAAGAGCCAAGGTTACCTACCCCGACTTAGGTGGTTTGACTAGAAAGGAGAAGAGTTGACTCTGAAGAGAACTACATGAAGGAGGAATGAATGGATAAAAAGGAAAACTGACTGGACAGCGTTCATTACATTTTGAAAACAGCTGAGAATTTGGGAGAACGAAAAGCTTTCTGAGAAGAGGTATGGAGTCATAGTGGAAGCAGGATAGATTTGTAAAAGTAAAAATGAACTTCATTAAAAAGCTCAAAAGTCCTTTAATAATGCAGAGGGCAAAGGGAAACATCACAGTTTCAACCAAAAGGCAACTGGATTTCCTTGGTATTTTTTTTTTCCTTTGAAAACCTTTCGCTTCTCATCCAAGAAGCTTCTTCAGTTCTTCAGAATATACCCTTGCGGGCCTTTACAGAATTTTAGGCTAATAAATAATGTGGCGTTTCTTGTAGGAAAAAAAATAATAACTGCGTGCTGTTGAACCTAATACACAGTATTTATTTATTCCATAGTTTTCTCCTAAAATGAGAGGCCGCAAGCGACAAAAATCGACACTCCGTAGCCCATTAAAATAATCCGTGTAGTCTTCCTAGCTCCTTTTTGATATTAACTACGTCTTCAGAAGCTGTCCTTCATTCCTGAATACTGGACAAAGACTCGGTCCCGTTCCTGAACAGCAACGGTAAGCTCTTCCTACTTCATTTTCACAAGCCGTGAATTCGTGGTTTAATTTTTCTGAAAATCAGTCTCTGGTAACGTGAAATTGTTCAGCCAAGGTCACAGTGCCCCGACGACTTCCTACGGACTCCAAAACTCTTGGAAAATGGATCAATCCCATCAGGTGACAATCCCACCAGATTCCTACATTCCCAAGAACTGCGAGCCGACGCACCCGCCCTAACTCAGAATGAGGGAAAAGCCAAATATTTGGCAGAGAGAGAGAGAGAAAAAAGACTATTTGTGATAACAGGATGATAAGCGGCTATGTTACATGCAGAATTTTTAATGTATTACGAAACCTACTGATTAATCTTCTTTAGAAGATTAAGGGCATCATCCTGGGTGAGTTAGATATGTCAAAGATGCTTTCTGCATGCAAGACAGTTTAAACCTACTAGTCTGATGCCCCCAAACTGTGGTGTGCTGATCTGAGCATCTGAATGAGTTACGTTCATCTCCCCGCAACAGTGTTGCTGGAATACAACATTTTTCACTGGCATCAGATTGTCTATCCCGGGCTGGGCAACTACAGCATCTTTATCCCAAAGGTGTTTCTCCCCCCCCCCCTCCAAGAAGCAATTGGACTTTTTGTTTTCAAAGAAAAAAACAAGATGTTCAAAAGATTCAAAGAAAAACAAGGAAGTCCAATTGCCTCTTGGAGAAAAAAAATAAAAGCACTTTTGGGACAATCATAACCTGGATGACTAAGAATGGGGGTCTTCAAAGTTGGCCCCTTTTATGACTTGTGGACTTCAACTCCCAGAATTCCTCAGCCAGCGTGCCTGGCTGAGGAATTCTGGGAGGTCTTTAAACTTGGCCCTTTTAGGCCTTGTGGACGTCAACTCCCAGAATTCCTCAGCCAGCATGGCTCAGCTTGGAAACCTCTCCCGTTCCCCTCAGCGTGCCTGGCTGAGGAATTCTGGGAAGGGTCTTTAAACCTGGCCCTTTTAGGTCTTGTGGACTTCAACTCCCAGAATTCCTGAGCCAGCATCGCTCAGCTTGGAAACCTCTCCCTTTCCCCTCAGCATGCCTGGCTGAGGAATTCTGGGAGTTGAAGTCCACAAGTCATAAAAGGACCACGTTTGAAGAGCCCTGACTAAGAACCTCCACAGACATATGGACTTCAACTCCCAGAATTCCTGAGCCCACCAGGAATTCTGGGAGTTGAAAGCCACAGGTCCAAAGTCGCCATAGTTGTTCACCCCTGCTCCGTCTCTTCCATTATCATTAAAATCAGATTTTTTTCCCCTTCCACTTTGATCTTCCCAGCTAACAGCCATGGGGTTATTTTTTTACTATTGATAAAGCACCAAGCTGGTACATTTGACGTATTATTATCCTACATTTTCATTTTTCAACGCAGAGGAGGCTATGGTGAATCCAAGTGTGCATCCTAACTTTTTCCTCTGTTAAGCTTTCCAAATAAATAATGGACATCTAGATCTTATTTGTTACAGGTGATGGTAGACGTTGAATAAAATTCACTGAGAACCAGCGGAACATATGACTGCCTTCCATACCAATTACATAGATAAGGCTCAAAATTTTAGCTCATATTTACTTATTGTATAGAGTACGGAATTAAAAGCCACTGGATTCAATTCAGTAAAATTCATACTTAAGCTGCAATATCCATGTCCACTAATTCCAGTATTGCTTCCGTCCACTGTCTGCCGTAAATTCAAGGAAGAGTTAATGCAAGGGACAAGCAGTTACAGGCAGTCCTCGCCTTAGGACCACAATTGAGCCCAAAATTTCTGTTGCCAAGTGAGACATTTGTTAAGTGAATTTTGCCCCATTTTACGACCTTTCTCGCCACAGTTGTTAAGTGGATCACTGCAATTATGAAGCTAACAACACGGTTGTGAAGTGAAACGGGCTTTCTTCACTGCCTTTGCTTGTTAGGAGGTTCTAAAAGGGGATCATATGACCCTGGGACACTGCAAGCGGTCATAAATATGAGTCAGTTGACAAGTGTGATCACATGACCCAACCCTTTTTAGTGCCATTGCAACTTCAGTCACTAGACCAGTGGTTCACTAGACCGGTTGTAAGTCGAGGACTACTCAACTGGTGCAGCACCATTTGCAGAATGGGACTTCTGGCGGGCTCAGTAGGGCAGAGACAGCCTGGACAATTCCTATTGGCTTTTGAAAGCCAATAGAATTAGACTCTATTCAAGAGAGTCTATTCTATTGGCTTTCAAAAGCCAATAGAATAAAAAGGAGTAGCACAGCTAAGGAAAAGGGGGAAAAAATGGCGGACTGCGTTGTTTGGTGACCCCCGTGAAATGGTCGTTCGACCCCAAATGGAGTCCCAACCCACAGGTTGAGAACCACTGCACTAGACAAACTGTTGTAAGATGTGATTATATACCTGTATGAACCAGCCTACAAAAATATGGCGATCAGGACGGCAATCCAATTGGATGGTACCTTAAAACTCAAGAAAATTAACGATTACCATGATGGATTCTTCCGCTTGTCAAGTGTCCCAAGATAAAGAGGCTGTCAATCACTCTCAACAGGTTACATTGCAAAGAGCCCACAATTCTTTCATCGATCCATTCCCCCCCCCTCAAGAAAGAGTTTGAAAACAAGCGATACGCTAAAAGGTTTTCCACATTTGTTTAAATAGCCAATTCGTAAAATCTGTATACATGCTGCATGGGTCCCAGGACAAGATTTTAACTTACTTTCTTGTTCGATTATTCTCTATTTCCCGGGATTCTTAGGGCAGCAGTTACACATTAAAAGAGAGGGGATTTTTTTAAAATTAAAAATTAAAAACAAAAATCACAACTTGCATCCTTCCTGTTTTAAAAACAAAACTATGTAGCTTCTGAGTTTCGGCTGCAAATTTTCCTGCTCTGGGTGCCTGTGGAAATTACATCTCTTTCCAATTTCATTCCTTTGAACGTTATCGGTTATGAGACTCTGGAACGCTCTAGAATGCTGAGTGGATCGTTTCACAGATTAATTGCGGTTTCTGAATTACACTCTCCTCTCAACCACCGTCCAGGAAGTAGGACTTAATCCTCTCGGCCTCTTTTTTTGAATCCTTGAAAGGACAAATAAGTCACACAGAAAAGTTAATGTTTTTTTCCCCCTTTGTTGTTGCTGCTGCAAAAGGCTCGTTTACTTCCTCCGTTCGGGACTGTCTTTTAACATATTGCACAAATGTTTCGCTACAAAAACGCCTTCCCCGTGAGACGGAAAGATAACAGTTTCCGAAGGAGGGGCTATTCCGTAGCATCCTCGGTCACAAGAGGTTCGTGGCCATTTCGTTGACTATCTGGAAGTTGAACCTGTCAGAAAGGAAGCGGAGAAGTTATTTTTCCCCCCCCGCTTCTTCGTACATTTTGGCTCAACTCCAGCTATTCCTTTTTTAGAGAAAAATTGTTAACACTGCTGTATTTGGGAAGGGTTAGGACAATTTGGTCTACTGGTTAAGGCTCCAGGCTAGAAAGCAGGAGGTGGTGAGTTCTAGTCCTGCCTTCGCCATGAAAACCAGCTGGGTGACTTTGGGCCAATCACCAGGAGACTGTGAGTCCTAGTCCCGCCTCAGCCATAAAAGCTGGTCCCGCCTCAGCCATAAAAGCTGGCTGGGTGACTTTGGACCAATCAGCAGGAGACTATGAGTCCTAGTCCCGCCTCAGCCATAAAAGCTGGCTGGGCGGCTTTGGACCAATCACCAGGAGACTGTGAGTCCTAGTCCCGCCTCAGCCATAAAAGCTGGCTGGGTGACTTTGGGCCAATCACCAGGAGACTGTGAGTCCTAGTCCCGCCTCAGCCATAAAAGCTGGCTGGGCGGCTTTGGACCAATCAGCAGGAGACTATGAGTCCTAGTCCTGCCTCAGCCGTAAAAGCTGTCTGGGTGACTTTAGGCCAATCACCAGAAGACTGTGAGTCCTAGTCCTGCCTCAGCTATAAAAGCTGGCTGGGTGACTTTGGGCGAGTTTTTTTTTTCTCTTAGCCCAACTCACCTCACAGGGTTGTTGTTGTGGGGCAAATAGGAGGAGGAAGGTGTGTTGGATATGTTCGTCGCCTTGAGTAAAAATAATAAAGGCAGGATGCAAATAAATAAATAAAATAAAGATAAATAAAAGATGTATCACAGATTTTGTCACAATCGCAGTCCCACTGCTAATGTTTATTCACTGTGTTCATGGACTTTAATGAATACTCTAAGACAGGGGCCTTCAAACTTGGCCCTTTTATGACTCGTGGACTTCAACTCCCAGAATTCCTCAGCCAGGCACGCTGGCTGAGGAATTCTGGGAGTTGAAGTCCATGAGTCATAAAAGGGCTGAGTTTGAAGACCCCTGGTCTGGATCCAAGCCCGCAGTTTCCTCAAAATGGCTGACTGAGGAATTCTGGGAGTTGAAGTCCACGAGTCATAAAAGGACCATCTTTGAAGACCCCTGGTCTGGATCCAAGCCCCCAGTTTCATCAAAATGGCCGACTGAGGAATTCTGGGAGTTGAAGTCCACCAGTCATAAAAGGGCCGAGTTTGAAGATCCCTGGTCTGGATCCCAGCCTGCAGTTTCATCAAAATGGCCGACTGAGGAATTCTGGGAGTTGAAGTCCATGAGTTATAAAAGGGCCAAGTTTGAAGACCCCTGGTCTGGATCCCAGCCCGCAGTTTCATCAAAATGGCTGACTGAGGAATTCTGGGAGTTGAAGTCAACCAGTCATAAAAGGGCCGAGTTTGAAGACCCCCGCTCTAAGAGCCCTGGTTTCAATGAGGGGCTGGTCTCAGTATTCCATTTAGGAATCAGGATATTTAACACGTTCAATCTCTGTTTTTGGACTGCTTTGTGACTTTTCCTCATATAATAAGACCAAATATTCTAAGCTTTCCTTCCCCTGGCTTAATCTTGTCATTAATTTTGGAAGAAAATATTTGAGAAGCCTCATACTGATGACATTCCCTAGTTGGGTCATGAAACGTCCGCAAGAAAATAGCCAAGCTCAGAGAGCACCACAGACCCCACAGTTCAACCCTGAGCTACAAGTATCCTCTTCTATTAAAACCCAGGGGTTACTCGGAATATACTTACAGGTGTAGATTTAGAAGACTTCAGTCTGAAACGGCAACAGAGGATTTCCACTATGAATCTTCCAATGCTGTGTAAAATGCCTACAGCAAGAGAACAAAATTGAACATTTGGTGACGCTGGTTATCATCCGATGCTGTAAATGTGGTTACACTCATTATTCAGAGTGTGAAATGATGAGGCTAAGAGCAATTTTACCACACTGGACAGAAGACCCAAAGCAATCCTAACTCCCGGACCGGTTCTGCTTTTGGGGTGCACAATTTACAGTTCCCCCCCCCAAATAAATCTGTAATCTGAAAGTGCTTTCCCCAATCCATTGCCTTTTGGATCACAATTCCTATAATTCTTAAACCCAATGTTTGGTCAGCTCGGAAAAGGGAAGCTTTAGATCAGAGCAGACAGCAGCAAATTTTGAACCGTCTGTTGAAAATATCTTTAAAATAGATTTAAAGATTTTGGCTTAATGTCATGATTCCGACAGATAAAGCTCTTCAAAGAACTTCAAGTCATTGTTTACCTTAAAGAATCTTTATTCGAGTAGCATCACATCGGCACATACATAGGCAAAGCCAAAATCTGAATTCCCCTTCCCTGAGCACATAGTATCAAAGCACAATTCCCTCCTCTAACTGTCATAATCACATTCTCCAATTAGTTTGAAATGCAGGCTTTCCCTCCCGTTCTTCAACCCGCCATTTCTTATCATCTCTTATTTCAAAAGACCTTGGTTCTCACACTATTACAATATTGTTATATCTAACTAACCCCCATATATATTTCTCCCCCCCCCAGTACCATCTAATTCCAACTCTAATTCTAAGGGTAAAACATAAGAAGGAAAATGGCTGCATCTCCATATGTTGTCAAAGCAAGAACATCCGATGTTAGCAGCGTTGACATCCGCCCCCCCTTTACCAAAAGGATAGATGTGGAAAGGCCCCAAGAAAAGGTCTAAACTAGATCTAAAATGCATAACATGGGAACTAGCCCTTAGAAAGCTCTGAAATGGTTTCTTAAAGGAGAAAGTACGAAAATAAAAATTAATTTCAAAAACAATCAGGGACCATCCTGAAGGAAAAAACAAACAAACAAGCCAACTGCAATAGGCTTCACGGGATTGTCATTTGCACACTCCACAACCAGCTTCCAACAAGCAATGTCAATGGGGGGAGGGGGGGAGGAGAAGATGGATTCATTTAAGGACTATCTGGTGTCATTTAAGGACTTTAAAGATTTGCCAGAAAAAAATGAAAAGAAATTCTGAGATAATGGAATTGATGAATGATGGACTGGACTTTCTTGGCAAGACGAATGCAGTGTTTTCAAAGAGATTTTTCGAACTAGGGATGCTGCAAAAATATTTACAATAGAGCAGTGGTTCTCAACCTGTGGGTCGGGACCCCATTTGGGGTCGAACGACCATTTCACAGGGGTCGCCAAACAACGCAGTCCGCCATTTTTCCCCCCTTTTCCTTAGCTGTGCTACTCCCTTTTATTCTATTGGCTTTTGAAAGCCAATAGAATAGACTCTCTTGAATAGAGTCTAATTCTATTGGCTTTCCAAAGCCAATAGGAATTGTCCAGGCTGTCTCTGCCCTGCTGAGCCCGCCAAAAGTCCTATTCTGCCAACGGTGCTGCACCAGTGGAGTCGTCCTCGACTTACGACCGGTTGAGTAGTCCTCGACTTATGACCGGTTGGGGGTCGCGGCATTAAAAAGGTTGAGAACCACTGCAACAGAAATTTAGGAACTGTCTTTGAGATGCAGTGGTTGGGGAAGTTCCCAGTTAAAATTCCTAAGGAAAGGTTTTATTCTTAAGAGTCAGTTTAGGTTGTTTAATCCTGAACAGATCAGAGATAATGATTGGGATGATCTGTGATAGATAAGAAACCATTGTAGACTTTCTACGAGTTAATTACATACGGCTTTCTATGATTGTTAGCAGGGGGCTTTGAAGTTTAACTCTGCTGTTGATTAACTATTTTGTCTTCACATATATATTAAGTATGATAGGGGTTGCAGATAGATGTAGAACTGTATAACTCTTGGACTTCTTTCACAAGGGAGAAAGCTATTATTGTTACAATAGATTTGTCAGTGTACAACTGGGGGGGATAATACGTCTTTTTGTTTTTTGTCCTTTGAACTCACATTTTTAATGTTTTTTATCAGGTTTTGTTTGTTTTTGTAAATTTTCTTTCCTTTTGTATTTTAATTTTCTGAATAAATTAAAAAAACAATTAAAAAAAAGGACTTACTAACCCACCTGGCCGATGCTAGGTAAACAATGCCTCGAGGTTAGTAATAGTAGTAAAGTTGGAAGGGACCTTGAAGGTCATCTAGTCCAACCCCCTGCTCAGACAGGAAACCCTACACCATTTCGGACAAATGGCTGTCCAGTCTCTTCTTAAAAACTTCCAGTGTTGGAGCATTTACTGCTTCTGGAGGCAGGTGGTTCCACTGGTTAATTGTTCTCACTGTCAGGAAGTTTCTCCTTCGTTCTAGGTTGCTTCTCTCCTTGCTTCTCTTCTTTGAAGAGTTTCATCTGTCGGAACCATGACACCTGGTTCACTTAATAATTGTGGCGATTCGCTTAACAATTGTTGCCAAAAAAAAGGGGGGAATCATAAAATTGGGGGTGACTCATTTAAAAACCGTCTTGTAATAATCTGTAATAGAGCAGAAGGTATTTATTTACCTGTGGTAGAAAAAATTCCTCCCACTATACCACAGAGTCTCACTAAAAACTGCCAGAAAGGCATGTGTTCCTCGGTCACCGTCACCATGAGGGAACTGATGTCGTATTTCATGAAAATTCCAGAAACTCCATGACTTCCGGCGGCGTGGTTGATGATGCGCTCCTAGGAAAAGCAGCGATACAGAAACCGAATCAGGGACAGCTCTGCAATACTATATGTATAGTCCTCAGCTTACAACAGTTCATTTAGTGACCGTTTGAAGTTACAACGGCGCTGGGAAAAGTGACTTATGACCGTTTTTCACACCTATGTAGACTCCCCGTGGTCACCGGATTTGCATTTGGATGCTTGACAATTGACTCGTATTTATGACGGTCGCAGTGTCCCGGGGTCACGTGATCCCTTTTGTGACCTTCTATGGGGAAGCTGGATTCATTTAACAACCGGGTGAGTAATTTAACACCTGCAGTGATTCACTTAAGAAATGTGGGAAGAAAAATCGTAAAATGGGGGCAAAACTCACTTAACAAATTTCTCACTTGCCAATGCAATTTTTGGGGTCAATTGTGGTCATACGTTGAGGACTACCTGTATTAGGTCCAAGACAAATGAAGACTCTGATTTACATACACAAGACAGAAATCAGAGGCCATTGAAATCAGGGGTGTTCAACCTTGGCAACTTTTAAGACTTGTGGACTTCAGCTCCCAGAATTCCCAGCCAGCTTGGGAATTGGCTAGGGAATTCTGGGAGTTGAAGTCCACAAGTCTTAAAAGTTGCCAAGGTTGGACACCCCTGATCTAAACAGCAACAGTCTGAATGGAAATGGCGTTAACGTAAACACTGAAATATTGTCTACTTAAAAAAAAAAACACCCTAAAATCAAAATGTGATTATTATTTAAAATTTATTTCAGAAGGGCTGGCACATATTAAGGAACGTTAGAAAAGAGAAACATTTGGAAATAATTTAACTACAGACATTGCATGGACATCTGTTTATTGCAAGAGGTGTATTTTATTTATTATTATTATGATGATAATAATGATAATAATAATAGGTCCTTGGTAAGGACTCGATAGGTAGACAAAAGGCCAAATTCAATCTGAACATCTGGCTGACTGTGCGATGATTAATAATAATAATAATAATAATAATAATAATAGTAAAAAGTTGGAAGGGACCTTGATGGTCCTCTAGTCCAACCTGCTGCTCAGGCAGGAACCCTACACCATTTCGGACAAATGGCTGTCCAGTCTCTTCTTAAAAACTTCCAGTGTTGGAGCATTCACCGCTTCTGGAGGCAGGATGTTCTACTGGTTAATTGTTCTCATTGTCAGGAAGTTTCTCCTTAGTTCTAGGTTGCTTCTCCCTTTGGTTAGTTTCCATCCGTTGCTTCTTGTCCTGCCTTCAGGCGCTTTGGAGAATAGCTTGACTCCCTCTTCTTTGAGGCAGCCCCTGAAATACTGGAACACTGCTATCATGTCCCCCCTTGTCCTTTATTTTTATCATAAAGGAAAACAACAGAAGAAATAGCACCTACAGTACAGCTCATACATACAAAATACTTCTAAAATATTTCACTTTTTTATCATAAAGGAAAACAACAGAAGAAAACCTACAGCTCACACACACAAATTGTTTCTAAAAATTACTTTTTTAAAAAAAAGCCCGGATTTACCCTTTCCGTTACTGCAAACTGATGTGTTTCTGCTGAAATTTTGTGCGTTTGAAGTTTTGTTGGCACCACTGTAACAAAGTACTGGAACATCTGATTATCTGTAAAAACAACCCCCCACACAAAAAGACCAATTAAAACAAAATTCATCACACAGGAAAAACAACAGTCTGAGCACAAGCCTACATCGTTGGTTTTATTCCATGTCACAGAGAAAGCTTCAAAGCGGATTTAAACCTGAGATAAACTCACTTACCCACAATTAAAATGGAATCCCCGTGTCTAAGTCTCTCGTGCCTCTTTATCTGTATCTGTTCCCTTTTGCTTACCTAAATGGCTCACCCTTTCAAGTAAGCTGATTAATCTTTATGTAAATAGGTAAATAATTTGGGGGAAGCGAAAGAGGTTCCACAGAAAAATGTGCCATTGTTCTCAGGACAAAATTCCGTGAAAATGACACATTTATTTATGACATGTATTATGCTACCGATTGTGATTATTAAGATCTCAACAAAGGTGTGATTAGCACCTCACCGGAGTAATTTAAAAAAAAATGCCACCGAAATGCCGCGATAAATCCCATCGAAGGAAATCAAGAGGAAAACTGTAATCCAAGCGGAACAACAGATAAACCTGATTTTGTTTCCCCCCCCCCCAGATAAATAGAACCCACTTACGATCTGATGCGATCTTTTCCGTGCCATCTAAAGGATTAATAATGCCTGGTATAAGCTCTCCAAAAGACAAGTGGTCTATCCTATGGGAGAAATTGTATGCTGGAAGACACAACAGAAGACACAAGATAGCAACAGAAGATAACAATAATTAGTTAGAAAAGATATTTTAAACCAGTGGTTCTCAACCTTTTTAATGCCGAGACCCCCCAACCGGTCGTAAGTCGAGGACTACTCAACTGGTGCAGCACTGTTTGCAGAATGGGACTTTTGGCAGGCTCAGCAGGGCAGAGACAGCCTGGACAATTCCTATTGGCTTTTGAAAGCCAATAGAATTAGACTCTATTCAAGAGAGTCTATTCTATTGGCTTTCAAAAGCCAATAGAATAAAAGGGAGTAGCACAGCTAAGGAAAAGAGGGGAAAAAATGGCGGACTGCGTTGTTTGGCGACCCCCGTGAAATGGTCGTTCGACCCCAAATGGGGTCCCGACCCACAGGTTGAACCACTGTTCTAGATAGTATGGGTCCCAAGCACCCTGCGAGAAATAACACTTCCACGCCAAGAAACGGAGCTGGCTTACATTCATGGCTCACCAGGGCTGCCAAATGTGCGTGGCCCCTTGGGTGGGGAATTGCCCTAAAAAGAAAGAAAAAAAAGAAAAGGGTTGTGTTGGAACTCAAGAATATTATCAAAAAGCAGACTTAAACAAGGACCTGAAACACATTTCCAAGGCAACTCTGAAGGACAAGAATGCGTGTTTTCGTAAACAGACTTTCAAATAAACCTACATACAGCTGCATTTATTGGTCTGCTCCTGGAAATAGTGCTTTCATGTGGGAAGGAAGTGGGTTCGTTTAGAGCAAGGTTTCCCAAACACGGCAATTTTTTTTTATTAAAAGTTTTAAAAAATTTATTACAATATAAACCCCCCCACCCCTCACCCTTTCCCCCCTTCCCCCCCTTCCCAGAGCTGATTACAGGGTAACAAATAAACAAACATAATCTAACTAACATTAACCAATTATACTATCAATCAAAACCATAACACACTTTAACTCCTTTTCAAAACAAATGTTAACAAATTATAAACTCAAATAATAATATAATTAAAACTATTAATAATTATCTAAAATCTACTCATAAGCAAGATAATACTTTTCAGTTTCATATCTCTTTTGAATGTAATCAATCCATCTTCTCCAAACCATAATATATTTTTCTTGTGAATGATCCTTTAAATAAGCGGAGATTTTAGCCATTTCTGCTAAATTAGACACCTTAAGTATCCATTCTTCCAAAGTAGGCAGTGAGTTTTTCTTCCAATATTGCCCCACCAATAATCTTGCAGCTGTTATAAGATTCAACATCAAATTGATTTCTTTAACATCAAAATCTACAATAATACCCAACAAAAATAATTGCGGAGTAAACTTTATCTTTCTCTTAAAAATCTTTTGAATATTCCACCAAATCTTAATCCAACAGGCTTTAATATCTCTACAGGTCCACCAGATATGAAAATAAGTTGCATCTAAATTTCCACATCTCCAAACACGGCAACTTTTAAGACACGTGGACTTCAACTGCCAGAATTCCCCAGCCAGCCATGGTGGCTGGGGAATTCTGAGAGTTGAAGTCCACAGGCATTCTCAATGTTGCAAACTTTGAAGTGTTTCAGGAAATGAAATGAACATACTTGCCCACTGTAACGTGAAAGTTGCCTGCTACTTTATTCACGTAGAGATGTCCATGAATTCTGCAGGCATCGGCCGACTGTACGGGTTTGTCTTCCCTGTGAGGAGGGGAAAAAAATGCAATTCTTAAAGTAGCACTTCACATTTGAGGGACGTGCCGGCGTCTGGCAGGCCATTATTCGAGGCCTTGCAAAAGTACAAATTTTCGGAAAATGTAGATTACGTCGGCCATTTTGCAATGGTCCCCCAATGATCACAGAAGTAGATACAAGCTCACAAATGGAGAGAAATTGGGAGTGACTTACCAGAGCGTCTCCGAATACAGAAAAACAGAGTTGGAGGGGACCTTGAAGATCTTCTATCCAACCCCCTGCTCTAGCAGGAGACCCTATATCAGGGGTCTTCAAACTTGGCCCTTTTATGACTTGTAGACTTCAACTCCCAGAATTCCTGAGACAGAAACGCTGAGGGGAAAGGGAGAGGTTTACAAGCTGAGCCAGGCTGGCTCAGGAATTCTGGGAGTTGAAGTCCACGAGTCATGAAGGGGCCATAGTTCCGCCATGCTGGCTCAGGAATTCTGAGAGTTGAAGTCCACGAGTCTTAAAGTTGCCAAGGTTGAGGACCCCTGATATAGGGCAGGGGTGGGGAAACTTGGCTCTTTTATGACTCGAATCATGAAGGGGCCAAGATTGCCTACCCCTGGACTAGACATACCTTCTCTGCCAACTTCCCCATTAATTTTTCAAATGGCAACCATGTGGCCACAATCCTTGGACCGTCATAATTGTGAGCCTGGATTATGATCACAGGACCACTGCAATGGCTGAAACTCCGAGGGTTGGTGGTACATCCATTTTTTTCCAGCATCGCCATAACTGTGAACGTTTGCGGGGAAAAAAATGGACCTTAAGCCGAGGACTCCCTGCATATGTCTCACATACATTTTCTTTCACCTTTCTTCTTCTTCTCCTTTTATCACTTTGTGTATGAAAAACACTCCGACCGAGAAAAGCCTTTGTCTATCGATTCTAAAAAATGTGGTCAACGTCGTGGCTTTTATCTCTGAATTGGCATGTTTTGGATTACATTACTTCTTTTTCATGTTTCCCCCCCCCCAAGCCAGAAGACCCCGTGAAGCCACCATCTTACCTTGGTGGCAGTGCTGTTGAAGCACTTTTAAAAGCACTTTTGAATATTATGTCCTGAAGAGAGTGTTCTTCCTGCAGCCGAGACTGAATATTTTGTAGTATCCTAGAAGAAAAGCAAAGATAAAGATTCAGCTATCAGGTCCACGCGTGAAGGTTCAACTAAACCGGTATATTGCGCAAGAATCTTTTCAAATAATCAACAAATCTTCTCAATCTGCTTCAGAGCTAGATGTGGGTCAACGGAAGTTGGACTTACAGTAGTGGCCAAAATGGTGGAAACCTTTTGGGAAAAGTGTACAGTAGAAATGCCACCTTTGGTTAAGTTTCCACCCATTTTTCTTCTAATTTCTTTATAACCGTAGCCTTGTTTACTGAATAATACTATTTTACATCGCTTTCTGGGCGACCAGTCAACTCTTTGCACCATTAATTTAATTTTATTACGTTTTACAAGCTCACTAAGTGAAAGAACACAAAAAACCCCAACCAACTTGATAGCGATCCCGTAACACACTGACAAATGTCCTCCTCTCAGCTTCAATACATGACATCGATAACTGAATCCTACTATGATCGGACTGGCTCATTGCCAAAACAAGATGACACCTGATTGGCTCTCTAAACACTCATGCTCATTGGCTACAATCAGATGAAGGCAAGCTACCTGAGATCAACCTAAGCAAGTTGTGCTTCCTTTTTCTGGTTATTTGGCTGTAACATTTCATAGATTACAGTACAGATAATTGAACAATCTTGGTTGCATTACATTCTTGATTAAATTATCTTTCCATTGATATATAATTTTATGGTACTACTCCCCCCCAAAAAAAGTGGTGTTATTAGCCATCAAACCTCAAAAATACACTTTTCCCAAAAGGTTTCCACAATTTTGGCCACTACTGTAGTTCTCATGTGGCCATGTAGGGATTCTAGGCTGATGCCTCTTTTAACTCTGCCCCCAAGACTCTGCCATTTCTTATCCTACAGCAGTACTTCTAACAACAGCGAAACACTTGCACAATAAAGCAACGTTAGCAGTGAATACTGCACAGCTACAGCTCATCAATGGAATGATTTGAGTACTTGGCCAGTTCAAAGTTGGAATACGGTGTTCTTGGATAGACAATGAATTGTGATTGTTATAATTACTGAATTATTACCTTTGCCATTCTCTTTGCAACGGACTGAGTTCAAATATTACCTAAAACAAAAACAAATTCTCAAAGTTAAGACAAACACTGTCTTAGTTTGTTTCTCAAACAAAAAACTAGGAGTCTAAGAAAGCTGCACAAAAAGATAATTCAGCATAGGTCACGAGGCTAGAAGATGGGAACCTCAGGCCAGTCACTTCCTCTCAGCCCTGGGAAGAATGCAATGGCAAACACTTCTGAAAGACCTTGCCAGGAAAACTGTAGGGACCTGCCCAGGCAGTTGCTAAGAGTCAAAATTGACTTGAAGGCACAAAATAATAATATTCATCCCAACGGACTTTGATGCTGCTGGTTACGTTGGGGAGAATTACCAGAGGTGACACAGAGAAAAGCTACTTGAAGCTGAAGAAATAACTTCGCAATTAACAACAACAACAAATTGGTGAAAAATAAATCAGAAGCTCTCACAGTTGACTGCATTTAGCTGATTCAAATAACTTTATATTTATATAAAAATATTTACAATACCATTCCTCTTTACAGCAACATAGCTTAATGAAGACTTCTTACAGAGACAGATCAGAGACAAATCAAAGACAAAACTGGAGACTGGAAATCCAGCTCCTAACTCAATACCTTTTGCACAGACTCAGTAGCACTTTCTTCACATTGGCTGACTGAGTTACCACATGACTCTTCCTGTTCATGAATATTCCAACAAAAATGAAATCCACTTACTGGCTCATAGACTAATCCATCTGCAGTAGCAACCATCGTTTCTGCCAAATCCAGGACATCAGCACCAATGTCTGTTTCAAAAAAGTTGAAAAGGAGAGGTAAGAATTTGCAAAGGGTGACATTCAACTGTTTTCTTTTCTAAACATCAGTTATGAAAACAAAACCAAAAAAAAAAAAATGGAAAGGGTTGATCCCTCTGTTTCTTTAATCAAAGGTCTCAATTCATCACGGTAAATTTATTTATTTAACAAACTGATGTGTGGAAGACGGGGAAACTGTTTTGAGCCAATCAACCGCATCACCTCAAAAGCTGAAGGAATTTACAAATCCCATTTTCTTCTTAAATATTGCAGCTTCTTCTGGAAGTACTGCTTATTTAAACCCTGATTATTGGTATTGTAAATAACGACAATTCAAGATGCATTAGTTGGTAAAAGGACCGGCCGAGACTAATGGAGGCCATTATTTCAAAACATTTTGCTAAATATTTGCTCCGAGTTGCATCTGGTTTCTAGTTTTCTCCAAGGTGATTTTTTTAAAAAAACAAGGAGAGAAAGGAAGGTAGCCATTTCAAAAGTCCCCTTTCTAGATTCAAAATAAACATCACAATAATGACAGCATTAAGAAAATGCTTTGCAGTGCTATTTTCCAAAGAGTTTAGCTTTTTAGAGAAAGAGGGAGAGAGAAAGAAAGGAAGACAACGATGGCATTCTTAATTTTGTTTTTGAATAAGCCCAAATCTGATAAGTGGAGTAAATACCCGTTCAGCTGTATAATCTATACATTTTTTTTTCCCAAATAAATTTGCATGATTTGCTTCATAGAATGGAGCAACTCTTCAAAAATGTGTGCAACAATAAACTGGGTTCTAAAGATGCTACAAAATTTTTATTCTTGCCAAATTTGTTATCTGGTTATCAAAGGAAGTTGTATATGTCACACAAGGTTCATGATTTCCAAGTGAAAATAACTCTAATGGGAAAAAAATTACACTACTGAGAAAGCAAAGAACTATGTTAAACAATTCAGTGTGAACGACGTTTCCTTGGTACATTATAAAGATGTTAATTTATTCATTCTCCCAACTGCAAGTCAACCATAATTATTGAAATTATAATAAATCCAAATAGCTTTTTTCCAAAGCCATTGATTGTACCAGCTATCACACTTCTCCTTACAAGCTGAAAGGAAACCGAATTAAATATGGTTTAACTTCTGATAAGTAATTTATTGTAGAAAATCTAGGGAGTTATTGTGAAAGAATTCTAACAACTTGTGTATATCTGTGGCTTTCTTGGGATCACCCAATTTTAGTTTAAATAAGCCCAAAACAGATAAGTGGAATAAATATCTATGCCACTTGTGTATCAGAAATAATGCTTATTTAAAGTGAAATCAAAGTTCACGTTTTCGTAACCTTTTCCCCTATTCAAGCTAAGCAACAGGTTCAACAGACTGTTGTTTCAGCAACAAACAAATCCTGAATCAGATTGTATTTTTCTAACCATTGGACTCTTACCAGCAATGAAAAAGTTGAAAAAAAGAATAGTATGAGGCAGTCATTTTCATGGATGTTAACTGTTACACATATTAGGAAATAAACACGTGTCCCAATTGAAGTTAAGCCATCAAGGCTCTAATAGCAATAGATTGTCTGCCAAAGAACGAAGCAAGAAATTTTGTGTAGCATTATTTGATTTTTGGTCTTGTGTTCAGGAGTAATATGTCAGCCTAGCCTAAATAATTAATGTACTAAAACAGACATGTCAAACACAAGGCCCGGGGGCTGGATGCAGCCCGTGACGTGGTTTCATGTGGTTTCATGTGGCCCGCGAAGCCATCCAGGAAACAGTGAGGGAACGGCCCCCGCTGCCTTGGCCCTGGTCCAGGCCGGCCGGGAGCCAATGTACAATTTTGTGGTGGCCCTCTATGCTGAAACGCATTCAGTCTTAGCTCCACAAGGCCGTCTGGAAACAGCGAGGAAACGGCCCCTGCCGTGTCGGCCCCAGCCCCGGGGTGCATGCCGGGGAGGTGTCACCCTTTGTGAGGAATGAAGAAATGGACCATCGCCTGGAAGTGGCCAGCAAATGGCCCTCGCCTACTTCACATATCCGGTTTGATGGGCTCCGGGGGAGGGGTTTCAGCAGGCTCTTCCAGTGGACCATGCCTTGGCGCTTGCCCCGGTCCCACCCCCTTCTGCCGGAGACTCTCAGACCTGTCCCACTCCTGCCCAGGCCCCCACAGGCACCCTTGACGCAAACGATGTAGAGCTGGCCATGCCCACCCAATAGGCTACACCCACTCCATCCACGCCCATCCAGTAGACCACGCCCACCCTGGCCACACCTACCCCCCCCCCGAGGACAACCGCAATGCTGATGCGGCCCTCAATGAAATTGAGTTTGACACCCCTGTACTAAAACAAAGATCCGAATCAGAATACTTACGTTGACACTTCATTGCAACCGTGATGTCTACATTTATTCTTAATTTACTAGAAAAGGGAAAAGACAAAGGTGTTAATTTTGTCATGGCATATACTAGTGTCATTCTATGACGTATAATACAGGCAATCCTCGACTTTACAGCGCAAGTGAGCCAATTTTTTCTCTCGCTAAGCGAGGCAGTTCAGCAAATTTTGCCCCATTTCACGACCTTTCTTGCCACGCTTATTAAGTGAATCGCCACTGTTGGTTTTTATATATATATTTATTGTTTTATCATAGAGAATAAAATACAAAACATTAAGACAAACGAGCAAAATGAAACAAAATTAAAGCATACATTCAACCTTTGTGCCAACAAAGAAAAAAAAAATGGTACACACCAAAAGAAGGAAAAGTGGTCAATTAAATTTAACAGGTCCCTTCCAACTCTGAATGCTCCAAAACTGGAAGTTTTTAAGAAGAGACTGGACAGCCATTTGTCTGAAATGATATAAGGTTTCCTGCCTGAGCAGGGGTTGGACTAGATGACCTCCAAGGTCCCTTCCAACATTATCTTTTATTCATTAGACACTAACCTCATTCAATAATAATAATAATAATAATAATAATAATAATAATAATAATAATAATAATAATAATAATAATACTGCTTCCATCCTGCGACGATACCTGTAATACCATCAAAAATCCACATCTGCCTATCCCAGGTCCTGGGTAAGGACTCGATAGGTAGACAAAATGCCAAATCCAGTCTGAACATCTGGCTGACTGTGCGATGATCCATAATAATAATAATTTATTATTATTATTATTATTATTATTTAGGATCCATCCTGAGCAAATTTTCCTCCCCTTTTACAAATACACACACACACACACACACACACACACACACACACAGAGGAAGAAGAAACAGCAGTCAACAGATTGAGCTAAACAGTGCCCCACTTTACGACCTTTCTTGCCACAGTTGTCATGTGATTCACTGCCATTGTTAAATTAGTAATATGTTGTTAAGTGAATCTGACTTCCTCCATTGATTTTGCTTGTCAGAAGGTTACAAAAGGGGATCACGTGACCCCAGGACACTTGCGACCGTCATAAATATGAATCAGTTGCCAAGCATCTGAACTTTGATCACGGAACTGCTACAACCGTCATAAGTGTGGAAAAACAGTCCCAAGGCATTTTTTTCAGGGCCACCGTAACTTCGGTCACTCAACAAGCTGTTGTGTAAGTCCAGGACAACCTGTACAATTTCTCACAAATGTTTAAGCCGCAACTGTTTGACATTTCACGTTTGGCATAAGAGCAGGAGGAATGGAAAGTCGAAGGAAGCGAAGCAGGAAAGATTAAAGCAGCTTCTTGAAAAAAGGCCTCCATGTATTGGAGCATTGCTGACTGGGGAATTCTGGGGGTTGAAGTCCACGCAGCTTGAAGTTGCCACGTTTGTGCAACACTAACTTAAAGCATCACATGAGGTGGTAACTATCTGGACGTCATTAATTTGTACTTGCAATGTGAAAAACCTGAACAATATTCCTGCGTCTTCAAATTGTGGTTTTGGAAAAATGGAAATGGGATGTTCCAGCTATCCAAGGCATCATTTTTCACTTTGCTATATATGGAATAGCCTAGACTGCCTTAACACAGCTTTCATTTAGAGCAGGGGTCTTCAAACTTGGCCCTTTGATGATTTGTGGACTTCAACTCCCAGAATTCCTCAGCCAGGCACACTGGCTGAGGAATTCTGGGAGTTGAAGTCCACAAGTCATCAAAGGGCCAAGTTTGAAGACTCATCCCAGAATTCCTCAGCCAGGCACGCTGGCTGAGGAATTCTGGGAGTTGAAGTCCACAAGTCATCAAAGGGCCAAGTTTGAAGACCCCTGATTTAGAGAAACTGGGATCCCAAATCCTTTATAAATCTTTGCTAGGACAATATTCTCCAACTTAGTCCTTTTCTAAGATGTGCCAGTGAGGAACGCCAACATCTGGAAAGCAACAGGTTGAGATTTAATTAGATTTAATTAGATAGCATCAAGCCTTCTCCTCAGAGGCCAATTAGAACTCCAGAAATCAACCTTGTTAAGAGTCTTAATTTGGTAACCTGAGTGTGAACCACTTCGCCTGTTGGACTTCTGTATTCAACTCCTGTTTTTAATCTAAAGAGTGTTTTACCTGGGCAATGTTAGGCTTGCGGACTTCAACTCCCAGAATTCCACAAGTCTTAACCTTGCCAAGAAAGGTTGGAAACCCTGGTTTAAAGCCAGATATAAAATGATTGTGACAAGAGACATGCTGTGCTTTTTTTGAAGAAACACCGATAAAACAATGATCAAATGGTTGTGACAGAGACACGCTGTGCTTTTTTTGAAGAAACACCAATAAAACAATGATCAAATGATTGTGACAGACATGCTGTGCTTTTTTTGAAGAAACACCGATAAACAATAATCAAATGATTGTGACAGAGACATGCTGTGCTTTTTTTTTTTTTTATTAAAAGTTTTATAAATTTTACAAGAAAAACAAGAACAATACAGAACAAAAAACAACATATACAAAAGAAAAAAAGTTAAACAATACATATATATATATAAAAAAAAAAAACCCCCACCCCACACCCCTCCCAAAAACCCTCCCTTCCCCCCCCCTGAGCTTCCCAGAGCAGAATATAGGCTTGAGAAATAAAAAAAAATAAAAATTAAATTAAAAACTTTATGTTTATATATATAAAAAAGATATCTATAATATATATAAAAATAAAACTTATGAAAAAGCTATATGATATTTTTGTATACCCAATCTAAATTGTATAAATTTTATCCATTTGTCCCAGATAGCAAAAAACTTCTCTTGCGTTTGTTGCTTTAAGAAAGCCGAAATCTTTGCCATTTCCGCCAGATAAGCTACTTTAAAAAACCATTCCTGCAATGTAGGCAAAGATTCCTTCTTCCAATATTGTCCAACTAACAGCCTCGCGGCTGTGATCAAATTTAACATCAATACAACCTCCTTTGTATCACAATCTGTAACAATACCTAACAAAAATAATTGCGGAGTAAATTTTACCCTCCTTCTAAAAATTCTCTGGATATTCCACCATATTTTGATCCAAAATGCTTTTATCTCTCTGCATGACCACCAAATATGATAATAGGAAGCCTCCTTATAACCACATCTCCAGCATTTAGGTTGCACGTCAGGGTACATGTAAGACATTTTTTGTGGATCAAGGTGCCATCTATAAAACATTTTATAAAAATTCTCCCTTAAATTCTGTGCTTGAGTAAATTTGACATTTCTCACCCAAATAGTTTCCCAGGTGTCCAATGAAACTGGCTCACCAAAGTTCTGCGCCCATCTAATCATACAATCTTTAATTAGTTCCGTTTCTGAGTCCAATTCAACTAAAACCCCATAAATTCTCTTAATGTGGGTTTGTCTTTGATCCTTCAGTTGCTTAATAAGATTTTCATCTTCTCTAAGAAAACCCACCTTACAATCCATCTTCCATCTATCTAGTAGTTGCCTATATTGGAACCAAGAATAAGTAAAATTTTCTTGTGCTAATTCTTCCCGTGATTTTAATTGCCAGTTTTGTCCATCCCATTTAAGTAACTGTCTATAAGTCACCATATCCATTTTAACCCCTCTTTTTATTCCTTCTATCGCATGCCAAGGTATAGCCCATAATGGTACTTTAAAATCACTTTTATAATATTTTCTCCAGATCCTAAGTAAAGAAATTCTTAAAATATGAGATTTAAAAGCCCAATCTATTTTTTTATTAAATATTAAATAGGCATGCCACCCATAAAGTAAATCCCATCCCTCTAGATAAAGTATCTCAGAGTTTGTCAAATTTACCCAGTCACTAATTAATGTTAAAACCACCGCATCATAATATAATTTCAAATTTGGTACCTTGAGTCCACCCCTCTCACGGAAGTCTTGCATAATTTTGAACTTAACCCTTGGTTTTTTACCTGCCCAAATAAATTTATTGAGACCCTTCTGCCACTCATTTAAATTAATCTCATTTTTCAAAATTGGTAACATTTGAAACAAGAAAAGAAACTTGGGTAGAATATTCATTTTTATCACTGCAATTCTTCCCATGAGGGATAATTGCAACTTTTCCCAATTTTTCAAGTCTTTCTGTACCCTGACCCACAACCTTTCATAATTATTTTTAAATAATTTTGCATTAGAAACAGACAGCATCACCCCCAAATATTTTACCTTATTAACAAGCTCAAAACCCGTCGAGTTAACCAAAATCTGCTTCTCCTGACTCGACATATTTTTAGGTAAAATTTTAGTCTTATTTACATTAATCTTAAAACCCGAGACCAAACCATAATGGTGAATCAACTGTAATAAGTTTACTACAGAATAATCAGGTTGCGACAAAGTAACAACCAAGTCATCCGCAAAAGCTCTCAACTTATATTCTTTTTTATTAACATATATTCCTTTAATTTCCTGAGACTCTCGAATTTTGATCAATAATATTTCCAATGTTAAAACAAACAACAATGGCGATAAAGGACACCCCTGTCTAGTACCTTTCTCTATTGTAAAAACCTCCGACAAACCTCCATTAACAATAAGTTGTGCTGTTTGTTTTTGATATATTACCTTAAGAGCTTGTAATATGTTTTCACCAAAATTCATTTCTTCCATTACTCTTAGCATAAAATGCCAATTCAGTTGGTCAAATGCTTTTTCAGCATCTAAAAATATGAGCCCTGCAGGAACTTGGTTGTTCTTATCTAAGTATTCTAATAAATTAATAATTTGTCTAACATTGTTTTTCATATACCTTCCTGTTATAAACCCTGATTGATCTTTATGCACAAGATGATGCACCACCCTCATAAGCCTATTTACCAAAATTTTTACAAATATCTTATAATCCACGTTTAAAAGAGATATAGGCCTATAATTTTTTGGTAAAGTAAGATCTTGATCCTCCTTTGGAATCAATGATATAAAAGCACTACGCCATGAAGGAGGAATCTCTAAACCCTGTAAGATACCA